AAAGGGAGTCGAAGAAAATATTATTTCCAAGTTCCATTATTTTTTAACGTGAGCTTAGCTTATGAAATCCTGGTATACAGTACTGGCCAGCCAAATCACCCCGTTTTGATGTTTGCTTGGGTCATTGTTGCAGGTTACTAATACTTCATGTGGATTTATTTACGTAATCAGCTTGCTTTGACCGTTGCAAAGAGATAGAAAACAGGGGGGAGTAGCTATTTCTAGAGTTGCAGTTGCACTTACACTGGCTGTGGATGAATTGGCCAGAACACAGCGTTTGATTTATTATTTTATCACCAGTATAGGGATAATTATTATCTGAAGAAATTTATTATTGTACCGCCTGCCTGTGGGGAAAAGGCTTTAAAGATTTAGAAAACGATTTCTTTCTGGAATGAAGATAAAAGTCTCTAAAGTAAGACACCTTCTCTACAAGTGTATTTACAAAGCTAATTGGTCATGGAATATGAGGTATATCCATCATAATCTCCTGCTTGCTAGCATCAAAATAGGAATATCTTGTTACCATCAAAATGAGTTTTTTTTACATATTCTCTAGGACCCGTGGTTCACCATCACCTTCGTACAATTTTCTAATGATTATGCAAGGGTTAAAAATAATATTCTCTTCTTCAGTATTGCTCTTCATCTTTCTCCAGCACAACCACCATATTGCTCTATTTCCATTCAAGGCGGTTTTGAACTAAGAACCATTATCCCTTCTTTCCCAAATCAGGCTTATTCTATACCAAAAATACATATTTCCATAAAAAATAAATGAGTTCTTCTAATTATAATTCGATTTTTTTGTCTACTAAAAGATCCGCTAGCTGAATAATAAAATGTGTATCTTAAGAAGAGGTGGTGTTATTATACTCTAGCTGTCCTCCGTCTTTATGGGAAATTATACTGATCTGAGCATCGAATTTATTTATGCGAGATTCTGTGGCAAATTTAAAAGTTTAAATATTTACCTAGCCTGTGGAAAGCCTTCCCCTTACCTTCATTACTATGGAACAGATCGAAATGCATAGAGATAACCATCCTCGATAAAATAAGTTTGTCAAATACTGTGAATAAGTGAGACTTTTGTCCCACAAAAATATAATTCTTAATTATTTATTTAATTATTTTATTTTTTGATTTAGCCAATTTAAAAAATAACCAGTCGACTTTCCAGTTTCCATGAACAATACTGTAGATTAAGAGACTAATAATGATGAGAACTTGCTATTATACAACTATAGAGTCTGTCATTTCTATGGTCGTTGTTTTTGTTAACATAAGTATTCTCTACTAATTATATCTCTTTAGTTGAAGAGGGCCACGTAATGTTTAAGAACTCTTGAATATTTCCAATGTAAAATATTTTTTAGATAACGGAAAAGTGAAAAATAAGAGAAGCATGCATAATTAAGCGCATAAAAAATATTTCAATATTTTTATGGGTCCGCCCACAAACAATAATTTTTTAGACTAATACGTTTTCCAAATCCATCCCAATTTTGTCAGATAATATTTTTTTAATTTTTCTCTTCTAAGGAAATAAGAATCCCTTGTTAAAAAAATCCCTGTTTTTGTCAGTTTAGAAATCATGAAGAACGAAACTAATCGAGCCTTACAGTGGTGAATTAATAGAGGTGCCATTTAGATAGGTAGCATTTCGAAAGGGAATCCAGATCATTGGATGAATCCACAGGAAGTTTTTTGCTGTTTGTCATCGAAGCTATTTTTGGCTGACTAGTATCACACAAAGTGAAAATTATTACTGAATAAAATACGTGTCTCCTCCTTTCGTTTGTATTGTTGATTATTTAACAATTGCTTTGTCTTTTAATTTTGTTAACAATTCACTATAACGATTCCCTCGAACTTTACGAAACAGACAATCATGAAAAAGGAAAGTTGAGGGGATTGTTCTCCCTGTTGTCAATGCTTAGTTCAACAAGCAGATATTTTTATCCCTTGGGGTTATCCTTGCTCGTGTCTTGGTGATAGGAGGTGTCCGTGACTATATTTTTAAATCTGCGTAATTTTTTAAACTCTGGATTTCCCCAAATTGTTCAATAGCTTTAGGAAGAGACTCCCCTATTAAATGAGGTTGGGTTAATTTGTAGCTCTATTCCGAAACTAACAATTTGAAAACTGTACAGTCACAAGATACTCCTTAAAAGAGAAATTGAAAAGCTTGCTTGTAACTTCCTTCAGTGAATATTCTTCCCGATGGTGACAAAACCATTGGTATTACGAACGCCTAGACGGGGGGGTTCCTAAATCAGAATGATTCTTTATTTAACACATGCATTGAAAATAAATAATTTTTAATGATTGCAAAATTTATTGATTATTTTTTTAGTTTCTTTTTTTATTTTGTTGCAAAAAATTTATTTTTTTTCCTTCAAACTACGATTTCGTAATGTCGTAATAGTATCTGCTGGTTTATTGTCTAATATTCCAAGAACATTGGCACAAATCCACCAATTAATTATTTTATTTTTACGAATGGAAAATATTTCTCTCTAAAAAATAAAGGAAATTTCGTTGTTATTTTGATTTGTTCTTGGATTCTATCCCTTTTTTGGATCCTTTCGAGAAAACAAGGACAGGCGGTCTACAATTGTTGTGAGATGCTATTAGAAAATAAATCTAATTTGTAAGATAGTGTGGGATGAATGAAGATTTTTTAGGGAAAGGAGGTTAGAAAACGTTAATTTTTTTTGGTTAATTGTCCGTCTAACAGTATTCTTTGATTAAACTTTTAGTCACCAGAGATTTTCCAATTCAAAATGTTTGTAAAAGTGACAACAGCAATATGGAAAATGTTTTAACGTACGATTGCTTTCATGTGCCGTAGCCTCTCAACTCAGCGAAATGTTCTCTTCGTGTTGACAAATACATGACCAATTGGATTATTTCTCTAAAGAAAAGAAAAAAGATAATAGAAATAAGTACATTACATGAAATATTTTCTGCAATAAACTACGGTGGAAAATTCATTCTCTTGCTGGCTACCCTTTCGGAAATTATTACAAATACAGAAATATCCAAGACACCTTCTAGATCTCGAATCACGTAGTTAGATTTATGGGGGGAAGAGTTAGATGATGGCTCAGCTGTATTTTGTATTGCTGGCAACATCGATGATTCTTTTCAGATAAATATTTCCATGGACGTTTATTCAGCAAAACCAATTTCTTGGCTAATGGTTTTCTCGGTTTCCAGATCGGCTATCTGCATGAATATACAATGGAATCTCATGTTGCACAGTCTTTAATTGGCTTGGCTTAATTGTAGCTCGTGTATGCGTTATGATTATTGAACCATGCCTCGTTTTTTCTTTCCCACTTCTAAGGAAATGCGTCCAAATGAGTTTCATTTCATTTCGTATTTATGCATAATTCAAGATACAAAAGCAAACAATGTATTATATAAAAAAATATTTTATTTTTTATATCCTTGTTTTCAGTGTTGATTTTTTTCGTAAATGTGCGACTTGTCATCCTTATTCTATTGTCTAATGTTCCAAAGAACAGCCTTGGGAAATTATTCCACGTTTCTATTTTTTTTTGCATTTACGATATATCCCTTAAAAGTTTTAATCATCCACACAATGAAAATACGAAGCCACAAAAGGTGAAATGAATTTGCTCTCGGGATTTTTCATTAGTTTTCCTCTATTTCCAAAGAGAAATGAAATTTCAATTTTATTGAGTACAGTTCTTACAATCACTCTTAACTATTTGAGGGGTTGGTTCGTAATTGATGAAAAAATCCTCAAAAGTGACAATCTGTGGGTCTTGTTCCTATGACCTTATTAACAGGCATTCAGAGACAAGATTCCTGTTTCGACTCATCAAATCCAATGTTTTACTAATTTACTAGAAACATCATAGCAAGCATTCCCCTAAACCAGATATCAAAATTACATAGCAGCATGCACGATTGTTTCCATGGCCAATAAGATTCTGTTAATCCAAAGGTTTCAATCTATAAGTGACATAGAACCAGGGAGCTGACATTTGTCTTTATGCTTATCGTTCTACCTAATCACCACTAGGTATAACTCTCCGGATATCTTGGTCAAACTATAAGTTATCATTAGACAATAAAAGGAAAGTATTGCAAGAATGCCCAACCCATCGATAAAAACCTTCTCGTTCTTATACCCAACGGCTAGGAATTTTCTTTATCGTGCACAATTTTTTCAAACCTCTATGTCTGTTCTAAACTTACAGTCTCGGAGAAATTAGCTTTAATGACATTAATTCTCTCCAGAAATGACCTGCTTTGCCAAAACATGAGCCATGTGTTTTTGGAGCCCCTCTCTCAATGATATCTTTTGGTATGAGAATATTTATGTACCCCGTACTACAAATTGGAGGAGTTGACTGTTTTATAGGTTGACAGGAGATACACAATTGTTCAATAAGACAATATGAAACAGCCTTCCAATATCCTCCTTACTATCTGGATATTGTGTTTTGATTGCATTAAAAGTTTATCCTTTAATTGTGTTCTTTGCATTTTGTTTAGAGTTTGGGACGAGAGAGTGAATAGTTTTTGCTAGTTTATGTACAAAAATTTATCAATTGGTTAAAAACCAGCTTAAACTTCTAAGAAGTCACTTAAACTCATCAATTTGTTTAGGTTACTTAGGATACTTTATATTGAACGTATTACTATCATTCGCTTATAGAATATTTAATTCAACATTCATCTCAAGAATTTATTGCTGCAAAAAAAATTCTGTGACAAAACTGGATGTTATAGACTGCATATAAGAGTCACATGAATGTCACCTGAAAGTCACGCTTTCCAATATCGCTGCGGAAAAAAAATTGAGAAATCTTCAGATAACAAACTCCAAATGCTTCGAAGTACGAACTAGAAATAAATAATTAACTTCTTAATTACAGTATAAACTGGACGAATACATACATACACAATCTACTGACAAAATACAAATCTAATAACAAAAAACGGTTTATTTTCTTAAATATCTAAAGTTTTGGATTCAGTTTTATTTCATTATAATCTCGATCATAATTCTTATCAGTTATATCAATAATATAATTAACTTTAACTTCATTAATAATTAAATCATTATCTGAAGATTTCTTAATTAATTGACATAAGAATTCATTAACTATTTTCAAATCTCTCAAGTTAATAATTTGAACAAATGCTTTTGTTTTTGCTTTGTTTTTAAAGATATTAATTAATCTTAGATTATGAAGATAATATAAATTACTAAGCAAATATTGTTTATTAACTGATTCAACAGAAAACATTTCGGCTTTTCTCGATTCTGCAATTATATGTTTAAGTAATCCTTTTGTATCTGGATATTTCAAATCATTATCATCAAGGATAATCTTCTTCTTTCCACGACCATTTCCATTACCATTAGCGAGATTCTTTGAATAATTGATAGCTAAAGATTGTGTCATTGTTAAGATATTTGAAATCAAGACATTATAAGATTCCAAAAATGGACGGGCCAAATTTGCAAATAATTTAAATTGGAATCGATCAATGATTTTATATGTGATATGATTATATTCTTTTTGGTCTTTAGTTAGTATACCATCATTAACCATATCATTCAAAATGAAAGTTAATCCATTTCTTGGATTTTCATCATGATCAAATAAGAATTCAGTTTTCAAGAATCCAGTACAGATATAGAATAATTTTGCAATCAATCTATGACTACATTCAGAATTATTCTCATCTAATAATAATAATATAAACAGAACCAAACATCTTTTGATGATTGAATGGATGGTTAAATTTTTGTAATATAATAATTCAAGTGGTGATTCAATCTTGATTAAATCGGAATTCTTGTTGACTTTGATATATCTAAAGAAAGAAGAAATTTCTCGTTTTGCAACCGTCACTAATTTTTCATCGGATAATTGTTGAAAATCTTCCAAGATTTGTTTATTCATTTTTAAATCTTGATTTTCTTTAAGGAAAGTGATTGTAATCAATCTAATAATTGGAATTAATTCTTTAATATCAAATTGTTCTTTCTTTTCAAGATAATAATATGCTTGTAATGCGGTTCCAATTAATGAAATTTCTGGTAAGAATCTTGATCTATTAATTTCATGTAAGATCTTAAACCCCAATTTTTTTAAATTAATTTGTTGGAAATCAGCTTCCTGTTTAATTAAACTTAAATTCTCTTCATCTTGCATATAATTTGAAAGTTTAAAATTATCACCTAATTTCACAAAGATTTTCCCGGTTAATGTACGTGCAGAATTATCATTATAACCAGATTGATCATATATTAATTTCGTATCTTGATTTCTAAATACACTAAGACCAACTGAAAGAATTCCAAATAAACTTTCTTGTTTTTTATCTTCTCCAGTTAATTCTTTTAAATATGAATCATTTTCATAAACACGTTCATAAGTCACTGCCATTGGTTGAAATAATAAATCAAAAGCATGATTTTTTTCTATAATTCTTTGATTTAAATACGAATGTACTAAAGATTTCAAAATTCCATATTTTGGTAATAATAATTTCCCATCTCTTGATCTACCACCTTCAATAAAAACTTCAAAATTAGATTTATTAGCCAATAAGAATTCAATAACATTATGTAAATTTCGTTCAGTATATAATTCATTATTAAAAGATCTTGGAATGAAAATTGCACCTAAATTTTTAAGAAATTCTCCCACTATAGCAACATTCATATTATCACCAGCTATAACAGAAGGAATTGCAATTCTAAATCGAACACAAATCAAATGAACAATAATATAATCTAAATGAGATTGATGTGATGGGAAGAATACAATAGACATGGGGTTTTCAAGATATTTTTGAAATAAATTTGATAATTCTTGATTTGATACCCAAATCCCTTTAGGGAATAATTTCTTCATGATAAATATGACTGTACAATAAGCCGTTCTTATAAAATCATGAGATTCAAATGTTGGTAAATTCTTTTTATTTTCTAATTTATAATGATTAATCATAAAATTTTTAACTTCATCAAATCTTGATTTAAATTCTGATGGTTTAATTAATTTTAAATTTAATTCTTGATTAATTAATTCATAAATTAATTCATTTAATTTTTCATCCTTGGTTTCTAATTTATCATTTAAATGTTGTTTAAATTTGGTTTTAAATCCAGGAGAATGTCGATTAAGGAAATATCGATATTCATTATCTTTATAAATAGCATCATATTTCTTAGAACCAGTTAAGAACCTAAAAGCATTATGTAATAAACTAAATGATCTACCAACTAGTTTTTCATTGGTTGAAATATCTAAATAAGTTTCTTTATCAGTTGGTAATGGAAAAGTTAAATCAATCGATGGTTTATCAAATGCATCTTCTAAGATATTGACATCAAAGTCAGAATTAGCCATGTCATGTTTATGTGGAATATTGGTTGTTGTTGTCGTTGGAGTTGTTTCTAAAGTCATGAGGTCAGCCATAGATGATGGGTTGGGGGTTGTTCCTGTTTTTGCAGTAAATTCGTTTGGTTGTCAAATAAGGGAACGGAAAAAAATAAGGAAAAAAGGAAAAGGAAAAATGGGGAATTATTTATATTAATGAATATCGGGATGTACCGAAAGAGAGTATACTATCCGAGAGAGTCGGTGGGTATGTGCAGACACAAATGAAAAAGGTGGAGGTAAACAATGGGGGAGGAAATGATTTTAATAAATATTAAAATAATTTTTCAAATTTTGATTTCTCCGAATTTTGCCAAACAAAAAAAAACCCAACAAAAATTTTTTTTTTCTGATTTTTATCATAAGACACTTTGCAGCTTATGTAAAAACCTTTCATCCTAAACAATTCTTCGTTTGTTTAAAAGTATTTTTTTATGTTGTATGTTTCTGTACATTACCATGCCACTAAGTCCGTCTTATACATTACATTACCTCAGAAATAAAGTATAGAAATATGTAATTGGCTTCCACCCTACGCAAGTCTATTAATTTTCGCTTAATTTATTATTTTTTCTAACAAAATTTTAACACAGCAGAAAACGTCAATCTTCGTCTTTCTTTGCAGCCAGATAAAAATTCTTCTGTTTAATCGAAAAGACCCCTCCTAAAAATGGAACTTCCACTAAGGAAATACTACCATCCCGAGCTGAGCTCAGAAGGGGTTAACTTGAAGTAGATAGATGGATAAGATTGACAATTTTGTTGAACTTAAAAAAAGAAATATTAAAAACCCAAAGGATAAAAAATCGTTTCAGTTAACTGCGAGATAAATTGATCGTTCCCAGTTTTGTGTTGTTTGACAGCTAGTAGGAAACTCCTGTAACAAAGATCTTGTTCCAAAAGGACCACGACAGCTTTATCAATATTGTATGAGGATAGTCTTAAATCCGCACTAAACAATGAAGAATCGATCCAACAAAATGAGTCTTTCCAAATGGAGTAATAGAGCATGAAAAAATGAAAATTTACACACCCGAAAAATTTGCAGCAAAGCATTCTGATTGCAGCCAATAATATTGTAAATTTCTAATAAAAGAAATACTAAATAATAGAGACAGCTTTAATGATTACGACATTCTTGTATTTCTTTAATATGCCCACCTTCTAATTGTTCATCCAATGTATCATTAGGATCAATTTTAAATATCTTATCAGGATTCAAAATACGTCTAGGATCCAAAGCTAATTTAATTTGTCTCATAGCATCAACAGTAGTTATCCCCAATTCTTGAGGTAAATACTTTCTCTTACCTACCCCTACTCCATGTTCTCCAGTAGAAGTACCTTCATAATTAAGTGCTCTTTCAACCATCTTATCAACAACTTGAGATACTACACCATGATCCTTTGAATTAAACAAGATCAAAAAATGACAATTTCCATCCCCAATATGACCCATAACTGAGAATTTATTGTCATAACCACCTTCTATTAAATCTTGGTTTATCTCACTGATAATGCTAGATAATTTGGAAATTGGTACTGCAATATCAGTAGCCCATACATTTACATCATTAGGATCTTCTAATACTTTAGCACCATGTTCAAATGTCGACCAAAGTCCACTTCTTCTTGCCAGCCATAATTCTTGATTCATATCTTCATCATGACTACTTTCAAATTTGATTACATTATTCTTGGCGGCAATTGCTTCAACTACTTTTGTTTGTTCTGCAATTGCCTGTTCACTAGCACCACCAAATTTCATAAACAAAGTTGGATGTTCTAAATACCTTGTCTTTGAATCAGAAAATTCATTCACAAATGACATCATAGTATCATTAAGAATCTCAATTGCATTAGGTTGAATCCCCTGAGAAATCAAATTTTGAGCAGTAGCAGCTGCATCTTTAATAGTTTCAAATGCGGCAATACTAACAAATTCAAATTTTGGTCTCACATGTAATTTCAAAGTGATTTCAGTTATCACCCCCAAAGTCCCTTCACTTCCAATAAACAATCTCGTCATATCATAACCGGCACTCGACTTCCTTGGTCTTTGTTTCGTCTTAATAATCGTTCCATCAGCCAATACAACCGTCAAATTCACAACATTCTCCTTCATCGTGCCATATTTAAACGCATTCGTTCCCAGAGCACTAGTCCCTACCATTCCAGCAATATTTGCTCCCATTCCAGGATCAGGTCCAAATAATAAATGGTCCCCCTGAGGATCATTCCTCAAAAAATCATCCAAATCCTGCCATCCTACTCCGGGTTCCACCACAATATCTAAATCCTCAGGATGGAATTCAAGGATTTTATTCATATGTCCAAATGAAAGTGAAATACTATATGGACCACGGGTATGGATATTCTGCCCCTCGACTGACGTTAATCCAGAACTAGCAACCACGGGGATTCTATACTCATGAGCGATTTTTAAAACCTCGGAAACTTCCTGAGTTGAATTAGGATAGATTACGACATGGGGATGTTGTTTGGTTGGATCGGGTGGATGATGGGTTTGGAAGAATGAATCATTATGGGTATGAAGGACGTCTTTATCAAATGATGCGTGTTCTTTGCCTACGAGATTGAGGATTTTGGATAAGCCAATTTGAAATTCTTGTTCAGTGGCATAGATTGGTGGGGATAAGGTCGATAATGGGGATGTCGATAAATCTGGTGTTGGGGATTTTTGTTGTTGTTGTTCTTGTTGTTTGAAAACTGTTTGACCAAGATAGATACCTGCTCCCAGGAATACTGTTGCTAATGCAAAGTATTTGAATAATTGAGGGCCAGTGGTTGATTGAGGTGTGGCTCTGGTAGAGTTGAATCTAACTCTAGAGATTGGTCTGATTAGTTTATAACCCAATCTAAACATTTTGGTTAAAAATTGCCTTTGGAAAGAAAGTTTATTTCAAGCTTAAGGTTGGTTTGATCGTTAATTTATAGTGTAGGGGGAGAGTGGGGGAAATTGTGGGAGTTGTCTCGAGTTTGTCTCGAAGATCGCGTAAGATTTAAAACTGATTTATCCGAAAAGCCACAATAAATTGTAATTAGAGACAAAAAAAAAAAGCAACGGAAAAAGAAATATCCTATTACGACATTATATATCCTATTACGACATACGACATTATTTCTTTTTCTTTTCAAATAAAAAACCGTTATCTATTTATCTCCCCATTGTTCTACTCATTGTTTTGTAAAGATTAGTTGATATCACGTGCAATTAATCAACCACCAAAATTTTCCAATTTTTGCAATGGGAATTGGATATGTTCATTATTATTAATAAGCAACACACATTTCCATAATCTTTCTTTCTTTCACTTCTTCCTTCTTCAACCATACCAAAGCAAGTAGTTGTTCCCCCCAAGATTATGTCTCCACATGCATTGGTAGAAGAACCTAGTGTTCCATCCTCATCCTCAGTCAGTGTTAATGAACTTGATGCTGGTAATATTGCCATCATTAAAGCTAATCCATTTGGTACAGCAGTTGACCCAAACTTAATCAAAGGATCCGTCTACACTTCCGCCTCCACCATCATTAATCAAACTGTTTATTCTATCGCTTCTAAAATTTTTAGTTATGAAACTATTGGGGATGATAATTTATTAGATTCTCATATTCAATTATGGACCCAAACTTATCAAAGAACAAATTCTTTTGGGATTGTTCCATTTTTCCATAAATTCCAAGTTAGATCCGGTGCTTCCAATGCTATTTTAGGGTATTTTAAGAAGAATGGGACTAATGGACAACCAGTGTCTGCATTTGTTGGTGCTAATGCTTTGAATTATATGAGAAGTTCATTATCTGGTCAAGTGGCTAATAACTTACCTTTAGCTTTTAATGTATCTGCTATTGATTTTGATCAAGAGACTAATTCATTGGTTTCCAATTATGGATCACCTTTAAGTGTTGCTCGTGCTTTGAATTATTCGGTTTTTACTCCAGTTGATGCTAATGACGGATTGGAATTACAACATTTAGCTATTTTGAATCATGTTTTTGCTTCTTTTGTTGGAAAACCTTCTTTATATTTATTCGATGGTCCTGAATTTGCTAAAACTTTTACTAAATTCCATGATTTATTATCAGTTGAAAAATTAGGTCATTTATATCAAGATTTATTATTGAAATTAAGTTCAGTTTCTGTTGGTAATTTAGATCAAGCTATCGATGCTGTTTTTGTTGCATTGAATGATTTAACTGGAAAGACTTATTCACAATTTGAATATACTGGTGCTGCTAATCCTGAAACTGTTTTTGTTGTCTATGGTTCTCATGAAACATCCCAAGTTTCTTCTGTTGTTGGTACCACTACTGGTTTGATCAAAGTTAGAGTCCCATTACCTTTCAACCAAGATAAATTCTTAGCTTCAATCCCATCATCCACCAAGAAATTAGTCGTTTTAACTCCAAACACCAGTGATGTTTCTTTGAAAGCCGACATCACCGCTTCGGTATACTTAAGTGGAAGATATCATACCTTATCAATCGATGAATTCAACTATCCACTCGATTTCAACTGGACTCCAATCACAATCACCAAGATCTTAACCCAATTCGACCCAACCTTAAACATTGATCAATTATTACCACCTCCAGCTGCTGCCACTTCCATCAATGGATCTGCATTAACTGCTAACTCCTCTCCTGAAGGTAAGTACTTATTCTGGGGTAAAGACAATAGCATCCTCGTTCCAACCGCTGATAGATTAGCATTATCATTATCATTAGACAATACCAAAACAATCAGTATCAGAAACAAATTCGATAATGCCACCGCGGGGGGATTATTCCAATCTCAAATCGTTTCCACCAGCTCCAGTGAAATCCAATCGGTTGATGCTGCTGATGTTGTGATTATTGATGATTTATCAATTTTGGACAATTATGATATCGTAGCCACCACAAAACCAGGGGCTCATATTTTGTATATCAACCCAAAAAAACCAATCACTAGCATTGAAGAAGACGTGATTGGGAAATTATCAATTGATTTCAAGAAAGCCGTTGCTAGGAATGAGAATAAATTATCATTAATTGATTTTTCAATTCTTGAAACTTTAGATGAATTGAATAGTTCCACCAAGGGATTCTCAGGGGATTTTTTGGTTCAATTAGGATTTTGGCGAGCTGCATTGCCGGAATTGGATGGGTTTATTGTTAATAAATTATTACAAGCTAATGGTAATTCTTTTGAATTGTTAGGTACGGTTTTGGATAATTTTATTAAGATTGTGGATGAGAATCAAGGGATTAAGGAAATTCCAGTCTCTCCTGAATGGGTTGATTTAGTTGAAGAAGCACCAAGCAAGGAAGAGCAACAACCAGAAGAATCAGATGACATTGAAGTCGATGAAGAAGAAGAAGTTGAATTACCATTCTTCCCAATCGAAACCTCCTTCTTCCCTAATCCAAGAACCGCCTCCACCACCAACTCCACCGAAGAAATCAGCACCACCTCAATCAAGAGCCTTGCCACCAAGATCGCCTTCCCGGAAGCATTTGGAATTTCACAAGAATTAAGACCCGATTTACCAGTCAAGAATTTCGTCGTCAAGGTCCAAGAAAGCAAACGATTAACACCAGCTGAATATTCCAGAAATATTTTCCATATTGAATTCGACACCACTGGAACTGGATTAACTTATGATATTGGGGAAGCATTAGGTATTCATGGAAGAAATAACCTGGAAGCCGTTGAGGCATTCTTGGACTTCTATGGCGTAGATGGTGATTCTCTTGTTGAAATCACCAACAAGGACGATGCCACCCTTTTAGAAATCAGATCAGCAAGACAAGCTTTATCCGAAACCGTTGATTTCTTAGGCAAGCCCCCCAAAAGATTTTATGAATCCTTAAGTGAATTCGCCACCGACGAAAAGGAACAACAAGCATTACGTAAACTCGCCAGTGCTGAAGGTGCTGCTGAATTGAAACAAAGGCAAGAAGTTGAATTTGATACCTATTTCGACATCTTGGAAGAATTCCAATCGGCCAGACCCAAATTTGAAGAATTGATCAAAATCATCGCTCCATTGAAGAGAAGAGAATATTCAATTGCTTCTTCGCAAAGAATTCATGAAAATGCCGTTCATTTGTTGATTGTGGTTGTGGATTGGATCGACCCAAGAGGGAGATTGAGATATGGACATTGTTCTAAATATTTATCCGATTTGAAAATTGGTGATGAATTGGTCGTGAGTGTCAAACCATCAGTTATGAAATTACCTCCATTATCCACCCAACCGATCGTTATGTCCGGGTTAGGTACTGGTTTAGCCCCATTTAAGGCATTTGTTGAAGAAAAGATTTGGCAACAACAACAAGGTATGGCAATTGGGGATATTTATTTATATTTAGGTTCAAGACATAAGAAGGAAGAATATCTTTATGGAGAACTTTGGGAAGCTTATAAAGATGCCGGAATTTTAACCCATATTGGGGCTGCTTTTTCAAGAGATCAAAAACAAAAGATTTATATTCAAGATAAGATTAGAGAATCAATTGAAGAATTGACTGATGCTATTGTGACTAAGAATGGTAGTTTCTATTTGTGTGGTCCTACTTGGCCTGTACCTGATATCACTGCTTGTTTGGAAGATATTGTTGCGAATGGTGCTAAGAAGACAGGTGTAGAGATTAAGGATGTTGCTAAGGTTGTTGAAGATATGAAGGAAGATGGTCGTTATATCTTAGAAGTTTATTAGATATAGTTTTAGTTTGTGTGGTTTTTTATATAAGTTTTGTTTTAGTTTAAAATTGATTTTCATAGATCAAATACCATTCACTCTATTGTATTGATTACTCTATAAATTGTATACAAATGTAGAATGGTTATCTAAGTTGCTTGTCAGCATTGAGTATTGGCGTCTTGAGCTACTTACATAACATCAAGTAAATCACAACGGGCAAGACCTTGCTTACTTTGCCCAATGCTTCAAGCTGAATGCTTATTTAAGTTTTGTCGCTCTGGATTTCACGAAATGCAGACGCTAGTCTTTAATAGAAACAGCATTTTCAATCTCTCTAGATATTGCACTGACAAGAGTCTGACCCTAATATCTAGTAGCAATGGCATGGAACCCAAACTATGCATGAGAACCGTTATTCTTCAAGTGCGGTAGATTGAACCTGGTTGCAAATTGACATAATCTAAATAGTCTATTACCAGCTTATCATAGTAAGAAAGCTTCCATTCCATTCGATGATTACCCAATCGAATAAACGAATACAAATTTATTCATACAATGCAACAACAACTTCCTTTCAACACTTCCATTCCCACTCTCATTATCGTCATCCTCATTATAATCCAATTCAATAACTTTATCACTCACCATAGAACTACCTAACCTACTTACCAAACTATCTTTAAGCTTGATACATTGATCTAATGGTAATGGTTTATTATTTGACAATTGAATAGATCCAATTAAATCCCATGTATTAGTAAATACAATTACATAATCAATTGGTGTAATTGAATTATAATATTTTAATTGTTGATTAATTATTTCAATTGTTGATATTGGAAGTTCCATTGGTGACTGTAATTGGTTACCTTATATTGTTTCGTAAATTTGAAAAATTATTATTATTTAATAATGAAAGGTTAATCCCCGGAAAAAAAAAATAGAGAGATTCAATTTGAAATGTGGGGGGTGGGGGCGGGATTGTAGAAGGGTTATTGATTTTAATGATTCGATGTATTTTTTTTTTTTTGGGTTTTCTATTATTAGACTTGACAACAATTAACAAAAAAGTGAATCTCCCGAGGTTATTTATTGCAGGAGGGGATGAAAAGGTAAAAATTGAATGACTTGAGTTAATTATAGTGAGTCTAATGATAATCATACAATTGTATCTGTAAAAAAGTGGAATGACCGACTGATTGGCTGTTTAAGATAAATAAGGGCTATGAATTGTTTTTTTTTTTTCCGCTTCTATTTGCCACTTTGTAAAACCAAAAATGAGATCATTCAAATTATGTAACCTGTAAAAATAATATACTCTCACGCGCAACCAACCAACCTATTGTAGTTTTACAGGTTGAACCGATTCCTTAACCTAAAGAAGCAATAACCATGATATGTGTGAATATGAATCATGTGATCTATAGCAAGTATATTAAAGATAACGGAATTGATGAAATCTTCAATCTGAAAATTAATGTTACAATTAGAAATTGAACATTAGATTGCATTTTATGAATTTGAGTCATCCATTCATAGATTGACAGTTGTTAAGAGATGTTGATGATCATTAAACAAAAGTTAAAAAATAATTAAAAATCTTAAGCTTTTTTTTTTTAAGAGGGATCAACCTTACATTTAGGGTTGCCCTTACGAAGGGGTTTATCCTGTGACTACTTTGTTGTCCTGACATTATAGATAACAGAGGTTAAGCTTTTAATTAGTCACGATAATCAAATGATTTCACCTATTGAAGAAAAAGATCCCGAAGGGGGGGGCATGGGCGTGCGTGGGAATAGCTGGGAATTGCCGCTAAAAAAAAAAGAAAAAGAATTAAACCCGGAATGGGAATTAAGTTTAGTTAGTTTCAGATTGACGCGTTCGTTAATTAAATGAATCTGTATGATGCATCAGAGAGAGACTCAAATAATCTTCAGGTTGATATTCAATCTTATAAGGGCTTCAAAGAGAAGCAACTCTTTGAAGAGTTTAGCAACCATTCTTCTTTTGTTGAACCCAAAAAAAAAAAATCGCAACCATTAAACAAGTGAAAAATTAAAAAATGAAAAATAAAAAAAATAAAAAATTAAAACTTAATAAACTTAAAAAATAATAAAAATAAAATTTTAAAGAAAAAAAAAACGGTCACTAACCGAATGACGGGGTACACTGTAAATTACAACCTTAAAAACCAATCACTATTTGCAAATTAGTGATCGTATATGATAACTAATCAATAAAAATGAATGACTTGGAGAATGTCGTCATATTTTGGAATGTTTCAATTATAAATTCTTATTTGCTTGTAAAAAATGACATCAGGTTTTTTTTGTTTTTCACTACCTGACATCAATTTTCTTGAATTTTTGCAGGTTTTTTTTAAATTTATATTTTATTTTAATAATACACACATTCACTCGTACACAATTTATTTTTAAGGTTATTAATAAACAATCATAGATTAATTTACAGATTAAAATTAGATTCTTAATCTTTCGTATTGTATGTTTGCAGATGGCTATGACTTGTAACATGTAAACGAAATGGGAACCTTTAAGAAAACCAATCTACATATATCTTCCGAGGTTTTTTTTGCAGAATGATCATTTTTTTTTAAACTCGGTGCTGTCGGAGTTATAAAAAAGAAAACCAATTAAGGTTAAAAGCTTGTTATAAGTGTAAGAAAAATTTATTAGTCATATGTTCTCAACTTACCAACTAATTACTACCCCCCCTAACTTTTTTTTTTCACAACCCCCCCACACCCAATTCTTTTTTTTTTTATGACTGTGTTAAATTATTTTTTAACTCTTTCTTATCAGACACACCATACTAAATTAAAATTAAAATAAAAAACCACAGTGTTAAAAGTAAATCCCCCCCACCTTTGAAAAAATAAATAAATAGGATTTGAAAAATCATTCATTTTTATTTTTCTTTTTTTTACATTTTACATTTTATTTTACATTTATAATCTCCAGACAAATACAACAATTTTATTTCAGACAGTTTTCATAAATTTCATTTACTTTAACAACTATCAGACAGACAGACAGACAGACATCTAACATACCAAATGACATCACGTTCACCAATACCATTATCAAGTCTAATGAATTCAACAACACCTCCACCACAACCACAGCAACCACAACCACGCCCACACCCACAACAACAACAACTCCCACACTTTCAAGCAATATCCCGCTCACCTCATTTCATGACTCACCTGGCTTCAGTACCACCATTTAATTCACCACCACCACCAGCAATAGCCCTCCACCAACAACAACAACAGCAACTCTCCCCAAATATCTCCATGTCTCCTCCATCATCACACAAACAACATCTCCACCCCCAACACCACACATCCAAGAAACAATTATTATCAACCTCTTCACCAGAAGGTATCCAAGTCGCCTCCAAAATAACCCCAACAAGATTAGCCAATCTCTTAATCCGTAAAGGTCCATTACCTATCCGTCATATAACCGCCCAATTATCAATTGAGGTTCCTCAATTTGAATCCCTTTCATTATCAAAACAACGGAGATTGATTATGGCCGCTATGGAACAGACTGATTTGGTTAATAATGTTGTTTTTGAAAAGATTGGATGGGGACAATGGGCGGTTAGAAAAGTTGATTCGGATTATATTGTTACCGAAGGTACTGAGGGGAATTTGGCTACTAGTCCAGAAGAGAATGGAAACAATGAAAAGAAGTTGATTAATGTGAATGATTTGAGAAATCAAACCAATTTGAAATTGGGTTGGTCAAAGAAGAAGAAACAACAAGCTGGTGCAGTTGGTAATGGAGAGTCGGTTAGAAGAGAAAGTATAACTAATCATAGTAAGAATTTACATAATGTTAAATTACCTAATGAATCTTCAATAGAATCAAATGCAATGATATCGGATGATTCTGAATCTGAAGATGAATATGCAATTTCTGATCATATGGAATCATCAAGCGAAGAGGAAGAAGAAGAAGAACACGACTCAGTATTCACATTTGAAGAAGAAACCACATCATCATCAATAAACCGTTTCAAGAAATCTCCACCCCCTATTAAATTCGCCAAACGAGTCCCACTCAAATTCAGTCCACCTCCAATTGGAGGAACATCCGCTGCTACTGACTCCACCCGGTCTAGAAGAAAATCATCCACCTCATCCTCAGTAGGAGCCTCCTCATCAATCCAAAAACCATCATCCTCGGCATCCTACAGACATCACCACCACCATCATCAACTCCTAAACCGTTCCCGCTTAAATTCAATAGAAAATCTCGACAATTACATCATCTCCTCTGCCAAAAACTCCACCGGATCGATCAACTCCCCACCACCACCACCACCTCCTGCCATCTCCTTCTCATCTTCCCCCATCAATAACCCCAACACCTGGAATAATGGGAATTATATCCATCATCATCATTCAATGGACACAATCCCCAGCGAGAACACTAATAACGATAACACAAATAAATCAAGAAGAAAGTCCTCATTTAATGAATCTCACGTCAGATCGACTTTGTCAAGTTCATTACCCCAACATCAACGACATCAAGTGGTTACCCATAGTAATCTATCCGTGCATGAGAGTGTAGTGGCTAGTGATACTGATGAGGAAGATTGGCGGGCAATGGGACCTGAGAGTTTGAGAAAGAATAATGGGGGGATTAAGAAGAAGATGAATGCTGCTTTGAATGGGCATGGTGGGGCCGTACCTAGGACCCCAGAGAAGAATGTGGTGAGTGGGGATATTAATGAGGAAGATAAATCGGCGGCATTTGCTTTGGTACATTTAATGTCGATTTAAAAATGGGTTTATGGGTTTAATGATTGGGTTAAGATTGAGATTTTGTATAGAAATTTTATTAAAAATATGGAAAAAGTTTATTTAGTTTTTGGTTAAGTATACTAAGGGTATATGTTTTGTTTTGTAATGTTATTATTATTATTATTATTAGTTTTATTAGTTTTTAGAATTCTTTTTTGAATGAATGTATTATTAATACACCCAACAAATCAACTCTGATCAATTTCTTGTATCCACTTCTAACTTGTTTAGATACTTCATCTTCAAAATCAAAAGGTTTGACCTTCTTTTCAACCACCTTGGAATTGGAACCCCCCTTCCCGGATTCTCGAATTGTATAGGCCGCATCCAATACTGATAGGAAATATCGTTCAAAACAAAGAGTTGCAATGACAACCCCGAAAAGTATTTTATCCGCTCCTCTTCAGGTGTTAACAATACAACCCCCATATCTAATTCCCCCTATTCCGGGTTTGTCCCGTTCGGCATTTCCAATGTCGTCATACAGGGGGGGAATGTCTTGATTGAGTGAAAGGGTGGTTGGTTGGAAGGGAGGGAGGTACATGTGGAGGGGGAAGGCAAATTATTGTTGAATGTCAGTGCATCACGGACATCCCTAAGAAAATTAATTTATAATTTTTATTAGAGAAATTGTATAAGTAAATTGGTTGAAGAGATAGTAATGTGATAAATGCGGTTGCGATAGGTTGGTTGCAAAATATTAATGCCAGTTGGAAGTAGATATGTGTCTTTGTGTTATATTGGTAAGTCTCCCTTTCGCGATGAAATTGCGCGTAATTTTAATCATATTTCCTAATTGGGTTAAATAATTAAAAAAGTTTACGCGTCTCGAGAAATTTCAATGAACTTTTTTTTTCATTTCATTTTCACCTTTCGTTTCTTAAAAATTCAAATAACTTCAACTTGATTTCTTTTTCATTTTTTATATCTTTCTCTTTCTGATTATCTTAAAAGTTACCAAACGATGTCAACTACAACAGCTACGGTATTACCTTCAATCCAATTGAAGGTAAACTACAATGAAATCAAAAATGTAATCAATGATTTCTTAACTCAATTTAAAGATACAACCATAGATATTGACTCAGACTTAGAAGAACCACAACAAATTCATTCCGGGAAATATATGAACATCTTACAAAAAGTCGCCAACAGAACTCAATCAACAATTTATATCGAATTAGATGATTTAAAATTATTCTTAACCAATTATAATCCAGAATCACTGCAACGTTTCCAAGAGTCTCGGGGATTATTATCAACCATTATCAACAATTCTCATAGATTTATTGAATTATTCAGTGGTGTAATTGATGAAATCATGCCGGAACCAACTGCTGATATTAATTATAAAGATGATGTTTTGGATGTTATTTTACATCAACGTAGATTACGTAATGTTAGATTACAACAAGAATCTACTGAAGAAACTAATAGATTACGTGATGGATTCTTTTCCCAAGATAACGACCAAACCCAACAACAACAAACACAAGCTAATCCAGACACTGACAACAATCAATTCCCAGCTAAATTAACCAGAAGATATTGTCTCTATTTCAAACCATTATCCCACTCCACCGACAAATCCCTCTCCGTCAGACAAATCAAAGGAAAATTCGTCGGGCATTACATCACCGTCCGTGGGATCGTCACCCGAGTATCCGACGTCAAACCAACAGTATTAGTCAACGCTTATACTTGTGATAAATGTGGATATGAAATTTTTCAAGAAGTAAATTCAAAAATCTTCACCCCATTATCAGAATGTACTTCTCCTGCATGTCAGAGTGATAATTCAAAGGGACAATTATTTATGTCTACTCGTGCTTCGAAATTCTCGAGTTTTCAAGAAGTTAAGATTCAAGAAATGTCAAACCAGGTTCCAGTGGGACATATTCCCAGAACATTGTCCGTGCATGTGAATGGAGATTTAGTCAGATCGATGAATCCAGGTGATACGGTTGACGTGAGTGGGATCTTCATGCCAGCTCCATATACTGGGTTTAGAGCATTAAAAGCAGGATTATTGACTGAAACTTATTTAGAAGCCCAACATGTCAGACATCACAAGAAACAATATGATGCTATGGAATTATCATTACAAGCCCAGCATAAAATCAATGATTTATTAAGTGAAGGAGATGTTTATAATAAATTAGCTAAATCAATCGCTCCTGAAATCTATGGTCATTTAGATATCAAGAAAATCTTATTATTATTATTATGTGGTGGTGTTACCAAAGAAATCGGGGATGGTCTCAAGATCAGAGGTGATATTAATGTTTGTCTTATGGGAGACCCCGGGGTGGCCAAATCTCAATTATTAAAAGCCATTGGGAAAATCGCCCCTCGGTCAGTGTATACCACCGGTAGAGGTTCTTCTGGAGTTGGGTTAACCGCTGCAGTTATGAGAGATCCCATAACTGATGAAATGATCTTAGAAGGTGGTGCGTTAGTGTTGGCCGATAATGGGATTTGTTGTATTGATGAATTTGATAAAATGGATGAAAATGATCGTACTGCAATTCATGAAGTTATGGAACAGCAAACGATTTCCATTTCAAAAGCCGGGATTACAACTACTTTGAATGCTAGGACTTCTATTTTGGCAGCTGCTAATCCGTTATATGGAAGATATAATCCAAGATTATCACCACATGAAAATATCAATTTACCCGCAGCCTTGTTGTCAAGATTTGATATTATGTATTTAATCTTAGATCAACCTTCTCGTGAAAATGATGAAAAATTGGCCAGTCATGTGGCATATGTTCATATGCATAACAAACAACCAGAAATGGATTTCGAACCAGTTGATTCTGGGACAATTAGAGAATATATTTCTCGAGCAAGAACATATCGTCCAGTTGTCCCTAAGGAAGTTGGTGATTATGTGGTACAATCATATATCAATATGAGAAAAGAATCCCATAGAAATGAAGGTTCAGTTAAGAAATTCAGTCATATTACTCCTAGAACCTTATTAGGGATATTAAGATTAGCTCAAGCATCTGCCAGATTAAGATTTGATAATTTTGTTACATTTGAAGATGTTGATGAATCTTTGAGATTGATTCAAGTGTCGAAATCTTCATTATATGCTGAAGATCAAGATCAAATTAGAGAAGATGAATCTACCACGTCTAAGATTTATCAAATTATTAGAACTATTGCCATGGGTGATAGATCTAGATTTAATCGTACTTTACCTATGAATGAAATTAAACAAAGAGTGATTGCTAAGGGTTATACTATACAAGAATTTGAAGATTGTATTTTAGAATATGATGGGGTTGGTGTTTGGCAAAAGATTGATAATGGTGAGACTTTGATGTTTACCAACACTGGTGTTGATGAAGATGAAGAAATGAGTTATTAGAATTTCAGTTTGTTAGTGTTTTGTATATTAGAGTTTTGTATTAATAAATAAAGTTAAAGAGAAAAAGAATTCAGTGTTCATAATTTTGTTCTTCTTGTTGCTCTCTCTTCTTCTTCTTGTGGTTCATTCGATGACATCAAGATTGACAAGTAGAAGTAGATCACATGATGATCATGCAAGTATAACACTTGCAACTAACAACTCAGAGTTGGAAGACATTCCTATTGAACCACTACCTAATGCTATAGATGAATCAATGGAACCCACGGGCACTACCCCATATTCTCAACAACAGCAATCATCAGAACAAACATTAGATGGAGACAATAAGTCAAAATTTAAAGATATGTTTAAGATGACAATTGTATTAGACAATAATGGATCTGTAGCTCGAGATCATGTATGTATACATACCCTATAGCATAACTAGTAATGAATATACTAACAGTTCTTTGTAGATGGCTAATGAAAGAACATATCTTAGTTGGATAAGGACTTCATTAACATTTATAACATTTGGAATTGCTTTCTTACAATTCTTTCGTATTGATCAAAAGATGGCGGTAATAGCAACTGATACAACAATAGATAATACAATAACTACATTAGGTAAACCTATTAGTATCATATGTATACTATCAGGTATCTTATGTTTAATATTTGGTAGTTTTAGATATTTTCAAGTTCAATATTATTTGATTTATAATTATTATCCAATTACAAGATTATCAATTATTATATTGTTATTAATTAACTTATCTATAGTATTACTATTACTACTATTAGACTTTAAGATTACTATATAGAATTACTTAGTTAGAATATACACAGAGTAACCTCCCATGACATCTCTAATATTCCCAACAACCAATTTCAAGTGAAAAATTTCAAACCCAACCAGAGAAAAAAACTCAACAAACAAATTTCAACAACAAACATATTGAATTGCTCTTCCCTATATACACAGATAAACATATACATATACACATACACATACAATGTCAGATTACGCATCACATACAGTCGCACAATTGAAAGAACAATTAAAAAACAGAGGATTAACTACTGATGGAAAGAAAGCAGATTTAGTTCAACGTTTAGAAGAATCTGATAGCCAGCAACAACACTCAGAAACCATTGAAGCTCCAATTGAAGAGCAAGAGGAAGTAGCACAACAACAACAAGAAGTCAATGAAGAAGTACAACCAGAAATAGTCAACGAAACCCACGAAGAAGAAGGAGAAGGTAAAACATTAACTGTAATTCAACCGGAAGAAGAAAAACCAGAACCACCAAAAATTCTTTCACCAGAAGAAAGAAAACAATTAGCAGTTGAATTATTACGTAAGAAGGTTTCAAGAGCTGAAAAATTTGGAGATGAAGCAGCTGCTGAAGCTGCCAAAAAGGATTTAATTAGGGTTGAGAAATTTGGGGTTGAATTAGGAACTGCTTTAGCTAGAGAAATTGGATTAGTTGATCAAGGATTAGGTAATGGACATCATAATAAAAAGAGATTTAATCATAGAAAGAATTTTAAAAAAGGGGGGTTTAAGAAATTCAATAAAAAGAATCGTAATTAAGGAAAGAAACAGCTAAGTATAATGTAGGGTTTATATTTATAGGTCGTTTTTATATTATCCATGTAGAATATCTTTCTCTGTTTATATATATATGTGTGTACATTAGATTAGTGTTTTCAACCTCTCTTTGTCTTTTTGTAAAAAATTATGTAACAAAATAAAATATACAATCAATAAGAATAGAAGGAGATACTACCTAGAGCCTATCTCATCAAGATGGAGAGTGTGTTTGTAGAGACCAGGGGGGACGCTTCCTTAGCCATTCCTATTGGTACGGCAATACGGGTCAGTCTTCCGCAAGACTGTGGAAGAAACACAATTTTTTTTTAGAAAACTTCCAGCAAATTAAATTCACTCATATCAACCAATTGATACTCAATTACGCTTTGATAGACCTCCTTTTAACTTTATGAACGTGTGGTAGTGATAGGCGGTGCTACATACATCCAAACCAATTGCTAATCCAACAACCACAGTCGTGTACTTTATACCAAAATTCAACCACCCAAAAACAAAAAAAAAAAGTAAAAAAAAAGACAAATCCGACGATTTCAAAAAAATTTGTTTCAATTCTTCTTCTTGGTTCTTCTTAAAGCAACACACAACACAATACAACACAATCATGCCAAAGAATACATTATATGTTACAGGATTCTCAAAAGAATCTAAGGCAGCTGATTTAGCTCCAGATTTTGAAAAGTATGTATGAAAGTTCATGGCTAACCAAACAATAGAGAATACTTTTTTGTTTCTTTTATTTTTCACTTCTTTACTTTTTGATTTTTTTTTATGTTTAACTTCTATCAGTTCTGATTTATATAGGATTCTTCTATTTCTATCTGTCTGTCTGTCTTTCTAGTGGATCTTTCTGATTCACTGCCCCCACCCATTGGATTCTCATTGTTAATCAAACAATTCCCGAAAGTCCCCAGAGTTTAGCATTGAAATATCCAAGAAATCATTCATATGCATCCAATCAATCAATCCTTCAGTCATTCATTCCTTCCTTCCAAGTTTATATTACTTCATTCCTTCCTTCCCCAATTTTCCAGAAATCATTTCCTTTCATTTCATTTCCTTCCCTTTCCTTTTCAATTTCTCCAAAATATCAATCAAAAAGAGAGAACAAAAACAAATAGAACAGAAAGAATTCAACTACAAACAAAACTAAATAATATTAAAGAACAATCCAAAGAAAACTAACATAATTTAGATATGGTGAATTAGTCAGATTAGACATCCCCCCACCCAGAACCGACGACGGGGAAAAATACGCATTTGTAGAATATAAAGATGCAGAAAGTTGTGAAAAAGCTTTGGAATTAGATGGGAAAACATTACCCTATTCCTTAAAAGATGGACTTGTTGTTCAAGTCGCCAGATCCGATCCATATTCCGTTAGAACCAGAGGTGGATTCAGAGGTAGAGGTGGATACGGATATGCTCCAAGAGGTGGTGCCTATAGTAGTGCTCCAAGAGGGGGATATGGTAGTTATGGTCCACCTAGAGGTGGTAGAGGTGGATATGGTGGATATCGTGGAGATTATGGCAGTGGTTCCCGCGGTGGATATGGCGGATATCGTGGTGATTATGGCTATGGTGGCGGCCGTGGTGGTGGATATGGTGGATATCGTGGTGATGGTGGATACAGAGGTGGTCGTGGTGGAAGTTATGGTAGTGATAGGGGTGAATACCGTAGTAGCCGTGGTCCTACTTATGACAATAGAGCCGATAGATATAGAGATGATCGTGAAGGAGGAGAGAGAAGAGGTGGTGAACAACGTGAAGGTGGTGATAGAGGAAGTAGAGATGGTGATTATGGAAGAGGGAAATATTCCAGATCGCCTTCTAGGTCTCCACCAAGAAGAGAAAGATCAAGATCTCCAGAACGTTATTAAACCTCTTTGCGCACGGTGTGATGAAAAAACTTACAAATATCTTTTCTGTATTTATACATATCTTTCTCTAGCAGTTCAACAACAAGATTTTATAAATAGCATATAAAAATATATATCATTCTCATGAATCTATATCCCCGTAAATCCTCTACTATGATTCCCCGTTATACCTGAATATCTCAAACTTTCCATCCTTCCCATAAAACTCAAAGCCGACACATTCACATTACTAGCAAGATTTTGAATACTTACGTATCTCATAGTCGCAAAAATACACATTAATACAATCGAATCAGCATCTATCGATAATGTACTATTCGGGTTCTCAGTTAAGAAAGTATCATCCTGATACATTTCAATCTGCCCCGCCTCGGTGAATTTCTTGGGAATCTGCATAATATGGGGATTTGGATCTTGATATAGGAATCCTTCTTTACATGAACCAAATGGAGGGAGATTACTGCTTATGAATTTACTACTGGGTTGAGCAAAGATAGTTATATCTTCTGCAGCGAGTTCACTTCTTGGCATTGGGTTTATGTATGTCGTTGGATCCAGTTCGATGAATTCTTGATATTGATTCGAGATATGAGTAGATGAAGTTGATGGTGATGGTGATGATGATGATAAGGATGACGAACCCGATTTTTTACTCTTTTTGACTAAATCCAGGAATCCAAATGATTTTTTATTATATACTGTATCAGTAAATGAACATTGATCATCATCCAATACTAATAATCTCATAAGAGGGTTAAATTCTTGCATTAATCCCAGAGTAGTCGCCGGTCCAATTATTCTAAATCGAGTATGTTTATAATTAAAATCAGCAAATGGTCTATAATTACTTTGGAAAACGGCAATTTTAAATGCTGGTTGAGATTGAAAGGTGAATTCAAATATAAATCTTCTAAAACTGGTGAAAAATTTCAGTTGGACAGTACAAATTGTATATGTTTCAAAATCTTCTTCAGTTTTCTTATCTTCGGGATTTGGTGGTGGAGGGGGCACTTCAAGATATCGTTTAAATAATAAATAAGGTGTATTCTTACGAAAGAATGACATCATGGGACTTTGCATTTTTAATAATGGTAATCCCATTCCTTTAATCTTATATTCCATGGGGATTATATGTTTTCTATCATCAATTGTACCATTAATGTTAGGTATCTCATGCAGATGCAGATGCAGAAGATGCAGATGATTCTCTATTCGTTCAATAGTTCCATTTGGTCCATATACTATAATCAGATTTCGTCGACTTTCTTTAATATCTGATCTTAATTGTTTGAAAAATTCAAATGATTCTCGACTAGGGAAAATATAAGTATTATGTTTAAGAATCCCTTCAACCATGATTAATTGACGTTTTAATTTATATCTTGAAAGATTTTTATCTAAAATTCTAGCACCATTCATTTGTATTGGCATATCAGTAGGACATTCTTCATGGATTGTGGGAGCATCATCAGGATCTAAATCTACAATTGGACGGTTTAATTCATGTAGTCGCATTCCATTAAATATTTCATGACCTTCCAATCTTCTATCTTCAATATTTCTTACTCGTCTCATTATAAATGGTAAATATAATGTAAAATTCTCAATATAAGTTTCTTGTAATTCTAAACATTGAGTATAATCAGCTACAATAGTATCTCCTTCAGAGAGTGCTACCGATTCATTATCGGATCCATCATCAGTATTATTTACTCTTCGATAATTTCTAGGATATAATACTTCATATTCGAATTGAGATGGAGTAGTCCATGAGATATTTGTCGAGGTAGTTCTGGTAGCAGCAGGTGAAGGTACAGCTACAGTAAATCTTCTTCTTCTAGTATTTTCTTCTGGAGAACTTTCAGGAGTTGGATATTGATTGATGGGAGTAGACTTGTGTCTTTTAAAGATACGATGCATTTATCATACAATGAAAAACCACCCCTATCTTTTTGGAAATATACCTTGTAACAACAACCAACTGAAAATTGTATCTTCAAATCTAGATGCCAAATGGAAGAATAACCAATGAATGGGAGATATTTAATAATAAGAACCTTTATTGATCTGTTCTATTTGATCTGAATCGTATTTGGGTTGTCAAAAAAAAAAGAAGGTTGTTGTTTAAAACAAAACAAAATGATTTACCTTTCCATTACTATTACTATTACTATTACCCCCTTAAAAAATAAAATTGATCATTTAATTAATTAAATATTATTTTTTCTTCTTCTGTTGTTGTTGTCAAACTTAGAAGAATAAGAATTATGTAAGTAATTAGTTAAACCCCTATGGAAATACACCTCCGTATAGGGGGGGGGATTGTTTCTTGTGTATTGTGCTTATAGATATCAATTACTCATCCGGTGGGGAACGAAACGAAGACAACATTGCACTAATTCAAGTCTTTAATACAAGTTTAACCGCAATCTCTTTGTTCCTTTGTCGAACGAGAAAAAATTGAAAAAAAACGGCTGTTTATTGCAATTAATGACGTCATCTCTAATCTTATCATCAATCATTTCTTTAACACAATAATATCATTTTATTAAATGTACACACATAATAATAAACATAAACTATCAGAGTTACCAATTAACTATTAACTAACTAAAACTTATATCATAATATTATTGGATGTATTATTCATTAAAATATTATCTTTAACCGGTTTTGATTTCTTTGGACTTATTTTAAATTCTCGTAATTCAGGTTCAATATTTTCTTTATCAATCATTACTCTTGAAAATAAATTACTACTTCTCTTTGAATCAATCATACTAGTATCATAATTATTATTATGATTATGATGATGATGATTCATAATATTAGAAGAATCAACTAATTGTCTTAATCTTGATGTTTTAGATAATCCTTTAATAATTTGATCTTTATCCTTCAATTGTTCTTTTAATTGATATATCTCTTCTTCTTGATCGGTTAATAATTGTTGTATTTCATCATTTCCAAGATTATTAGTTGAATTCTCAGTCAAATTATTCATTTGATGAGTTAATTTTAATTGATTTTCTAATTGAGAAATATAACTTCTATATTCATTAACTTCATATTGAACTCGTTTATAAAAATCTTCAATATTTGCCATAACAATTTGAGGATTATCTAATCCACTTGATCCTAATATATCATTCAATACATCATTCTTAACTATTATTGTCTCAGTTTGGGATAAATCAGTTAATCTAGTTAAATGATCAATCTTTTCTCTTAATGTTTTATTTTCTGCTTCTAATTCATTAACCCTATAGCTGTCACCTCCACCCTCACTAATACTCCTTTGGGAATGTCTTAATACATCAAGTTCTTGTCTTTGTTGGTTAATCACCTGTTGTAATTCCATTATCATCTTAGCATCAGCACCACCATTCACTCTAGTACTCTTATTCCTCTCAACACTAATCACAATATCTTTCGCACGAGCAGCAAATCTCAATGTCTTATATGTCTCTCCTGACATATTTCCCATATGAATAGTACACAAAATCAGCACTAATGAAGATCCACTTAAGGCCGGTTGTAATATTCTCGTTAATTTCGAATCACGATAAGGTACATGTTCTAAACTTGAAGATGACAATCTATTGATAACATTCGACAACGCAAGTAATGATTTATTAATATATGAACCCTCTTTCCGTCTTTCCACACTTGTTGAAGCTCTTTCTGACCCTGCTAAATCACATAATGATAATGTTGCCTTTGTGGATGTATTTGAAATCAAACTAGTGGAAGTTATTTTAATTTGAAGAATTGAATGAGACCGTGATGATCTGGCGTTGAAATCAGTAGCGGAGGTTTTTCTATTTAAATCTCCCTTTCTTATAAGTTCCAATAATTGAGATTTCGAAGTTATACTAGGTGAACTTAATCCAATCACCTTAATCCCAAATTCAGGATCATCTCTAATCTTCAATTCTCCCGTGGGCGGCCCCCCTGTCCCCGCATTCGAATTTAATAAATCAATAATCTTCTCATTATATATCTCAAGATAAGAAACCCCAATATCATACTTCATCAACCCATTCCCATCCCCATTATCAATCTTTTCAAAAATATCATTAATCGCAAGCTCAACAAACCCAGGATCACCTTCTACACCTTTTATACTAAACGTCTTCCCCGATCCTGTCATCCCATACGCAAACACAGTCCCATTATATCCCTCATTCAAAACTTTTTCAACCACACCATAACAACACCTATCATAGACATGTTTATTCGTCAATTCTTCATTGGCGTCAAATACATTATCAAATGGGAAACAAGTCCCATCAGACGTATTCCGAATCGTATTCTCCCGAGAATCAATCTCCCAATTATGTCCTGATTCATTAGTCACACTTTTCGGATTGGGACGAATAGAAACGCTGATGGTTCCAGTATACGCTTCCACCCTCGCATATCCCGCTGATGGAGTCCCCGGTCTAGAATATGAAGGAGTGGTAGGTCTACTGCCCCCGAGATTTCCCATTGCCGAGACGGGACGGGAGGAAGTGGACATTCTTCTGGGTGGTTGGAGTGGAGAATAGGTGCTTGAACGGGATGGAGGGCGTTTGAAGTCTGAGACACGAGATTTGGAGGGGGTGGTGAGGGAGGATATTGTGGGTGAGGAATTACTCATGGCTGATCTCGAACGTATTGATTGACGAGAAGAAGACATTATTTATTTGTTTTTGTTTGGAATTTTGGTTGGATATATATAAATACTTGGGAGGTTTGGTAGTTTTCTTGGATAATTGAATTAGTGGTGAAGTTGCGATTTGGGATTATGGTGGGTGTGTTGTTTTTTCTTATAAGCAGGAAAAATTTTCGGTCGTATTGTTTATTTACATTTTCGCCCAATTAGGAAATATAATTGCAAAATCTTTCATATGAAATAAAAATAAAAGCAACCTATAAAGATAAAGAGAGATAAGAAAACCTTTATAAAACAAAGCATGGTCTATCGGTTATATCTTTCCCATACCAAACAGACCAACTCTTATACTTCAAATTCAATTCACTTCCAATAGTTTCCAACTCAAGTTTGGCAAATATTGCACTTCTAATATCATCATAAAATATACTAAAACATAATTTCCTCGAAATAACACTTCCAATATCAAGAATATATCCAAACTCACTAAAATCACTTCTAACTTCTTCTATATCCAAATCTTGTGAATAATGAATATCAGCCTCGGGATAAAACATCTTATCTCCATTTCGTAACCTCTTCCCCGGAACAACTTTTGATAATATAAGACATCTCCTACATCCATTAGAAATTATATCTGTCAATAAAGCTTTGGATAATTGTGGGTGATATCCTCCTTCTCCTTCATCTTTCCATTCAACTCGTAATTTTTGTCCATTTACCATTAATAATCCAGTTGCTTTTCCATATGTATAGAATTGTTTTGCATGTTCTGGAAATATGAAATATAATTCAATAGTACCATCAGGTAAACTAATGATTTTTTCTAATGGACCTCCACATACTTGTTGTAAGACACTATTAATCCCCATTGAATTAATTATATTGGTTAACACAATAACCCGTTTCTTACTAATGATATTATTATTCTCTTGGGGTTTTCGCGATGTCATCCTATTGAAAACTTTGATAAATCTTTCCGAATTATGATTTATATTTTCCAATGAAGGATTTATCCCCACCAATGGAGTATTCCCCGAATGTTGAACATGATTATTATTATTATTCCTTCTCATTCCAATAGTTTTATTTCTTATAGTTACATCTCGATCCTCGTTATCTGAATCACTAATATATTCATCATTTGGGGGTGGTGGAGGAATAATTGGAGGATTGGTAGGTTGTTGTTGCTGTTGTTGTTGGGGTAATTCAGGTAAACTTTCCATCTTACTAAATGGCCAACTACAGACTTTTAAAAAATTATTGCGTTTCTTTTCATCGCGTAATCCGAATGAAGGTAGTCTAATGGAAGTGGAAACATTTGATAATGAAGATCTTTTGAGGACGTTGTTGTTAGAATTATTGGCGGTTGTGGTTGTGGTTGTGGTAACTGCTCGTTCACTTTCGATTAAGAAGGAATTATCTTGATTGATGAATGATTTAAGCATGGGGTTTCTATTTAGCTGAGTATTGTGTTAGCAGGGGTATATGTCTTCAGCTAATATTAAATTTAATAGATAGGAATAATCAAGCAGGGATGGTGGAGTAGTAGATTGGTTAATAAATGAAACACGTAAATTTTTGCAACCACAAACAATTTCCTTTTAAATTTGCAACTTCTGTCATTTTCCTTCCAGCGAAAAAATAAAAAATAAAAAATACGAACCAATGGAAAAAAAACGAAACTGAGTTTTATGCGATGAGCTTTCTACTCTTAGTCACCAAAAGCAAATGTTAAAACATCTTAAATAACTAGCAATTAAACATAAGCTTCTTTATAGAATAAGTAGTAGAAAAATGTCAGACAAAAGAGCAATTTCAGAGTCAGACATTTCTACGTCTTCTCAAGGAGAAACCAAAAAACCAAAAGTCTTACAATCCGGTTTAAGAGAACCAGATGTTGGAATTACTCAATTCATTAACCCCAACGCCGTTGGATTCACAGGATATATCAAGACCTTATATTCAGATTTCCAAGTCAATGAAATCGATACATCCGGAAAAGTCATCCATTTAGAAGATAAAGGAATTGATGTCGGGAAAAGTCTGAAAGAAAAACGTCTTGAAGAACGTGAAAAACAAAGAGCTGAATTAGAAGGAAAAACCCAAGAAGAAATTCAAGCAATTTTAGCAGAGCGTAAAGCCGCAAAAGAAGCAAGAGAAGCTAAAGAGAACGAACTTCCAAAATATGAATTATCAGAAGAGCACCGTACTGAAATATTGAAATATTTCACTCCAGAAGAATTGGCCCAAATTGAAGAATTATTCAAAACTGGAAACAACATGGAAACTAAATCATCCTTTGATGATAAGGACACCAGAACTACAATTCATAAATTAATCAGAGCCGCATTTCAAGGAAAATTAGAAACAATCACTTCTCCTGAAAATACATTCAAAATCGCCATGTCTAAAAAATCATCCAGAAAACCTCGTCCTGATGAAAGTATGCATCATGTTGATGAAAATGGAGTTATAAATTATGGTGCTGGGAAATTTAAACCATATTTACATTTTACCGTATTTAAGGCAAATAGAGATACTATGGATATTGCCAACAACATTACAAGATTATTACGAATCCCTAAAAATCAAATCAAATATGCTGGTACCAAAGATAGACGTGGTGTCACTTGTCAACGATTAAGTGTGGAAAAGGGAAAAGTCCTTAGAATAAATTCCTTGAATAAAGCACTTGCTCCAAATATAATTCTCGGTGGGTTCAAATATGAAGATTATTCATTAGGATTGGGAGAATTAAAGGGGAATGAATTCATAATTACAATCAGAGATGTTAGTTCAGAATGTGGAAATGTTGAAAAAGTGGTTGAAGAAGGATTTGAATCCTTGAAAGAACATGGATTCATTAATTATTTCGGTATGCAAAGATTTGGTTCATTTGCTGTCCCAACTCATATACTTGGAATTCAATTAATCAACGAAAATTGGAAATCATTTGTCGATATGTTAATAGGACAACAACTCAGCGTCGATAACCCTTCATTTGAAGCTAGAAAGATTTGGACTGAGACTAGAGATGCAGCAGCTGCTGTAAAAACATTACCCCACTATTTTGTAGCTGAAAGCTGTATCCTTAAATCTTTAAGCAAAGACAATAAGAATAAAGAAGGTGAATATGCCGATAGTTCATATTTTCAAAGTATTATGGCCATCCCAAGAAACCTTAAGAGAATCTATGTTCACGCATATCAATCATACGTTTGGAATACAGTTGCCCTGAAACGTATTGAAATGTTTGGATTAGAATTACAAGAAGGTGATTTAGTCATCGATGATGACAAATTACAACCAGATGCCGATTTAGAAGAAGAAGATATCGCCAACAGGGATGACATTAAGGTAAAACCACTCACCAAGGAAGATATCGATTCCGGAAAATATACTATCTTTGATATCATCCTCCCAACTCCAGGTTTCAAAATCACCTATCCAACCAATGAATCACTCATGCAAGTCTATATCGACGTTATGGCAAAGGATAATCTTAATCCATTTAAGCTCGCAAGAAAGAATCAAGAATTCTCACTTCCAGGTTCATATCGTAAAGTTATGTCAAAACCAACTAATCTTTCCTATGAGATTGTCCATTATTCTAATGATAAAGCACCTATTGTCAGAACTGATTTGGAAATGCTTGATTTGAAGAAGGGTGAAGGGGAAGAAGAACCAAGTAGAATCATACAGAGCGAGGGTGATAAGAAGGCTGTAGTTGTTAAGATGGCGTTGGGTGTTAGTTCATATGCTACGATGGCTCTTAGGGAGTTGATGAGAATGGATACCACTAGATTTGGTGAAACTATGAAATAAGCAACTTATTTTCTTAGAGTGTGATATTATATCTTGTACAATAAATGTCTATAACTGTACACTAGAGTGGTGTATCAAATCAAATGTTCGACAAGCTGTAGTGGTTCTATTAATTGGATGACCTAAATTCATATGATCTGAAACGCTGCCTTTTCTACATGCTCTTGAAGCTATTACAAACAATTCTAAAATAAATGTACTTCATTAAAATTTATACACAAAGATACTATATAAACAATCTATTAACAATTAAAAACAAATCCATCTAAAAATCCTCTACTCTGATATTGGCTTTTTCACACATTTGTCTGAAAATTCCATTTCGATTAAACAATTCCAATGGTCCACCCTTCTCCACAATCTTTCCTTGATCCATCACCATAATCGTGTCATAATTCAAAATAGTCTTCAATCTATGAGCAATACACAAAACAGTAGATTTCTTAAACTCAGTAGCCAAAGTATTTTGAATCCTAGCATCAGTTTCAAAATCAACAGAACTAGTAGCTTCATCAAGCACCAATATATTCGAATTACGTACTAATGATCTAGCCAATGCAATCAATTGCTTTTCACCAAGGGAATAATTATTACCATCATCTTCAACAGCACGATCTAAATGGAATTTATGTAATTGTTCGAGTCCAGCTCTATTTCTTGTTTCCTCGCTAGTTAATTTCACATGTGGTAATTCCCCAGCATCAATTAATCCAGCAGTCTTTAATGCATCCCATAATAAATGATCATCATATTCATTGAATGGATCCAAGTTCTTTCTAATAGTTCCTTGGAATATAACTGGATCTTGTGGGATAATTGATAATTTTGATCTTAAGTCATGCAATCCAATTTGTGAAATATCAATGCCATCGATTTCAATCATTCCTTTTTCAAGTTCAGTTAATCTATATAATGCAGCCATAATTGAAGATTTACCAGCACCGGTTCTACCAACAATACCAACCTTTTCACCAGGAAGGAAATTAGCATTCAATCCTTTTAAAACCAAAGGTAAATTGGATCTATATCTAAGATGAACATCACAAAATCTGATATGACCAGCAGAAGGCCATTGGTGAGGAGGTTGACATTCTACCTTATGATAAGCAGCTTCTTGTGGTAAATGGAAAGCATATTCATGAATACGTTCAACTGAACTCATCTTGTTTTCAACTTCAGTCATTGATCTAACCGACAACGAAAGAACACCAACAATTTGAATCACATAAGATAATAAAAGTCCAGTAGATGATGCACTGATCTTGAATTGTTCAGTAATACATAACATGGAGATTATCAACGCAAAACTTGAAGTAAGCATATCTAAATGAACACATAACCATCTTTGACTAGCAATAGATAAAAAGTATGCTTCATTCATCTTATTGATATAATAATCATTCTTGGCAATGAAGTCAGCTTCAGCATCATATGCTTTAATAGTAGCCATACCAGTTAAAGTTTCATTGAAATTACTATAAACCATCGATCTTTGAACACCTTCCACTCTCTTGATTTCTCTCAGAGAAGCTTGATAGACATTAGCCAAAAATACAAACCCAATAGCCAAGAATGGAACAGCCAAAGCGAAATAAGGTAAATAACAAGTACACAATATCATAATACCAAAGATTAAAGCCAATGGGAAAATAAACAATCTCATCTGTTCACCAATTTCATTATCCAAATCATCAGTATCTTTAGTGAATCTATTCAAGACTCTACCTAAAGGGGTGGTATCAATAAAACTCATTGGGACATGTAAAATCTTAGCAACTGCCTTAACATTCAAGATTTCAGCTGAAGTGTTTTGCATATATGCCAACATCGTAAATTCAATAGCGGTGAATACAACAGTTAACACAGCCAACAAGACATAAATTGCAACATAGAAATGATCAGATTTACCAATGAACTTGTGTTCAACCCAAAATGATAACCAAGTATTAGTAAAGACTTGGAAGAAAGTAGCAAAAATGATCACCAAAAGTAACACTGGAACAGCAGCCCTGCCAAACACACCTGATCCTAATTGAATGTATTTCTTATAGACATCCCATGAGATTGCATTAACTGGAGTTTCTTCAACAGATGTTGTTCTACCATCACTTAAACTGCTCACAATTTCATCATCATTTGGTCCAGATTCTTTCTTAGTAGTAGCTTTGTGAACCAATGGCTTATCACCTTCTTCCTCTTGACTATTATACTCAATCAAACTTCTGAAATCAGAATTCCTCCTTGTCAATTCACCAACACCACCAACATCAATAGTTCCATTCTTATTCAAAAACACCACTCTATCAGCAAAACCTAAAATCCCCAATTGATGAGTAGCCAAAACAATAGTCTTATCCTTCAACAACCCCTTAAACAATTCATTCACAATATGTCTTGCAACACGGGAATCAACAGCAGATATGACATCATCCAACAACAAAACCTCTGCGTCAGAATAACAAGCCCTAGCAAGATTGATACGAGCCTTTTGACCACCAGATAACGTAATCCCCCTTTCACCAATCTCAGTCATGTCACCAGCAGGTAATGTCTTAAGATCATCATATAATGCACATGCATAGAGTACCTTATTGTATTTCTTGATATCGAATGGTTTCCCAAATATGATATTATCACGAACGGTGGCATTTTGGATCCAAGTTGTAGAACATAATAATACATCATCGTAGATCTTGACTGAACCTGTTCCTGGATTGATTAATTTCATTATACCTGCTAATGCGTGAAGTAAGGAAGTTTTCCCACAACCGATTAGACCAGTGATGATAATGAATTCACTCTTCTTGATTGAGAGGTTTATATCCTGCAACCCAGAAAATTGAACTTTGGAAGAAAATATGGATGACGATTCAAGGGTATCTGATGAGGACGATGCCGCACTGTCTACTTCATAAGTAAATTGACTCTTCTCATCCTTCTTCTTCTTGTTAGATTTCTTGTTCTTCTTCTTGTTTGTGGTTTCCCATAATTCAGAATCTAAATCATCAGCAAAAGCTTCCCATTCAAAATTGGCATGTTTAACTTCAATAACACTTCCTTTCAAAGACGTAGGCACGGCATGTCCAGTATAAAACAATTTCTCTTGTTTCATTAAATTATAATTCAATTCATAAGAAAACTCATCAGCTGATAAATATTGTCTACATCTAGTGAAACCAATCAAAGCATCAGCACCAGTAGCTAAAGCAATGGGTAATAACATAATAGCTTGGGCTAAAATAGCATATAAACTCAAGGAAGAAAAGACTTCACCAGGAGATCTCATTGAACCAGTTGCCCACATCGTCACAAATGATATCATTGAAGTTAAAACCGGTAATGTAACAGCATAAGCAGTAATGAAATTTCTCAATACTTTGATCGTAAATAAATATTTCATTTCCTTTTCTCTAACTTTGGTAATGGATAATTTATAAGCTGCTTCCCAGGCATAATATTTGATATTCTTCAAATTATTCAATATTTCTCTCATTAATGAAACTCTTTCATCGGTATATTTGACCCCTTGTTGTCTAGCCTTGAACAACACTCTAGTTAAACCAGCACAAACAAACAATGAAACAATGAATAAGAAAATCCCAGCCAATGAAGCAATTCCAATCCCATTCACCAATAATGCTATCGAAATAACAATTGGAATCGGAAAACAGAAAATCAAAGGTTGGAACCCAATAGCCATATCTATTCTCGATAAATCAGTACTCATCAAAGATGTAATTCTCCCAACTGGAAATTGATATCTTGATTTTGAACTCAATTTGAAAGATTTGGTTAATAATGCCTTTGTCAACACTGCTTTTGATTGTGCACCTACAATCATGGCATTATGAAAGAAATGATTCAATAATAACCCATTAATAAAGATCAAGCAAACGGAAAGAACACTGTATTTGATACCTTTATTATAAGTGGTTTCTAATCCGAAATATCTGAATTGGACATAATCAATCAATTGTCTAGTTAATAATGGTGAAGTGGTCGTACATACAAATGCTAGGGCCAAACAAGCACTTGAAAACAAATATGGCCATTTAAAAGTCAAAAATAAAGCATAGGGAATAGCATAAGTGGGCCAATCAAAATTAGATAAATCATGATTTTCTTTCAAATGATTAAATTTAGCCAGCTGTAAAATGGTATCTAAATGAGCTTCCCATTTCTGATGCATTTCTTCCACTGTTAATTCTGGAGTTAATTTAAATAAATCTTCAGGATGTAAGGTTCTTAAATATCCCTTTTTGATTATTGGCCATAACCACCAAAACCCCAATCTCTTGAATGGAGAACATATTTTCCAAGGATAAAATTCCCTTTCATCATCACTGGGTATTGGAGGGATTTGCTTTGAAAACAACCATGAAAACCACCTATCTTGTCTCTGCAATTCCGGTTGTTCTTCAAGAGTACTAGTATCATCTCCACCTTGAGAATAGGGCCTGCCAGTCTTCTTGGAAGTTTCATTGGGTTTAGTATATGGATTCATTTTTTCATGTATTGGTGAATATTGGGAGTTATGTAAGTTTGATTCGTAGTTTTGTTGTTTTTGTTGTTGTTGTTGTTGATACATTCCAAAAGATTCAGCACATGTATCGTAGTCTTCTCCAAATGCATCACTAAATGGATCATCATTGAATTGATTAGTTGATCTAAGGAATGAACTATACATATGAGTAGTTGAAATTCTTGGATCTGATAGTCTTCTAGAACTATCATTTATATTATAAGAGTCAATATCATGAGCGGGTCTGGGTTTGGTTGGACTATGTGGATGATTTTCCAAAAACCATGCTTCTTCTTTATTAAATTGAGGAGACATTGGATATGTTTTCTAGTTTTTGAAATCAATAAACGATTGACAAAGGGTATAAATATGTTGCTTTTGTTAGTTGTTGTGAAAAGGAAAATTCAAATTTTTGGGATTGTAAAGGATTTCAGGAAATTATATAAAGAATAAATTCAAATTTCAAAAATAAAATAAGAAGGATCTTTCGGGGATTTGTTTAATTTCTCCATTATCCAAGAAATTATTTATTATATAAAAGGAACATTCTCCTGATCAATCTTTAACTGATTTCGGGTAAGAACTCGTTTTGCATTGGTGGGAATTTTGGTGCAAAAATTTTTTTTTTGCAGTCATATTTCCTGATTAGGAAATCCAAGATCCAACGAACTTCCTCATTGGGAAAAGAGTCTAGTTTGACAATATTTCTGGAAATCACCTGGGGAAGGTATTAACTTGATGTCAAAAAACGTACGAAGGATCTTTACTCTTTACGACTAGATTCATAGATGGATTAGGAAAGATTTTGGAATAAGATGGGAAAATAATATTTGACACATATTACCTGAATTTTTCTTACTCGGTTCATATGTCTTCCAATGCGTGTGTTCCTATTGTATATCTGTGTTTTTAAAGCATTCTAGAGCTCTCAAAAGCCATTATTTGTCTCCTAATGCAAAGGAACACATGGAGCCAATTGTCTCATCGACTTTCTAAAAAATTAGTTACTTAAATAGAGTTTAGAGACAATTATTTTTTTGTATCGTCAGTCCATTATCTATCAAAACCAACAATAGATTCAAAATCCCTGTAAACGCCTTCGTATAAATGTCTGAACTTGGGGAAATGTAAAAAGCCATTCCGTTCACCCCATACTCAAAATATGAATGCGAACTTTCTGAAAAGGCTTGATTATTGGAGTTTTTGATGAGGATAAAGCCACTTCTGTTGTGACATTTCGGAACGTATATGTACAAGACTTCGGATCGAACTTCAAATGCCCTAAGAATCTAATTCACATTTGAATTGATGTTGGGAAGGTGCTAAGAGTCCTGATACGGCGGATTTTCTGCCTTAATATTGTTTGCAACCGAGCCCACTGTATTTCTGTAGTTAACCTGTGAGCGACCAGTAATTAGATTACAATTTCTAATAATTCACAAGCTACTTTTGAGCTGCCTCTACCTTCACTCTGGAATCCGTACTAGAATATAAGGCAAAACTATACTGGAATCTTAATAAATTATGCTGTTTTAAATATGGTTTTATTCTTGTTCATTTTTTTGCAACAAAAATTTCTAAAACTTCAATTTTTACAACCAACCACCTTTCCATGTAACTTCCAGACACACAAAAAGTATCTACACTCAATAGTCTATAGAAGAAGACTAACACTTTAAGTAAAACTTTCCATTATTATATAAATATATACTTTAATTCCTAACTAACAATCCAATTTAAAAAAACAATTAAAACTCACTCCCCAAACCTATCAAAAGTCAGACCTCCACTGCCAAACCCTCCAAACCCACCAGGAGGACCACCAAATCCTCCCATATGAGGCCCTCCAGGCCCTCCAGCACCCGGAGGTCCACCCCTAAGATTCCCGGGCAACCCCATCCCCAAATCATCCAAATTATCCTCCCCATAAGGATCATCAAATCTCGCACCAGGAGGAACCCCGAGCCTGGAAGTATTCCCACCCGAGGGTGGCTGTCCAAATATGGGATGATTGGGAGTGGGATACATGCCCCCATCTGGTCCGGATTGGAGTGGGTCAAGATATGGTTTCATGAGTGGATTTGATCCGCCAGGTGGGTTTACATCGTCGGATCCGATAGTTGGGATGTGTGGTTGAGAGAATTGTGGGGGGTGGGATTTGATTTCGTATTCGTCGTCAAAATCGGGCATGTCTGCCGGACGTGCCTTTTGTTCTGGGAATGGTTGTTGTGAAGTGGTGGATGCTGGAGGTGGGTGAGAAGGAGGGTTGAATGGGATTTCAGGGGTGGCTGATTGTGGGATTTCTTCTGTATCTGTTTGTTGTTCTTCAATTATTGGTTCTTTTGCTTCTACATCATGAGAATTCCCTCCATGATGATGTTCAAATATTGATGAAGCTTTTTCATGATCAAGTAAGATTCTAAATTTTTTATTAAATTTCTCAATTATATCTTGGGGGATTTCAGTTTCATCTTCAAGTGGGAATTTTATATCATCTAGAGAGAACCATTCCCAATTGAATAATGCATTATCCAATCTACCTTCTATATTGATTACATTGACTAATGATTGATATTTAGATATTTCTGTGAAACTGAATATTAAGATTTTTTCATCTTTAATATATAATTCTGATTGTTTCAATTTGGTATCACTAACAATTTGAGTTAATTTATAATCAGAAGTTGAAGGGTATAAAGTATTGATATATTTAGAAACTAAATGAAATGTTAATTCGAAATAACTATTGATTGTCATTGTTCTGTTACTAAAGAGTTTCTGATGGCAAAAATTCAATTGAAATGACCTTTCATTCTTGAAGCAATAAGTTTAGAAGGAGAAGAAAAAAACATCAAAAAAAACCCGGGGGTCCATGTCATTGCAGAACATGTGTCGCGACTGTTGTAAAATTGACGACATAGACAAGTAGAACTGAACCAATTGGTAGGGTACAAAGGAATATAGTTCGCAAAATAAAACAAAAAAACAAACAGAGCAAGTAGAGCTTATGATTCAACCAATTTCCAAGATCAAATAAACCAGTATACAGTATAAAAGTGTCTCTTAGGAAATGTTAATTTTGCAACCTTATCACAAAAGAAAACTCCGTTGAATATTTCCAATTTGGGAGTCTTTGGATCTTCTTTTGATAATTTTGTGTTAATTCATTGTGTTACGTTGAAAAAAATACGTTGGAGGATGGGGGAACGAAGTTTATCTTTGGTAGTATAAAATATAATAGAGATTAGTTGTTGTTGTTGATTAATGATTGGATGGATTACTGTGGCAATGTTACAGTCATGTGATCTTTTTTACAAGGGGGGAAGGGGAAGGGCAATCAATTTTAACACATACAAAAATATTTCTAATCTATAGTATGTGAAAATATTATTTTATAATTTAAATTATGTACTGTGACGATTCTGTAAAAAAAGATTTTTCTAGAAAGTTTAAAGAACATTGAGAGATTGAATGATAAGATACCGATCCATAATTGTTGTTTGTAGTAGTGTTGTTAAGATACACTAACTATGCAGTAATATAGTATCTGGCTAACAAACACTGGACACTAATATATAATTTATTTATGTAGATCATGACCCTTGTTAGCTGCAAGTTTTGAGCCAGGTAACGATCAATTGGTTCTAATGGTTTGTATGTTATAACTTTAACCTGAAGATACCCAAAAAAAGGATCAATTAAAATAAACTTTAAATAAATCATCTTTTACTTTCTTCTTCTTCGTCTTTAACCACTTACTTGTATACTAAATCACTATAGATCATCAGTAACAACAACTCATACTTATGGCTAACTTATCCTTTCATTGTTATTAAACAATTGTAACAATAGCAAACAAAAAAAAAAGATCAAACAATGAAAAATAAAAATTTACATTTACTTTACACACACGAGTACAATTGATTTGTTAGATTACAAGTCTCCTCTTAGTTATTCTTCTCTTCTCTAAATTTGATCACTTCTTTTTTGAAATTTAGATTTTCAATTACACTTTTGTAAAGAAATAGAGACGAAATCAACGTTTTTCAACACAATTTGTAAACTTACCCAAAGTCACGTACAAATTGTAATTTAAACCAAAACAAACCACGCAACATTTGTTTAAATATTAAATATTAAATTTTTGAATCCTTTTTTTTTTTCCCTTCCAGTTTTTTTCTTTCTCAATACATACATACATTAATTACAGAGTAATTCGGACACCTCTACACACACACTCCAAATAGATTTTTTTTTTTTGGACACTCAATTAACAACTAACAACTCATTTTAATTAATTACTCATTTACTTATATACCTTTTTACACCCCCCATCCAATCCACCATTTCAATTCGGTGTATATTTTAATACATAAATAAAACAATAGTATCTACTATCAACAACCAAGTATCATATAACACATACAGACTAAACACCTAATACACTCCTTCCCTATTCCCAAATGACAACAACCGTTCCTTTAATTTATTCATTCCCAGGATTTGTCGGGGTTGCTGATGCAGTAGCAGATCATGTCATATCAGCACAAAATCAAACATTATATAATACAACTGATTTAAAACAAATTGAAATCATTAAACAACAAAAACCTCCCATGTCAAAAACTCCAAGTACAGTTTCTGTATCAAATCAATCTCCATTACATTCACCAAGTCAATCTCAAAATGGAATAAATTTTCAAATGACTAGTAGTAGTAATAATGGCAATAATGGAGGAAAATTTAAAAAGGAAAAGAAGATCCCCAAAAGACAAGAAACAAGATTTAAAATTGCCATTTCTGGTGGGTCCTTAATCAAAATCTTACATCAAGGTTTATTACCAAGACAAGATTATATTGAATGGGATAAATGGGATATTTATTTTGCTGATGAAAGATTAGTACCGTTTCATTCTCCTGATTCAAATTATGGTCAAGCAAAAAGAGAAATTTTTGATTTAATTAAAGGTGATAAAAAACCAAATGTTTATCATGTTGATGAATCATTAATTTATGATAATCAAGAAGCTGCCGATGATTATGAAAAACAATTAATAAGAAATTTTGCTAAAAAAGATTCCGTGAAATTACCCATGTTTGATTTATTATTATTAGGTTGTGCTCCTGATGGTCATATTGCTTCATTATTTCCTAATTTTGGTGAACAATTACGAGAAAAATTAGCATGGTGTTTACCTGTTTGGAATGCACCACTGGGACCCAAAAATAGAATTACATTATCAATTCCAGTAATTTGTCATGCAGCAAGAGTCACCTTTGTAGTTGAAGGGTTAACTAAAGCTCCAATTATTAGAACTATAATGGAAAGACCAGAAAAGGGGTTACCAAGTTCAATTGTTAATGAAGGTGCAGCTGGTAGAGTTAGTTGGTTTGTTGATGATGCTGCATTGAATGATTTATATGATATTACTAAAAAACAATATAAATTCTTATCATTCCCTCAACCTGATGATGAATATGAATCTATATAAATACTGTCCATCCCCCATCACATTCCAACCACCTCATTCCACCACCTCATTGATACATCTTTGTTAATTGTTTGTCTTTTATTTTTATATATATCCAGTGTTTTATTATTTTTTGTTGTTGTTGTTGTATAATAGTCATCCGCTTTAGTCGTCTTACACGCATCTCACTACCCACTACTTACTTACCACCCTCCAGAGTTTTTGTTGGTTTTATAGTTCTTTTAAACAATAAGTTATATATATTTTGGTCCTTGTTCTTTTTTTGTCTACGTTTTTGTTTGTATACACATTGGTTATTTTAAAGTCATACATAAACTCTTAAATTGTTTTTAGTTAATTATTTATATAATAATAATTATATTGAATATGCATATATATAAAACAGATTTATAAGCTATCTAAATACTCTCTTTGTTTAATCAACAATTCATCTACATCAATCTTTACATCACTCCCACTTGCACTATCCAATCCACTTAATTTACCAATTCCTGGTCCAGTTTCAACAAATTCTTCATCAGTTCTATGCCCATACTCAGACCAACTACCATCATATACTCTCACCGGAACACCCAATGCCGATTCAATCGCAAATTTAATCACACAAGCAGTAACACCACTCCCACAACTAGCAATAATCCCTCCTTTATACTTCTCAACCAATTCCTTTCCTGAACAACCAATCCCCAAATCCTGCTTCAAAACCTCTCGAATCTCTTCCGGAGTCTTAAACAACCCTTGGTCAGTAATCACCGATGAAAATGGCAAAGAGAGAGATCCGGGAATATGTCCCGATTTTATCCCTGGGCGGGGTTCATTCACCTCAGCCGTAAATCTCTTATTTGGTCTTGCATCAAATATCAACACCTCCCGGCCCACATTCCCGTTCTTAACAAACTTCAAAACCTCATCATATTCAATTATCCAATTTCGATAATTCCGTTCCCAAACCTCTTCATCTACCCTAATCCCTACCCCCCCAACTTCATCTCCTTTCACGCCGGTTCTCACACTCTCAACGGGAGCTTTATCCAACTCATATCCCTCCTCAATATACTTCAGATAAGTATGCAACAAGCCTACACCTGATTGACTCCCCGCTACGGCAAACATGAACGCGACTCTACACCCACTAAACACCCCCAGACGATCATATATAACCACCTCATCACCATTCCTGATCCCTAATTCCTCCATCATCGAATTCCAAACCTGTGGAGGAGGGAACATGTGGGGATATGGCGAGGGGGTGATATGTTTATCAAGATCGAAATAGGCCGCTTGTGGAAGTCGGTCTTGGGTGAGGAATTGGGTTTCGGGATTATGGGGGGAGGAGAGATACCATGTGGCGTCTATGGGGATGATTTTGCGGGTGGTGGTGGTTGGGGTGGATACAAGGGTGGTGTAGTCCTTGGGGGAGAGTTTTTTGATTGGGTTATTGCGGATTGTGGTGCTGAACATATTTGGATGTGGATAATTATTGAATTGATGGAAAGAAGAAAAGTCGTGTGGTTATTGAAGTATTTTTTTGTTTTTGTATGGTCATAATCCAAACGGTGTTGGAATTTCCAGAGTATTTTTTCTTGTGGGGAACAGAGAATATTGACTCCGTTTCCGGAGCCACAAATTGCGAAAAATGCCCGAATCAATTCGCAACCATTCCAATATTGAATCATATAATCATATCAATTAACTACACCTAATACTAATATTATATAATTATATGAAAAATGCAAAGCAACCACAAATACATATCCGCTATTTTCTCTATTAAATCCTATGAGTTATATAATATAACAAATATGCATTCGTACTCATCACTTCTTGTTGACTTACTAATGAAATAACACTATCATCAAATTTAAACCATTGACCAGATCCATTCTTGATATATACGATATAATGCCCTGTATTGACTGATCCCATATGATATACCACCGCAAATAATTCAAATATCTTATCCCCGTCGATAAGCTCTTTGGAATTGGAACTTGTGGTTGACGATTCTACGCAATATTTGGTAAGATTTAAGAATAATGGGGTTATGACTGGAGTTTCAATTTTTGAAGTTGAATCATTCATGATATTATGTTCAAATCGTTTAAGTTGAATAGGTAGGACAGGAGGGATTGATTTTAATTTTAATGTTTTGGTAGGTTTTTGAGATTTTTCTTGACAAAATTTACATGTATATAAAATATCCAATTTTTCTTCCGATGTAAATAAATCAAGACAATCATATAAGGTTATATCATGACTGTTGTGAGATGATTTCTTGTATGCTTGATTGATTTCTAGGGAGAGATCAATCATGGGATCAATGGTTTCGGTGATTTCTCCACATTTTGAACATTTTATTGAACTTTGTAATTCAAATGCAAAGGTTGAATGAGTTATACAACCACATTTCTTATCCGATGTAGTAGTTTGACCTAAATTCTGTAATATTCTATTATGATCCAAATGAAATTCATTTAATAAGAATTGCCAAAATTCATGAGCATCTTGTTCTTGGAAACCTGCCAAAGATTTCTTTTTATACCATGCTGTAGTTAATAAATTAGTCATTCCATATCCTTCAATTGTGGGGGATGTGAAGAAATATTGAAATATTTGATCAATACTACATGTAATACAGGCATTATTTTCATCTATACTTCCACCATTTATACCTTGATCATGTTGTTTTTCACAATTGAAATAATGAATATCATTATTAAAAAATTGATATTTTATAATTGGATTATGTAATATGGTTTGTAATATAGAACTCATAAAACATGTAGCTCCAAGATTAACAAATCCTTTCAAGCCATGAATTGCAACTTTATTTGGATCAGTATAATTTGCAACAATATCAGGTTGATCATATTGTGGACAGGTACTAGCCCCGCCGGTCACACTATTCATAATTTCCAGACGAATATGTTCTAGGTCTGGATGATTGATATAATTACCACACAGGAAACAATATAATAACCCTGATCTTGAATCGATTGCAAATAAATGTTGTGTCAGTTTATAATGTAAAAATGCATGATTTGAATTTATATGATCTTGAAAACAACCAACATGAGGACATTGTAAACATATTAATGAATTTTGGAAATTATTTAATTTACATTCTGAACATTTTAATGAATTTGATTTTTTATTTAAAATTTTATTGAAAGGAATCTTAGTACCATCTTTTTTAGATAAATAAATTTGATTTGATGTAATTGGTTGTGAAATAGTAACTGCTTGTCTATAAGTTTCAAATACAGTTTCTTTAGCTCGTGACTCTAATACTGATTTAATATGACTACATGAAGTAATACTAGCATAATTATCAGGTGGTGGTGTTAATTCTTGAATAAATCTCCCACCACCACCATTTCGCACTTCTCTTTCGCCATCATTATGATTTGACCAGCCATTAGTTGTCGATGGTGACATGGATGTAGACGAGGATGATGAAGATGCGGAAGTAATGACTATGGAGTCTGTTCTGTTGGTGTAGGGAATTGTTTTACTGCCAGTGGTTGATGATCCGGGGATAGTTTTTCTGGATGATGACATTTTTTTGGTGTGTGGGAAGAAAGCTTAAATGAACAATGGACAGCGCTGTAACCACTCAGATTAAAGCTGGGGTTATGTGTAGGTGGGTGAGTAACTCTATAAGTGGTTTGTATGTGTTGATGGAAAAAGTGGAATATGTGAAGGCAAAGGCGTAACTAATGAAAGATGAATAAATTAGATGGGCAGTAGTTAATATATGTACCTTAATAAAAGCCAATTTCAAATAAATTGTATGGTGCGTATTGAAATTAAAAGATCAAAAAATTTTAAAAATTATTTTTTTTTTTTTTTTTTAATTAACAACTGCTGCAGCGCTTTCAATTGACATTTAATTATAAATCTATCTATCAGCAGTTTTTAATATACACCTGTCAAAATGATGATTAATAATTTATTCTTAGTATTTTGTACATCTCCCTATGAACTATTCTCCTGGTTTCCTTATGGTATACTTTCGGAAAAGTGTAACATTGGTAGCTAACAACGGTAGTCACTTGATACTTTGCTCGTTTGTATTGAAGCAATGTAAACTGTTAGAGATGGTTAACACAGAGCATACGATAGTTAACAGAGAATACAGTATACTGCATATTACATCATAGTAATTTTTATATGCATGACATTTTTTCATTTTGGTTGCAATTTTTATTTTTCTGTTTCTTAATATTTTAATTTTATTATGAGAATTTTGCCTATATAAATACTGAACTACATAATTAAAGAATAGATAGAAACCACCACCCTTTATACTGTAGCAAAAACCCTCCAAAATGCAATAATCAACATCAAACACCATCCTTTTCCACTTTATCTCCTCAGAAACTAGTATTCCCAGCCTCATATGATCTATCAAATAAAACACTTAATATATTCTCAGGACAATGAATTGGAATAACATCAAACATATTTCTAGTTAAATTAATTTCTGACATATTTAATCGTTTAAACATATCCAAATCAATTGATTTAAATAAATTATTATTCAAATCTAATAATTTTAAATTCCCCTTTCCATTATTACCAATTCTAATTGAAAATGATTTAGAATGTAATTTATTACAACTTAAACAAAGTGATAACATTGATTTTGGTAATATTTGAATAAACTGAGTTAATTTACATCTACTCATTTCTAAATGACATAATTTTTCCGATAATACAAACCCTTCATTAACTTGACATAAATTATTATCATTCAATATAAGTGTAAGTAAACTTGAAGGTAATTTCACACTATTCAAATCAGTTAATTCATTATCTGCCAATTGTAACCATTCAAGATTTGTCAATTCATTCAATTCAACCAGATGAATCTGATTATCTTTAACATTTATAGATTTGATATTGGAATTATTTGGTGAAAAAAATGATTGTTGTGAAATTTGCAGTAGTTTATTATATGATAAATCAATATCTTCAAGTTTAATAAAATTACTTAAATCAAATTTCTCGATACAATTATGAGATAAATCAAACATCTTAAGAAATTGATTATCACCTTGGGTCTTACATTCAAATTTTAATAATTCACAATTTTGTACACTTAATTGACTAACCAACGATGGAATTTGAAATGTTTCCCAATCAATTAATGTACATCCATTCAAAATAAGTTTTGTAAGATTATGTCCAATTAATTCATGAACTTTACTACCTGAACAATTCAAAAATTTTGTAGTTGACGAAACTTCAATCCCCATTAATGTTTCATTTCCATGGAAATTCACTTCTTCAATAGAATCTTGTTGTTTTAAATCAACTTTCCCATAAATATTATTATTAGATACTCGTAATGATTTACATTTCTTAAGTAATGGTAATTCATTAATTGAATTTAAATTATTATTATCCAAATAAATAGTCTCCAAACATGTAGGTAACTTCTTACCTAAATCAAAATCTTCTAAATTAACTTTGACCAATTTAAGATATTTCAATTTTGTTGATAATTTCAATTTTTCAATATTTAATAAATATGCCCCTGAAACTTCTAAATGAAATAAATTCTTTGCAGCCATCAATTTTTCCGTCAAATCTTTAACATCAACATCAATAATTTTCAAACTTAATAATCTGGTTAAATTTGGATTTCGTTGAGGACTCCATTTCCCACCAATAATAATCAAACTCTTTAAAGAATCAGGTATTGCCGACATATGTGAACTAATTTGACAATTTATAAATTCTAATTTTTTTAATCCATTAGGAAATTTTAATTGTCTCGTGGTGGCAAAATCTAAATTTTGAAATCCTAATTGAGTTAATTGTTGAAATTTCCCAAAATTGGGATTTATAACCAGAAGTGAACTATCAAATTTGATTTCTTTAAGATCGGCAAATCCCACAGGAAGATTTGATACTCGTCCAAATAAATTGATTTTATGACCATCATTACCACTAATATGAAGACTAGATAACTTTTTAAGTAAATTAAATTTACTAAAATTTAAAGAACAAATATTATGTAAACTAATCAGTTCAAGTGACATCGGCAATTGAATAAAATCAGTCAATTCAAACCCAGATAAACATAATTTCTTTAATCCTGTAGGTAATTTAAATTTCTGAGAATTATTATCCATGGCTTTATCAATAACATAAAAACAATCTTGTTCATGAAAAGTATGTAATCCAATAAATAATCCAAGAGTCTTTACTTGATGATAAAATGATTCTAATTCCATAAGACTTTCAAGCACGAAATTCATTTGTTCAATGCAAGATGCCAGGATTCTAATATGGATCTCTTGGGTCTTTTTAATAGCTCCATGGTGATTTTCATTGAAATATTTCAAAATTTGTAATAATATATTACATCCATTATTATTCAATAATAAATCAATATAAATAATCTTCTTTGTGGGGGGAGTGGATAAATCTCGTAAGTTGAATTTTGAATCAAAATAAAGACTTAATACTTTCCCCGGATTAACTATTCTCGTAGAAAGATAAATAATTGATTCTTGACTCAAATCGGGGATTTTATCATTATGTTCATCAATAAATCTTAATGATTTCGCAAGATTGATCTCCGAATGGAAATTCTTGTCATATCCAAACAATTGTTCATAATCTTGTAAAATCCAACTATTCTTGGTAGGTAGCTCAGATTCTAATGGACTTTTTTCAATAATTGGTCCATTCCCATCTTGGTGATTTCTATTCGGGGATTGAATTTTAAATACTTTCATCTTTGGTTCCGTTTGAAGTTCTGTAACAACAGGATTAGTATTAATTTCACAATCTCCAGCTTCTTCATTAATATTAGTATCTGTCAATTTGGAAAATGCAGTAGCCAAAATTTCCGCCGATTCAGGTGGTGGTTGCACTTGTTCATCAGGGGTCTTGATCTCAATCACAGTTTCAATACCTAATTTCTCATTATCATCTCCAACAACAGTAGGTGGTTCAGGTTGAGGTGAAGATTCTCGTCTAACAATAGTGCTAAGAGCAGTAGTAGATGCCGTTTCATATTCAAGTCCATCATCATCCGAAAGCACATCAGCCGTACTCTTTTTCCTCTGGTGACCTTGATGATTTCTTAATAATGCCGAATCAGGAATTCCAAACAATACTCCACTAGCATTAGCTAATGAAGTAGCCGACGAAGATGAAGACGACGTAATCTGGGCAACATTCATTTCAGCAGAAAGACTTTGTTTCGATTCTGGGACTTTGACTTCTATGATATGTGATTGTAATATTGTTCTTTCAACTTCTGAAGTATGAGAATGATCAGATTCAACATCAAATGTATATTCACGATCAACCACTGATGGATCAAACGATAATTCTAATAAATCATTTTCGTCATCATTTTTGGGATTACCATGGGCACTAGAAGGAGTTGAGGATGATAGGATATCTAATGGCAGTTGTTGATTCAATGGATCTAATAAAAATTTCCCAGCGGTTATTGTTGAAGGTGATCCAAATGTGGGTTGTTGTTGTTGTTGTTTATTTCTCATTGGGGAAGTAACCATTGATGGGGCAATCATACCCATTGTATCTCCTGGTTCAATATAGGGGTCTTTGATTGACATAATATTGTTTGTCTTTTGTAATTGACTTGTCACACTAAAAGGAATTGACGTTGTAAATTTTTGGCAACCAATTTTTTATTAAACGAAATTAGAAAAGGCACAGACAAAAAAACAAAACTCACACTCGTAAATAATTTTCTTAGTGTTCGCAGCCAAAAAAATAAATACAAAGACCCAACGTGTAATTAGCCGAATAGAGTTTATGCTCTAAGCGATTCACCAAACCAACACCACACTCTCTTATTCAAATTCTGATTAGCTACAAATCTGATTATATACACTACTCAATGGTTAAGGGAAATATTTATATTTTCGTCTATTAATATTGGAAGGGGGAAAGTCTATAAAATAATACATCAAATTTTGGCATGAGTAGTTAGTGCTTTCTTTAATCAAAAAAGTCATCATCACTATCATCTTCACCCACACCAATATCTCCTTTACCTCTTACGGATTTCTTAGTAAATCTCAATCTTCTTTCTTCTTGAAGATCGTCATCATCTTGATTTATTAATAATCTTTTATCATTAATATCAATTGCACCGACATCAACCAATACTTTTTCAATATCTTTTACTGTAGTTGCATTTCCACCTAGTTGAGTTAAAGTAATATATTGCTTAATTACATTGGCCTTATGATATATCACCAATGTAGGACAATTTGATTCTGGATAATTCTCAATACATCTAGTGGCAGGTATATCACAAATCTTCAATTCAGAAAACTTAGTAGCAATAGTTGACAAAATTGAACCTAATAATCTACTCTGTAAACTTGACAGTAAAGACATATGAACCAATACATAAGTATCTTTAGAAGCTTTAGTAATTTCATCTTCATATTCATTTTTACTCACCGGTAATACATATCCATACTTTTTCTTTTCTGTAAGTTGTTTTAATTCATTCATTCTTTTTTGTTTATAAAAATTCAAAAAATCTTCATCTTCTTCATCTTCTAATTCTTCTAACTCATCAAGATCTTTACTGTCTAATCGATTTTCATGTTGTTTCCTTACTGCTTCTTCAAGTGCTGCTTCTAATTCTTCAGTTGGTGATGGTGGTCTTTCGGGAATGATACCGTGTTGTCTTAAGATATCATTCCATTCTGTGTCTTCGGTGGGGTCCACCTCCACTTGTATTTTTGTATTGTTCATTGTATTGGCTTGGTGTGTGAATAGGGTAGTGGTGTTGAGAAAAAGAAGACGTTGATTCAATTTTCTATTGTTCGATTGCTCAGCATGCCAAAAAAAAACCGTTGATTGGTATTCTTCCTGTCTTAATAAAATACATCAGTTGTATTCGACGGACAACAATGTATTACAATACAAGCCCCCAGCTTGCTGCCATTATTCTACAGAAGAACAAGTACCCTTTTAAGCGATTATGAGTCTTTTGTTACAACTCTGAATCGTTGTTACTTCAGATCATTCTTCCAACGATAAGTTGAAGTTCTGCAGTTTTCATTGTTTTGTATTCTTTCAAGATAGAATACTTGAAATGAAGTGGAATGCAATCTGAAACCCCGGGTAACTGACTTTAGCAATGCCAATTTTCACAATTTCATATCCCTTGTAAGAGTATAGAATTTGTATCTCTTTCGGCATATGAAAGCTTCCGGAGTTTGAAAACCGCGCACGTGACAATAGATTTTTTTTTCAAATTTTTCATAATTGGCAATAAGCGGAATTTGAAAAATTATCAAATTGAATCTTACATGGTCAAAAGGAAGGTTGTTACCTGGAATGACTAGCTTTTGTAATAAAACATTTCCTAAATGCTCGACACATTCGCCGGTTACATTCTAGTTGCTCAATTCTATCCTCCTCTTCTACTCTTATCTACAAAACATCAAGATAATTATCAAAGATTTTTAATAATATTAAAAGTATATATATGTACAGAATATTTCTTCTAGAAATAAAAAATATCTATCTTAAATGATTTCATAAAATGTCAAATTAAAACCAAAATCAAACACAACTCAAAGGATATTTCCCAAATATACTAAATATCCAATGATTTTCCATCATTTCTCAACCCAATTCTCTCCAATGCATTCTTCGTTAACCAGAATCCTAGTTTACTTATTTAGTAGCAGAAGCTAAGTAAGTAACTAAATCGTTTCTGTCCTTTGGTTTCTTTAAACCACCAAAGGCCATCTTAGTACCTGGAATATACTTCTTTGGGTTTTCCAAATAATCAGACATGGTTTGTTCAGACCAAACAACACCCTTCTTCTTGTTAGCATCAGTATAAGAGTAACCAGCAGCTAAACCGGATTTTCTACCAAAGATACCGTGTAAATTTGGACCAACCTTGTGTGGACCACCTTCTTCAACAGTGTGACATTGTAAACATCTGGTCTTGAATAAAGTAGCACCCTTCTTTTCGGAACCTTGTTCAAATGGAGCTGGCATTTTGTAGTATGTGTATTATTAAAAGTTGTTATAATAGAAAGAGAAAAGAGAAAAGAAGAAAGAGAAAAGAAAAAAAATTCAAATGTGAAAAATTTAAGGTTCAATTGAATTGTTTATATAATTTACTGAAGCCTATAAGGGAGACTGACTGACTGACTGAAAAAATTACTAAACTCCATTACCAATTCAATATTATTTATTTATAAACACTTTATTTTAATTGGCTATAAATTTTTTTATTTTTTACAGTTTAGACCTCCATCTATTTTAGGTCACAATTTTAAATTATGGGGATTTATATACAGGATACCACAATCTGTAATAATGGAGAAAAATTTTCAATTTAACCAGTAAAAAAATGTCAACAGATTTATTTTTACCGTGTTATTGACATTAAAACGGTTTTTTCATTCAATTGACAGAAGACACAAATTTATTATATGTTCTGCTTATCTTATATTCACCAAAATTGCTAATACTAACTCATCCAAACGGAACCTATCATTTCGTCACTCTTGGACCTTGGCACATCCGAATTTCTCCGGTATGACTCGCCTTCTTATCCTAACCTGTAAAATTCATTTTGCAACGTCCAAAAAATTATTTTTTTGAGTTGGCATCTCGGGGCTTTTTGTGTAATTTATGGACTTTACCCTGCGATAAATCCGAATACATATAACAAATTGATTCTCCATTAAGGACTGTCAAGTTTATACTATAAATCCATACAAATAGACAAAGACTACATAAGTGGAGGTGAATTGGACATCCCACAACCATTCTATCTATTCCGCTTGATATTCCTTTGTTTTTCATTGATTGAAGGCGAAATTGATCTATTCCGTTTCATTCTTGGTTCACGTGAAGGAGTTCTTGATTCTTGTCCATCGTTAGAAAGTTGTCGTTGTTGTCTTCCCCTATCAATTGGTGAGCGAGAATATGATCTTGATTTACCATTAGCTGGACTTCTTGAATAACTTTGAGATCTACTTTTGGAATCACTTCGGGATCTGGGTCTACCTCGGGATATGCTCCGGGATCTGCTTCTACTACGTGAATAGCTTGGTGATCGAGAATAACTGACTGATCTAGAATAACTTCTGGAACGACTCCTAGAATAACTACCTTCGGAATAACTACTACGGGAACTACCACTGCGTGATCTACTCCTACCCCTTTCTGGAGGCGCTGGTAGATTTTTCAAAACGTCTCTCATTTCATCAGTTAAGGTTCCCAAACCAATTGCAGTGAAGAAATTGATTGAGAATCGTAAATGATCAGCATCTTCCCATGTCACATCCACAACAGGCAATAATCCACGAATATGTGGTTTGATATATTCATCATTGATTAAGCGTTCTTTGACTTCCTTTATCCCCAATCCTTCAATCATTTCTTGAAATATGAATTTTAATAAGATTCGAATAGCTGGATTCGTATCTTGTTCAGTTAACTGAATTTCATTCCAAGCTGAACTTAATTCAATTTGATCAGATGCAAATAAATGTCCAAATAATTTCCCAATATTCCGAATTGAATTAGTTTCAAAGTTTTCAATTAAGGTATAATATTTCTTGAATAAATTGACAAAGATATCATGCCAATGTTGATTGAATCCGCATAATTTCTCGATGATTATTCCAAAGTATTTAGAATAGGTCTTTTCTTGGGAACAACATTTGATAATCATATCTGCTAACACTTCATCATCATCGAGAGGATCCTCATCTTTGACTCGGGTCTTAGATTTCTTGAGGCGTAGAAGTTTATGTACTGCTTCGTCGGATGACATTGATGACATGATTGTTAGATAGACTGTTTTCTGAAACTGTACGAGATCTTGTTGGGACATATCTGTTATCTTTTCATCTGGGACAACTATGGCTTCCTTACCAGGGACAACCTCGCTTGATTGTGGTTCTGTATTCTCGCCCTCCTCTTCTTCTAATATTTCCTTTCGTAGTTCTTCATACTCCTCTTCATGGTCATCATATTCTTCGTCATACTGAAAAATGTTTAACTCGTCTTCTGCTAGGATATCGTCATCTTGTAAATCGATTATATGTGTCTCCCTATCTTCATCTTCAACTATATCGAATTCTTTGGGTATACTTGGAAACCCTTTAAACTTGGATCTTCGTAAGTTAATCAAACTCGTAATCTGCTTTTTTGGACCTTCTCCGATTGATTTATCATCCTGAAGAATATCTCGAAGTCTATCAAATATCATATTGGAAGCTGCTTGAGAATGCTTATCTAAATGTGCACCAATAACTTTTAAAACTCGTACAGCTATTTCAATACTCTCATCATTCGGTGATTCCAATAATAATTGTATAATTTGTAACATGACAATTTCACTTACAACTTGTTGATTGACAAGATTTCCAAGAAACAATAAACAAGCTATAATATTCCTTCTATGATTCTTAATATAATTCTTTTTGAATTGTATAACTAATCGTTTACATAATAATTCACCAATTTCTGGTATTTTTGAATTAATAACAGCAACCAAACAGGAAAACATAGCAGCATATCTATAATCTATTAACTGCCACTTCATTAAACATCGTACGAATAATCCTTTTCCTCGTATGAGATTACATTTGAATAACTCTATTACTGTTGATTTGATGTTGTTGGTGTCTAAGTTGGTGATGCTTTTCTCGATTGTCCGTTTCAATTGTTTCCATTGCTGTTTTTGTTTCTGTAGTTGGACATTTCTAGCAGTATCATTTCCATCGCCCATTTCCCCTAACAGAGTTACTTGTCGAAAGCTTTAAGTATTTTTCAATTGGTAGTCCTAAATCTACTGCCTAAACGAAAGATCGTCATTCAATATCTCTGGTACTAAAGTTTTGATGTTTTGTCTGATGGCGCGAGTAACTCATCGCACAAAATTTATTTCCTCTCATTAATTTTTCACGTTTATTTTTGGTTGCAGAATTTACTTACCTTCTTTCTACTTAACCAATAAGCAAAAGGGTAAGGATAGCATGTTACGATTATCCACTAATGCATTATTGCTTTCCAGAAGACCATTAATATTATCTAGATATCTTTCTAGCTCTAATACTTCCTTATTTTCCAAAGATAGATCAGATAGGTCATTTGATAGACCAAAATTTGGTGGTGATAGACCCAGAAGATCCTTTGACAATGAAGGTTCATCGAGAACATATGATAGAGAAAAATCAGGTGGTTCATATGGTGGAGAAAGGTCCGCTAGATCATTTGATAGAGATGGTCCAAGGAGGTCATTTGATAAATTCGGATCAGGTAGATCGTTTGATAGAAACGGATCAGACAGATCATTTAATAAGTTCGGATCAGATAGATCATTTAATAAGTTTGGATCAGACAGGGCGTTTGATAGAGAAGGGCCAAATAGATCATTTGATAGAGAAAGACTGAGTCGTCCATATGATAGTGACAGGCCAAAGAGATCATTCGACGGAGATAGATCAAATAGACCATTTGATAGGGAAATATCAGACAGACCATTCAACAGAGAAAGATCAGACAGACCATTCAACAGAGAAAGATCAGACAGACCATTCGACAGAGAAAGATCAAACAGACCATATGATAATGAAAGATCAAACAGATCAAATGATGGAGAGGGATCAAATATATCATGGGAAGGAGGGAAACCACGCAGATCATTTGATAGTGAAAGATCGAACAGACCATATGATAGAGAAAGATCAAACAGACCATATGATAGAGAAAGATCAAATAGACCATATGATAGAGAAAGATCAAATAGACCATCTGATAGAGAAAGATCGGGTAGACCATATGATAGAGAAAGATCAGATAGACCATATGATAGAGATGCCCCACGAGGAAAATTCTATGAACGTAAACCACAAAGTTTCCAAGATAAATTACAACAATATATAGACTCCGGAGTAATCTCCCTCCCAACCAAATCTCAGACCACCTTCAAACCACAAAAACCAAAATCAGGTGAATATGATCTTCGTAAAGCACTTGAAACTCTTATCCTGAAATATGACGCTTCATTATTTGTCGATGACGAAGGTCATTCATTAGATATAACAACATTAAACGCCCATGATTTGAAATTTGATTCTCCAAAAGCAAAATGGGTTTTCGACAATTTAATGAAATTTAAAGAAATTACCAAGAAGAGACCCGAACGTGGATTAATGCTTGCTCTTTTAGGTACAAACATGGATCAATTAGAGGAACCTTTCTATATTGCCAAGAATATCTTACAATTATTAGAGATTGATAATGATCCAGCAAGAGCTTTATATTTAGCAAACATGAGTACCAAAGCTGCTGCAGCTCCTGGTATGAATTTGATTATGAGATGGGTTATTGAGAAAAATGGTGTACAAGAAGGATTGAAATTATTCCAAAAGAGAAAAGATTCAGGTATCCCACCAAACGAGTATACGTATGTAATGTTATTTGATGCTATTTCTAAAGCAAGTGAATGGGGGAAAGTAGATGACGCACTTGCTGAAAGAGTCGCTTCTACATTTGTCCGTCAACGTATTATAGCAAGCACTGATAGCACTAAGGCCCTGACTTGTGGTATTGAAGCTTTTAACGCATGTTTGAATGTTTTAGTTAAGAACTTCTCTAATAATCTTGCCCATGCTTGGAAATTTTTCGATAATTTAGCTCCTGCTGAAAATGTCGAGTTGATTCCACTTCATGCTAATGCTCATACATTCTCAATCATGTTACTTGGTTTAAGAAAATTTGCTCAACATCAAAGACAAGAAATTATGGATGATTCCAGATTAAGTGGTAATGAACGTATTCTTAAATTATTAGATGTCGAGGCATGGGTAGTTAAAAGTGCAGATGTTGTATTTGCACAAGCTATGAAAACAGCAATGCCACCTAGACCACCACCAGAAGATTCCGAAGATGAAGAAGCAATGAAGCGATTTAGAACCGAATTGGCAAAGAAGAGATTTACTGATATTGATATTTATTTAGTATCCAATTATATTTCTACCCATGTTGATGTGACCTTTGGTACGAATACTGGACCTAAGTCCGGATCCCATTACAGATACAATGAAAAGGCACTTAATTTGTTAAATCAATTCTCACCATTTGTTAATGAGCTTTTACAATTTGTTGCTAAAACAACCAAAGCTAAAAATATTGCTGAGATTACAACTGCAACCAAGAAGCTTCAAGAAAGAACAGATTCAAGAATAAATGAAGCCATATCTGAAGCATCAGATTATTTTGATCCTGAATACCAAGAGACTTTGAATGATGTTTTACCTCAATCGGTTGTTCCTAATGCTGAAATGCCAAATGCAAACCCACAAGTAATCATGCCTGCTCCTCCAAGAATCGGAAGTAGAAATTTTATTAATTACAAGGAAGAACCATTAGTAATGTTCAACCGTAGAATGACGTATGAAGAAGGTATTGCTGTGTTTTCCAATGAATTATTTGAAAAGTCAAGAGGAAAGAAAGGTAAGAAGATGTCTAAACTCATGCAACGTAAAATGGAGAGTAAAGATAGAAAATACCCAGTTAATCCATTTATCTTGAATCAAACATTCGATGCCATGATTAATTTGGGTAGATTCAATGAATATTTATTTGCCATGTGGTATACTCTTGTTAAATGGGGAGGTGTTAAATTGGATTTAGCTAAATTATTTCAGAAGCAAAATGTTGCAACCCGTGGAGTAATTCCTGATGAAAGCATACCGAGATATTCTGAAGAGGTGAATTATATTGCATCAGGTGTTGACAAACCTAATATTGCTTCCATTGTTGATCATTCATTGCTTAGTACCCTCATGTACAGAATAGAACAAAACTCAAGAGCAAAAGGAACGACAAGGACTAATTTGATTATAGAAATGTTTGCAGTATTAGCATCACCAATCTATAATCCAAGAGGTCTTGTTCCTAATCAACTCCACACCATTAATATCTGGCAAGCAATGCTCATGGATTTACATTACTACAATGACTATGATAAGGCTGTATTACAAGTAAGAAATTCCAAGAAATATTATATTAATCATTCACAATTGAAAGCTTCCTTAACGAACATATTGAATTACTCCCAGGCTTATCTTATTTGGCATGAACGTGTACATGGACAGGGAAAATATATTTCAAACACTTTTACTTCTAATTTCAATAAGGTGATTAACAGATTGCAAGAGTCTGAATGGTTGGATGTATCACCTGAAGACAAACTTCAAATCCATTATTTAATTGTTAAAGCCGGTATTTTGTTCTATAGACCATTAAAGACAATCCCACTTGAATTGGAAGAAAGAGAATTTTCAAACTCCATTGAACCATCATTGAACTATATTCGTGAGGTATTGCTGGTCAAGAATGACGCAAAGACATTAGACAGGAATGAACTTAGATTGTATAGTGCTCTTGGGGCCATAAGAGAACTTGATTCTAGAAAGGACGATTTTAACGCTTCCCTCAAACGTCAATGCGAAAAGATTTATAAGAATACTATTGTCGGGAAATCTGTTGGTAAAACTGAAGCCAAAGAAGAAACTTCTGGCAAATTAAAAACTGATAAGGAGCCTGCTGCTGTGGATTCTGTTGAAAAGAGCAAATCAGCAACGAATGAAGTACCAGCAAAGGTTGAAGCTGCTGAAGAGCCTGTAAAGGTCGAAGCTGTTGAAGAAACTGTCGTTGAAGAAATTGAAACTGAAGCAGAACCATCTGTTCCAACTGCTGCTGCTGAAGAGCCTGTTGAGTTGCCAGAAGAAGTAAAGACAACTGAAGATGCTAAGGTTGAAAGTGAAGCTAAAGTCGACGATGCTGCTAAAGCCGAAACCGCTGAACCGGCTATTAAAGGACAAACAGAAGCTGATGAACAAGTTAAAAAGTGATACCCTGTAACTGATGAGGTAAATAGGCTGCAAAATTAAACCAAAATTGGACTTATGAAATCTTTCTGATGAATTTTCCTGTATATAAAACAAAACTGTATATTAATATCAAAGAAACCTGTAAATTTTTCCTCCACATAAATTGTAAATAGTAAACCAATGAATTTGCATTCTTCTAGAACAACCAGTTTTATGCAAAAGATGACTAACCCAGTTATAATTATAAATAATCCATGTCAATTCGATTACTCTCAAGCAATTGAACACGTGATCAAGGAGAGAGCATTCGGAATCAACCGATTAGATATATTCATTGTTGAACCAATTAAGGATTCCAACCATCTTAATGAAATCTTATTCTATTATTACAATGTTGCTAGAAAGGCTGCTTTAGACAAAGGATATGATTATAACTTTGAGGTCAATATCTTATTCAATATAACAGAAACTGCCGAAATTTTCAAGTTGATTCAACACTGGAATGTGGCTTTCATTTTGCAACAAGAAGAAAGCGTGGCACTTCATTTACATCAAGTGTTAACTGAAGTGCTTTCATTTGAATTACCCAAAGTCGCCTATCCTACTAGTGGGAAAGTAACTGGACAATTTGATACTACAGCAGTTGGTGGAACTTTTGATCATATTCATGATGGCCATAAGATCCTTCTATCTATGAACGCATTCTTAACTAAGAGGAAATTAATTGTGGGTATAACAGGAGCAGAAATGCTAAAGAAGAAGAAGTTTGCTGAAGTGCTACAATCTTACGAAAGCCGTCAACAATCTGTGCTTGACTTTTTTCGATTAATTGTTGGTCAAAGGGACATTCAGTTTGAACTTTATGAGATTAATGATATTTGTGGGCCAACGGGATATGTCAAAGAAATAGACAGTTTAATAATCAGTGCTGAATCAGTATCCGGAGGTGATTTTGTGAATAAATATAGATTAGATCATGGATTCAATGAATTAGATATTACAGTTATAAATGTCATAGGTAGTGAAGAATCCACCTCGGATAATTCATGGAAGGGAAAGCTTAGTTCTACGGATATTAGAGAACAACACGCCAAAAGACTACTTCAATTCCAGAAATGAACTTGTATACTATATAATAAAGATAAACTATAATTAAAAGAAAATTATAAAAAATAGCCAACCGTAGAAACAAAATAGAAAAACACGACAAATCAACAACCATGGGGACTCTCCTTTACTTAATTGAAATACCTTTATCGAATTGATTTGGACGTTTTGGAGATCGATCTGGATGATCAAGTCCTAATGAAATCAGACCTGAGCGTGAGTTACCAATTTCATTGAAAAGATTTAATGATTCATCTTCCGTATTCAAATAAGCACCCATGTTATTATCACTCAATGCAAACTTAATTTTATCAAATGCTTGAATTCCCAATCCAAGTTTTCTACGCAATCTTTCTTTAGTTTCTTTAAATGATTCATTAGGAAAAGCGATGAATATAAATGGAATCCCATGACGATAATCACCATTCTTATAAAAATGATAAACTGGAATCAAATTCAAATTCTTACTCTCATTCTTAGCCAAGATATATTCTTCCTTTACTGCCTCATTATCAAAATCTTCATCTTCATTAACTGGTTCATCCGTGAATCTCTTAATTAAATCATGAGCAGTTAACACTTCTACCTCAGCTGGGAAAATCCCACAATAAAGATCAACACCATCTTGGATCTGACTTAAGGGTTTATCAAACTTAAGCAAATCATAATAGCTGTGACTAGTACCATTCCAACACAAAAGATGCTTTAAATGTCTTTGTGGTATGTTTACTTTATGCATAAGCTTATTAACCAAATCAGACACAAGACCTTTTTTAGGAACCAACAATTCATACACTTGATATTGCAATAAACTAGTCAACCAGTGAATTTTAAATGCTTTCAAATTCTCATATTCTCTCAATGGGATATTAAGAATCTCATATTCAAAATGAACTAACTGATTGGCAGCAACTGTCTTGGCGAGAAATTGAGATAAATGATGAACAGTTTTCAAAGGATATCTTTGACCTTGATTACTCAAGAGGAATATTCTCAAATAATTAGGATCAACATTAGGACCTAACCTTAAACTAATCTCCTTTGCAAACTGTTGATAGCTATAATCGCTAGATACCCACATATCAAATGTCTTACTCAAGTTCTTTGCAGTTTCTATTTCCTTGTTTGTAATCTCATTGTCTTCAGTCTCAATTTGATCCTTAGCATTTCCATTTTCTTCATTAGCAACAAAATCGGAATCTTCTTCATCTCTGTCAGCTTTAAAAGGTCTGACTGAGATATGGGCCCTTGTTAACATAAATCTATAATAATCTTTTAGGTTATGGAATTGTTTACCTTCAGTTAACTTCTCAACATCTTTAATCTGAACGGTAATGATATCTCCAGTACTAAGTTCTTGCTTAGAAAACGTGACTGTAGGATTTATCTTTTCAATCTTCAATGGAGATAACTCTTCGAAAAAATCAAAAGTGATTTCGTTGTTAAAACCAAGGAATTGTCTTATGGGGTCTTCAATTGAAATAATGGTGTCATCTTTAGAAACTGCCATATGAGACAATCCTCTAATTTCTTGTGAAATAGGATCAAAATACTTGATGAATATGATTATTGGGGATCCGTGTTCTTGAATATCAACAAACTTCATATCTGGATCAACCTCAGTGCTAACTTCTTCAATCTTAGAAAGTACTTGACCCCATTTAAAGTCCTTTGGATCAATAGATTCAGAAGAAGTTACAAGCTGATTTATGTTTCTTAAATCCTTATTCAATTGCTCCACATATAACACCATATTATCATACTTCCTGGTAAAACTCGTGGAAAAGACATTGCTAACCGCAGCATTCTTGAGATCTCCATCTAAAACTGCATCAACTCTATTTGAATGATTATGTCTATGACAAACGGCTAGTAGTCTAATCGAATTTGTATCTTGATATCCTAATTCCTTAGCTGCAAGTTCATACAAACTACCAAATCTATCATCCTTCTTCACCTTGAAATCTAGAGGATCACATGCAGTTCCTCTCAAACTCTCGTCGTAAAATCTTGCACTAGTGTCATCCAAGGCCAAATCAAATCCTACATGATGGTTTAAAGTATTCACAGTAATAAATTTCACATCTGTATAATATAATGCTTCTTGTCTTGCCTTTTCCAATCTGTCACGTTGTTCAAGTTCATACTTAATTTGATTGGGTATATGGTCTGGGATTGATGAGTCTATAACGCTGTCGTCATCAGGTAAGATATTAGGTAATTCTTCTTCACGATAATATACCAACATATAAGCAGAAGTTACTCTTCTCATTAAATGTTCCTGTTGTTCTAATCTTGTCATTTTACTCAATTCCTCTTGTGTCAAATCAACTGCACCAAAATTATCTTGGAACACTTGGGTTGGAGTAACTTTCCATACTTTATCATCGTCAAATCTTAACCAAGTATTGTCTTTGGCATGGGGTTTTATCATAGCGTAATAATGACCATTGGAAATACTACCTTGATGAACAAGAACTCCGTGTAATTTATAATTCCAGTTTTGGTCCTTAATGTCGCTAGATAAATCTTCGTCCAAATAAGGCTTCAAATCAATCTTGTCAGGAAATTCATAAAAATCGTCAATCTTCACTAAATCATCAACCATAAAATCATACTCAAACCTCTTTAATTGTAAATGCAATACAGGTGGGAACTCTTCAAAGACCACACCCTTCTTGGCATCTTGATATCCATGCTCATCACCTGCTTGATATTTGTTCTCACCTTCTAACATTTCAATTTCGATGTAGTTTTTGAATGAATCTTCTAAATTCTGGAATCCTTTGACATTTAATTGAATATCCCAAAAATCTTCAACTCTCAGTGATTCGTATGGGACATTAACACATTTAATATACGATTTCATCTTTCCAACAAATATATCATTCAACTTTCCTTCAATATTAGACCCCTTCATTGCAGTTTCTAATTTGTCCATCAAAATACGATTCAATTCTTGAACATCATGTTGAGTAAATGCATCAGAAGAATCCCACCCGAAAGATTTTGTTAATTCCAAAGTCCCAACAGGATCGTTGGATGTAGATAATAAGTAAAAGATACGTTGTAATGACAATGGAACTCCACCAGAGATCAGATCAGTTGGGATCTCATAAACCAATTTCCTGAAACATTTAGTTGTGAAATAACTTTGCAACAATGAATTTAAATAACATGTAGCACCTTGATTATTTAACCCCACATAACCTGATGCCTTCTTTGAATCGTAATCTATAAATGAATGCCATAATACCCCTGTAGAAGAATCATCAATCACTTTAACGTAACCGGTTATATTCAACTTATTATTCTCTAAAATTGGATAAGGGGTTGTATTCCTAGCTGTATTAGCTGAGGCCAATTGTTTTAAATCTATCAAAGAACTGAATCCCCAATCGGTCTCATTCTTGGTGAATCTATGGGAGCTTCCACTTGGGAGATGTGCTTCAGGGTGTTCCGGGTTCCAAACATCCAATCCAAATTGGGCACAAACATACCAATTATCATCTATTGGATTACCTTCTTCATCAACAGGTGGATGTGGTTCCATATAAACAGAAATCATATTATTGTTTGAATTACCTCTTGGAAATAATAAAATGTTCCATTCGAATCCACCACATTTAAAACGTGGTGATCTAACTTTATCTTCTTTCAATTGGGACCATTCTTTGATTTCCCATACGAAATGAGTTTGATCTTTAACAGGATAATCCTGAATAGGTTTCATAAGTTTTCCAGCAAGATTAGAAAAATCATTAGCTATGGGATATGCTAGGGTCTTTGGTTTATCATTAACAACAACCACATCTTCATCTTCATCATCTTCAATTATTTCAATATCATCATCATCATCGTCATCGACTTCAAGATCAACCTCTCCATCGTCTTCTACATCGGCATCATCTTCACCAGTCATATCAATCACTTCCGGGCTCCTAATCGGGATGTCACCATCATCTATTTCAATTACATGACTATCATGAATGCCCTCGCCACCTCCAATATTATCGATTGATTGTTTCTTTGATTCAGGTGGATCATCTATTGATTGATCAATCGCAGGATTACTTGTAATCATATTATTAAAACTCCTTTTGGATCTAAGATCAATTGAGTCGCCTGTGATATTACTTTGATCGTTCACTTTATCTTGTGTGTGTTTGTTTAACAACAATGGTTTTTTATCTCCTGTCTTTTTTTCAATTGTTAAAGTACCAAATTGATTATGGATACGAATGTATTAATCGATTGACTGTATTCTTATTTCCTTGTATTGATACAATAATCAGTTTAGATAAAAGGGTGTGTGGGTTGAATTGATTAATAGGAGGAAGCGTGCATAGAAGGTAAATTTGGGGGGTGGCAGAGACTGAGAGTGAGAGAGAGAAACAGTGGCATTTTTTTTGATGTAATATTGGGGTAGTGTTCTTACCAATTTCTTGATTAGTGATCTACAAATTATGTAATATCTTGAGTTGCTATGATATGGAATCAACCTTGTGGTCACCGGAATCGGTTGCTAAGTGTATGATGATATAATTTCGTTTAAATCATCTGTTAAAGTGTTTTGCTAACCTGTATTGTACATAAAAAGACACATTATTTGGAGTATTTTAAAGAAGAGTTTATTATCCATCCTGTCATGGTTAACACGTTTGTACATGAAGTGTCAACTCAACAGGGGATTCCCGGAAATAGGCTTCCTAAGATTGGCTGTCTGCCATCTCTCTTGCAACAACTAAGCCGCAAGTAAACCATGTACAGTAATAGACCAACGTCTAGATTTATATGCTATTCCTTTATATGAAGCCACGGGTGAATTTGAAATAAATCGTTGTATCCTGTCATAATTATAATTTCGAAATAGAGAATCATTTGGCCCTCCGCCTTCTTTGTTAATTTAATGAGAGTCATTCAACTGATTGGTAGATCATGACTCCTCGTAATTTTTAGTGCTGAAATTTTTTAGTTCAAATTTTTTCGCACCCAATTTCGGCTTTAGTTCCATTATGTTATAACAGCTTCTGATCGGCTCACTACATCTCTGTCAATGATACTTTACCAAATTGTATTGCTGATTCACAGTATGGCCTAATGGATATACAGATCTCATTAAGTTTGAGTTCTGTATAGATCATCTATTAATCAACGTAATCGGTATTAACCATTATCAACCCACAGCGGAACGCGCGGTCGTGCTATAAACCATGCATGATGTCATGCAGCTGCTAGAAAAACAGCAACAAAATTCCGTAATTAAACAACTTTTTATATAAGCAAACCATGATATGTCCCATATAAGTTATACTCACAAACCATCATTCTATGATATAATTTGATTGAAATTTACAAATTTAAAAATTTCTATAAATTCGAAAGGAACAATCGTACATAAGGGGACCAGTTCGATTTCCATCAGAGACGTCATTCTTCTGGAAAAAATCACCGGCTTCGAGGGGCAACCCCGTAAATTTCACAGTACAATGAAACATGAAATCACGTCCGATGGTAACCATCACCGCATGCAATTCGGCGTATCCTGATTCCAAATTAATATAAGAAACTAGGGGGGTTGTGTTTGGGCTACATGACAACATCCATTTTGTACTGGTTTGATACTTGTGTCAGAATTGCAACTTTTTTTTTGCCTGGGCCAAATTGAATCGGAATTGATTCAGGGTTGTTTCAGATTCATCAATTTTTTATTTTTTTATCAACATGTTTCAAGGCCCTAATTCCCCGAATGTAAAGGTCGACCCTAGCTTTAATGTTACATGTGGCATATCTAGATCCTGTTGTTCGAGGGTCCCCCTGCTTAAGATTTAGGCTATCTATTAGGAGCGAAAGTATGGTTTGATATATGGGCGATTGAGTCCAGTAATATACTGTAATATCCATGTTATGGAGATCGCAGTCTGGCCATTACGGCCTTATCGTTTTATCGTTCTTATTCAAAGGATTCCAAACGGTGCATTGGAGGACTATGTAAGAGATTCAGGTTTGAAGCAATTTTTCTTCGAATTACTCTTGGAAAGCACCCGGTCTTACTCGATACGGATGCTGCTACCAACGGTTTCAGAAGAGCCAACCATCCTTATTACGTCTGTTGCCAGCACAAAACAATATATCGAGCATGCTGGTTACGTAGACCAGGTAAGTTTACTGGCAATTGAGGTTTTATCACAATTCTTGGCGCAAAATGGAGTTCCTGCATATAGGATTACATTGGCAGATCACAATCAGCAAGCATCAAGCTGGAAATTAATGACCTCTAACCAAGCTTTAGGGTCCTGAGGGCCTGTTATGGGTGGTATTGGTAGCAGCAGTGCTGTGCTTTGAAAATATTGTCAAACCTAGGTTGCTAAAAATTGGGTGCAAAAAAACGTAAAACATTTTCAAACCTCTTTTTGTCCAAAGAACTACGAAAAACAGCATATTTTTGTATAATTACTTAATGAGCTTCGAGATATGAAAGAGCTCTGTGCTATCGACTTGACCCAGTCTAATAAGATAAGGGTTCTACAAATAACTTGTATTCGTCCGAGAATATTGCCAAATCAGAGTTCAGCATATGGAGTACATAAATACGACTGTTAACAATACATATGGGGCGGATCTGTGCAGTTGAAAGTCCGTTTGTGGAGTGATGATGGAAGGCGGTCCTGGTAAATCAACTTCAGGATTTTACAATAATGCGAGACTATTCAAGTTTTCAACATGTGTTTATTAAACTTTAAAAGTCTAGATCTCGTAGTCATCACTGATAAATAAGTCTCCTTGCTTATAGACGGGATCGGATGTTTCAAGAAAAGAAAAGAAAAAGGGGGTCAACCCAAAGATTAATTAACTACTTCTAATAATTACATCGATTTTTCATAATTATTCAAGGTATTTTAGGTTATGATATAGTGATGAAATGAAAAAAATATTATTAATTAATTCATTGTGTGTTGATTGTGATTTTGTACTCCTTTATCAAACGTTTATGTTCAGAATGGATCTGCACCTGGAGTAATTTCCGTTCTTGTACGAAAACTTTCTTTTTGAGCGTATGCTTTTTGGGTAGTACCAGATATGAGAAAGTCTACATGAACTTTAAAAGCACTTTAAATTTCGAACGATGTGTCAATGAAAGGGGGTGGGGCCAAACGATATCTTTACCGTTTTCCATGTCGGAGTATTAGATTTTTATTGTTTGAGTCCTCTCCTTTTATTTTTCTATTGTCTGCTTTAATTATTTCATGCACTCAATTTACGAAATAATATCGGATAAATAATAATTAATTATGTAATCGAATTATTTTACTCAACGCGTTTGGGAATTTACTACCGAACTTTCATGGGCCATAAGAGCAACGAGATCGCATGGTTGTGTGCAATAAACATGCGATACGGACCAAATCATAGACCTAGAACCGCCCTAAAGAGAAATGTAACACTGGTACGGAACAGTGTAAATATTATGAACTAAAGTTTAGATAAACTTTCATCACATGACACGAAAGGTTAAACTTTTCAGCTGGGAGGAGTTTATTTTTATTTAGTAAAGAAAAGGGGGCCAACCAGCAATTAATACTTACTTACCCTGTAAACAGGGGGGGATGAAATTTAACAGTTCACAAGAGCGATTGACACTAAATCAACCCCGTCAAAGATCTGAAACACATTAAAGGGTCCCTGGCAGTAGTGCTTGGGAACCCAGGCTGTGAGTTGGGCCTAGAATTACATGAAAAGGGAGATGTGTCCGAACCAGTAACACAAAAAAGTCGCGAAAAATAAAAATGAAAAAAAAAAAAATTGATCCAATTAGGAATTTGATCGAAGAAAAAGAAATATTTTTTTATAAATGTAAACAAAAAGTTTCAGTTCAGGCATTACTATGCATTACGTAATGCATAATTTATTCCACGGTTAAAAATTTATTACGCCACAAATAATTTATTTTATTTCCCAGACAATTTTAAAACAAAACACCAAGACCAAAAAATGAATTTTTTCGAGGAAATTCGTTAAAAAAATATTTTATTTATTTTTTAACCTGTTTGACCGATCTCGTTGAACAGGTGAAGTTTTTTTTATTTTCGTCTATGTGCTCTCTTTTTAATTAGCTTCCCTCGTTTTCCTTTTTGAATTTTGAGTTATAATATTCTTCTCCTTCTTCTTTTCTTCTTTCTCTCCTGTTTCTATATCAAAGTCAAGTTTTCCTTTATTTCTATCAGTCATTCCTTAAATTCCTTTAGAAGTAAAGATTCCATTCATTTGTCTACCAATATGTTGTTCAAAACTCTCATTAAAACCGCTTTATTAGCTCAAGCTATTGCTGCTCCAGTTGCCCACCAACATCACCAACACAACAATGAAAAGAGGGCAGTTCAAGTCGTCACTGAGACTAACATCGTTGTTGTAACTGTTGCTGCTGGTGCTGCCACTACTACTTTCCCAGCTGCTACCTTACCAAGTCCAGCTGCTGATGTTTCCGTCAGTGAAGTTCATGACGCTCCACAAGCTGCTCCATCTGAAACTCCAAGTTACACTGCCGCAGCTGCTTCATCTCAAGCTTCAGCTTCACCTGACGCTAGTTCAATTGGTGCCGGTGGTGCCAAGGGTATCACTTATTCTCCTTATGCTGACAATGGTGCTTGTAAATCTTATGACCAAATTGCTTCTGACATTGCTATCTTATCTGGTTTCGATATTATCAGACTTTATGGTGTTGACTGTGACCAAGTTGGTTCTGTCTTAAAGGCTAAGTCCAGTTCTCAAAAGGTCTTTGCTGGTATCTTCTATATGGACCAAATTGAAGCTGGTGTCCAAACTATCGCTGATGCTGTTAGCGCCAACGGTTCTTGGGATGATATCTACACTGTTTCTGTCGGTAACGAATTAGTTAACTCCGGTCAATGTGGTCCAGCTCAAATTGCTCAATACGTTGCCACTGCTAGAAGTGCTCTTACCGCTGCTGGTTACACTGGCCCAGTTGTTTCCGTTGATACTTTTATTGCTGTTATCAACAACCCATCATTATGTCAATACTCCGACTACATCGCTGTTAACGCTCATGCTTTCTTTGATGGTCACTATACTGCCCCAGATGCCGGTGCTTGGGTCTTACAACAAATCCAAAATGTCTGGACTGCTTGTGGTGGTCAAAAGAACGTTTTAATTACTGAAACTGGTTGGCCATCCCAAGGTGATGCCAATGGTGTTGCCGTCCCATCTGAACAAAACCAACAAGCTGCTATTTCATCTATTAAGTCTACTTGTGGTAATGATGCTATTTTATTCACTGCTTTCAACGATTTATGGAAGGCCCCTGGTCCTTTCAACGCTGAACAATGGTGGGGTATTGAAAACTAAGTAGTCTTTTACAGTATTTAGTCATTTTTTTTTACAACGTTACTTTTATACCTGTTATTCTGGTGTGTTTTATTTCTTATTCTGTTTTCGAAAATGTATACATTCTTTTAGTTCGTTAGAGAGTATGTAAGACAAATATCCAGATGTGCGTTACCCCAAGTTTGTCAGATGTGTCAAAAATTGTAGAAGATTCGATTGCTGTGAATTGCGGTTTATGTTTCGTTTGATTCTAGAATGTGGTTTGAAAAATGTTATTTTTTTGTTTATTGGTTAACTTAAAGAGGAAACTGATTGTTTTTTTAAGCAATAAAGTTACAAACGAAACAATAACCATTTGCTAATATCCCTTTTTATTTAAACTTCTACTTTGGGAAGTGGAACTGTACATGTAGCTTTGAAAATATTTGTCTAGAATGATACATCAGTATGAAGTAGCATAACTAGGTGAAAAGTTTGGCCCATAATCTTCTGAGATTTGTGAATAAAAGCCTTTACTCATCAATCACTTAGTGAGCCTTTTTTCTGTGTCAATTATCTTCAATCCTGAATAGCTATCGATCCTGAAACCGTAACCTAATTTAATTCCAGGCTTAATGTCTCATCGTGGTTTCGTCTAGCTTTTGATTAACACGACCCAAGCCTTGTTCTCCTTAAAGTTCAGAATCGTCAACAGAACAAATGGGTGCGTTGTTGCATTAGAAATAAGCCATAATCAGGGTGAGAGAAAAAAATAACTACACCGCGAACATTTCTTCGACGCGTGTTCTGCATCTCCCACCCTCCCTCTCCTTCCCACTGTCACATTCTGTCCAGCTCAGAACAATGTCGGATTGGTTGGAAACAGCAACAGGAAACCGAATCTCTCGAGCTGCAAGACTATTAGGTACCGATAAGATCTCAATCGGAGGTAATTGTTCTATAAATGAAAACGTTCTAATTTCCGGTGATGTCACCTTAAACGAACCAAAACAGCAATATGCTATTCAATTTGGAAAATACTGTTATCTTGGTAGTAATTGCCAAATAATACCACCGATATTAAAAAAGGCTGCTGACAGTGATAGCGAAACTTTACATGGACCACAACTGATAGGTGCGTATGTTATAATAGGACAAAACTCAATTATCAAACTGTCAAATATTGGTAATCGAGTTTTGATCGAAGAAAATTCCATTCTTGAAGATTTGTCTATTGTTTACGAATGTTGCGTAATACGAGAAGGTACGATTATCCCTCCAAAGATGGTTATACCTCCATATAGTGAAGTAAGTGGGATACCAGGAAAGGACTTTCAAATCCGATCTCTACATAATAGTTATAAAAAATCAATCGAAATTGAAGCAAAACAATTGCAAATATTAGGATAGATTGTATATTATTACAAAATCGTAGTACGTAAACAAAAAGAGATATTTTTTAATCTTTCTTGGGTATTTCTTGGCCAAGTATACCCAAATTTGGCGGTGCTGGTGATCTATTATTTCTTCTTCTTTTTCTTAATTTTCTTAACAAGAATAAAATCAAATACAACACGATGAAAACACCCAAATACCCGAGAATACCCGCATCATGAACCGTGTCCATAAATTGTAATGGTCCTCCATATGGACTTCCAACAACTTTGGTTTGAATTTTTGCGCTGGTTAAAGTCGGATCTAATAATGAAAGTAAAACTTGTTTCATTGATTTTGGATCATTCTTTAATTGATCACCATTTATATCTTGATCCCAATAGTATCGATTATCTTTACTTATAATTATACTATCACCAACTTGATAATTGTCCGGATTAATTTTCCATCCTCTAACGTCAGAAAATTCTTTCTTGGCCCTAGGTTTATCAATAAATGTAAACAAAACATCGTCGCTATCCCAGAAATGGGGAATTTCATCTCTCATAGTTTCTAAAATCTTGACACTATCAGCATTTGCAGCTTTTAATTTTTGAACTCTATCATTCTTATCTTGTCTATCTTGAAGTAATTTATCATAATAATATTTCTTTTTCAAATGATGATATTCATGTGCAGCCACCGAGATTTGATATAATTCATCATTGGTCGCCTTTTGATCTTCAGTTTCAACAAATGTAACCACAATCTTGTAATCCTTCTTCTTCCAATCACGACTGAAATAAGCAGGTAATAAATCACCCGTTAATTCTTGATATAACGGATATTGGACTCTTTCAATAAACTTTTCCAATCTTTCATATATCCTAAGGTCTTCTGGGGCGACACTTTGATACACGTCAACAATTAATGAGTTATCTTTGAATACAAGTATCGTAGGTTTGGAAGACAATGTTGTTGAGACATGCATTCCTTTGTCAAAGCTATATTTTGACAGTGAATCATCATAATTAATAAAATCAATCAAATTCTTGCCCATAGTCTCGACTTTCTTTTCTAATTTTGGATTCTTGGAAGTATATAATTGAACATTAAATGGTGATTTTTGTAACGTTTGTAATAAATAAGGTAAAACTGCTTTATCTTCTTCAGAAATTGTATCACCATCATAATAAAACAACACAGTAACTTTATTCTTCAAGGGGAATTCATGTTGAATTGGTTTTTTGGCAAGCAATTCGGTATGTTCCATGACATTCTTAAGACCCGTTGCAGAAATAGTCTCAAATCTTGAATTATAAAATAATTTTGTTACCCAAACCTTCATGGCATCAGTTTCGACAGGCCCAGTATAATTGAATCTAATGATTCCTACCGATTTAGGTAAGAACATTACATATTTAGGTAATCCTGCTGAATTCTTTTCATCAAGCAGTCCTAATTTCTTACATACTTTAGGACTATCGAGACAAGCAACATGGCCAGATTCAGCCACTGAAAGGATTTTGTTAGATAAATTATCCCATACTTGTTTATAATGGACACAATCTACACATTGTCTACCGAATCTACTTTTCCTCATTTCTTTCTTTGTTGACGGGAAAAATGCAACAAATGTAGGCACATTAATATTTCCAGCTAATAAATTCAAAACCTGATCAGTATTTAAGATATTTGAAGCACTAGGTAAATTATTTGCACCAGAATCATATTCAGCAACTGATGTTTTTAAATATTTGATAAAATTCTCCTCTGTTCTATCTAAATTCCTTGGATAATTTCCAATATTTCTCAGTTCTTTGGGTATACGATTCCCCTTTGAATCTATACTGGGGGCATACAACAAGATATTGGGGTAAAATTGAATATTTTCACGGTTACATAAATCTCCACTTTCAACACAGTTCACTTGTCTCATATCAATGTTTAAACCAGGGTATTCGGATTTGAATTTTAGATATGTTGCTTCCCAAATTGGCGCAAGCTGTTTACAACGGGAACAATATGGTGAAAAGAATTCAACCAAAGTCAACTGATTACTTGTAACAATATCAAAATCAGCAGAAGTCAAAGCTGGAGGGATTCCAATAGCGTTTCCTTCATTGTTATCTTCTTTCTTGGATATTGAATCTGATCCTTTGTTCAAACTATCAATGAATCCAATTGATTTGTTAAGAATAAGTTTGTCAGCTTTCTTATTGTCATCTCCTGGAGTTACAACCTTGGTATCGTCTCCTTTGGAATCAGCAGGTATTTTGGCCGCAAGCATCAGGGTCAAGTATATGAAGAACGTCGCTAAACGTAACAACGATACTTGCATAGTTGATCTCTATAATGGGTTTCTACTTTATGTATTGAATGACAACACTGCAAAACAAACAATGCCAGATTTTTTTCTGGAGGTTCCGAGCCGCACTACATAAATTTTCTACTTCTAGAAAACGATGAAACACTTGGTAGCTCTCTATAGTATGATAACAATTTTATGTGATTATTAAAGTCTATATAATTTATCATTACAATATATATTAATAGTAACCCTAATCCTTTTTTTATACTAAAATGAAAATAAATCCCTTGAAAACAACAAAACCATAAAATACGCAAAGCAAATGCCCCCATGATTCAAATAAATATGACACTTTGTAGGGTACTATCTACTCTAAAGTCTCCAGTTTCCCACTAAGTGCAAGTAAATATGTCTTAAAGTATTCAAAACTGACTAAAGTAACGGCACTTGCCGGTACAGTTCTCGCCAAATTAGTTCCATACCCGGCATAGAACCCTTTAAATCCATCACAATGATATATTTCTGCAATTGCTTTCAATAATACATGGCTTTCACTATTTATCTTTTTCAATTGCATTCTAGTTCTTAAAATTTCATGAGGATATGTAATTGAACTTGCAATCATTTTAGAAATGCATGATGCTGCTATTAATCTCCATAATATTCCCGATACTTCTTTTTCTTGTTCGCTTATATTATTACATCTTAGCATGATCTTTAATTTTTCATATACGGGGAAATGAATACCAACATGTAATAAACCAAACATTGAAGGTACAAGTCCACTATAAAATACTTTAATCCCTTCTTCTTTATACATTTGTCTAAATGCATCCAAAGTTCCTCTATAATATGTTTGGTTTTTTGCTGCCCCGCTTCCATCATATATTGAACTATGACTACCTGTCTGAATCATTAATCTTGTTTTAACAACCCAGATAGGATTAACACCAATGGTTGATACCATTCCTGCCGTTAATGCCGAACAGAAATGAGTCAAGGCATCACTTTCAATACCTTGTTTATGCAAAATTTTAGGATATCGTTTCTTACCTTGTTCATACACAGTGAAATATATTGTCCAAGTAGGTAAATATCCTATTGTTATTGGTACTAGTCCTCTATAAAGCCCTCTTATACCTTCTTCTCGAAGAATCGTTTTGACTGTATGTAGAAATCCATTATATTTATTAATTTGGCCAACCATTGCACCTTGAGCTTGTAATCTTGTTTTACAAACATCAAGTGGACAAACCACAACTCCGGCAAGAAAACCCGAAGCGGCTCCTGCCATGGTTGTTAATTGACTTGATGACATTCTGGATAATATTGAAGATGGATAGTAGTGTGATAGCCTTGTTGGCTCGATATGAGGTGGGTTTATTTTGAATGGTGTTGGTTCGATTGAATTTCGAAATTCTAAATCTTCACCTTGAACAATATCTGAAAAGTTTGGATGTGATATTGAAACTGGTACTAGTCTGTCATTTAGTATATGATTTTCTCCTTTTGTCATCTTCTATTAGAGTCTTTCTATGATATCTGTATATGTTCTATTAAGTAGCAAGTATTATAAAATGGATTGTGGCGACTTCAAAAGTAAAACTAACTAGCCTCCAATGATAGCGGAAAAAAACGGACTGAATCAAAGACAAGGGGGGGCGATTGGGAATGGATGAGCGGGGGGACAGGGGAATGAGTTTCTTGGTACGCAAATAAACTCCTAGTATGATGGGGAGAGGGTCTGAAGTAAGCTATTTCAACGTAAGTTTGTGATGCTTAGTAATAAAGAAATTTAATCTACTCCAATAATGAATATTTGATGATCTCTTTTGATAAAGAAACAACACAAGAAAAAGAAAGAAAAACTTTTTTTTTTTGGTTTTGGTGCTTCGGTACATTTTGTAGTGTAATTTAAATTAATTACGGAGTATAAAGTAGAAGTAATCCCGCGCTCGCTAAAGGCTTCCCGAGGAAAATCGAAGATGACTTTAGGAAGTATCTAACGATCACTACGAGGACACTCCCACAATTATCAATCACAAAATGCACTATTTCTTTATTTATTTTGTCTCATTAAAAAGAATTGGAATTGAAAAACATTCTTTTAATTTGATCTTTATTCGACTCGATTATATTAAATGTAATTGAGCGATGACTTGAACTGTCATAAAAATCCTTAGCTAAATTTTTACGTTCTGCATAATGTCGTAAGAAATCAGAACCTCAAATGATGACAGATTATATCATTCAGGATGCATATATTTATCTGTAAGAGTGGAGTACAGAAAGGCATTTCTGTTCTCTAAAGTGTAAGCTATTTCTAAATATACACAACCTATGAGTCATAGTTAAATTACTGTGGGTACTGTGGAGCCATGGGTATCAATGGATCAAAGTTTTGCAAAATGAAAACATTGCGACATTTGTCAATTTTTTTTCAGAAGTTTACCCGAAAAAACAAAGACATAAGTTCAATCCGAAGATGAGGAGAGGTGGGGAGAGACTATTTATTGACACTTTTAAATTGAATCTCCACGGTAATCAATCAGCTTTAATCAATTGTTGTAAACCAAAATTAAAAAATGGTCAAATTCTTATTGAAAGTAACTGCGGAATTAGAAAACGTAACTGATTTGCAACCAGTTGATACACCAGAACATCCATTCGAATACACATTTCAAATTCAATGTACAAAATGTCGAATGACTCATGATAAAGAAATTAGTATAAATCGATTTGAAAAACATGAAATAAGTGGATCTAGAGGAGAAGCAAGTTTTGTATTTAGATGTAAAGAATGTAAACATGAACATTCTGCAAGTGTAATTAGAACTGGTCAAAATTTTACTATTGATGATTCTAAACCAGTACCAATTTTGGAAATTGATGCAAGAGGAATTGATTTCCTTCAATTCTTTGCATATGGTGAATTTCAAGCTGTTGGGACTGAGTCAAATACTAAGTTTAATGATATTGATTTGTCAGAAGGTGAATGGTATGATGTTGATGAAAAGACAAATGAAGAAGTTTCCATAATTGATGTTAAATGGGATATATCTCGTAGTTAGGAGTGAAAAAATGGGTGATTTGCAAAATTTATCTGTATAGTGTAATGAATGAATGGGTATTGTTGTTATCAAAGCTTCTGGTAGTATCTTATCTACCAGTATTGTCCCTCGGGTATTATATGATGCAAAGCGTGTCCTGTCTTGATCTCCAACTTCTGCTTCTTCTTAGATGGTAACCTATTGCAATTTCTGAAAGAAAAGGAAGAAGAGGTGATGAAAAGGAACAAACAGCAGTAGATTTTGAGATTGCAATTTCACCTTCTTTAATCCCGTCGTGTGTTTTTTCTGAACCTTGGCGGTTGACTGATACACTAATGTCTTAACTACTTATATTGTTCTTGCTCCTAGTAAATTGTCCATTTTTAAACAGAGTCGTAAGAAGATATTCCTCTTCTCCTACAAAGTAAGCTGTAAACCTGAAACCCGCTGAATCCACTGGTACTCCTTCCTGCTCAGAGATTCCCCTTCTACTAAACCACGAGTATATGCCAAATCTCTCATATATTACTGAAGTTCATCTTGCATCATGTACCAAACAAGTTGTCTAACATAGACCCGTGATTGATACACTCAATGAGTGTCACTGAAATGAGTGAATAATTTATTGGCTGCTAAAGTAATTTGCAGCAAAAAAAAAATTCTTAAGGGGCTAGTAGAAAAATGCGAGACAAGAGAGACACGTTGGGCGATGGAAACACTGAATCCTTACTTGGTTTCGGAAATATGGGAAACGATTCCGACCACTAATAATATGATTGTGGATCTAATTAATATCGTTAGATTCTATGTTAGGCTTAGTCTTTGCTCCTCGTCGCATCTGTATTGTCTTCTTCTGTTATCAATTGTTTTTAATGGATAAAACGGAAAGCAGAACATCGAAAAAAATTAAATTAAATTTCATCCTCTTCATCCCCTAATTCTTTTTATTCTTTAATACGCAAACCATATAATATTAATTCATCATTGACCTTATTGGTTCAAACTTTATTTTTCAATTAACTTTCAATAACCATTTCTTCACAACGGTTTTGAACGTTCTTATTTTCTAATTAATTACTTGTTCTTCTTTTGTGTAAGTTGTTAAATATCAAGTTCAATTGATAATCTTATCTCCCCCCCCCCCCACTTAAAAAACAACAATACAATATGGCTGGTAACTTAGCTGACGCAATCACACAACCAATGAATGACAAACTCAAAAAGCTCGCCGAGAAAAGAGCCGAAGGAGGAGGTGGTGGTAGCAGTGGTAGCGGTGGTTCACTGAGAAAGATCAAAATGTTTACCCCAGAATATTATATCACCTGCACAATTGGAGGTATCACCGCCTGTGGGCCAACCCATGCATTTGTAACTCCACTTGATTTAGTCAAATGTCGTCGTCAAGTTGATCCAAAGCTATATAAATCAAATATGCAAGGTTGGAGTACCATTCTTAAAACCAAAGGAGATTCAATTCTTACTGGATTTGGTGCAACACTTATTGGATATTCATTCCAAGGGGCAGCAAAGTATGGTTTCTATGAATATTTTAAGAAGACATATAGTGATTTAGTTGGGCCTCAATATGCAAATGATTATAAAACTATGGTTTATTTATCTGCTTCTGCCTCAGCTGAATTCCTTGCTGATATTGCCTTATGTCCTTGGGAAACCATTAAAGTCAAGACCCAAACCACTATTCCTCCATATGCAAATTCTGTTCTTGATGGTTGGCGTAAGATGGTTGCAGCTGAAGGTTTCGGTGGGTTATATAAAGGATTGGTTCCATTATGGGGGAGACAAATCCCATATACAATGGTTAAGTTTGCTTCTTTTGAAAATATCGTGGCTGCAATTTATTCTTATTTGGATAGACCTGCAAGTTCTTATAATGCTTTTGAAAAAACTGGAATCTCATTCTTGGGTGGTTATATTGCTGGGGTTTTCTGTGCTATTGTATCACATCCTGCTGATGTTATGGTTTCAAAAATTACGTCGGAAAAGAAACCTAGTGAAGCTATTGGGGCTGCAATTGGAAGAATCTATAATCGTATTGGATTTGGTGGATTATGGAATGGATTACCCGTGAGAATTGTTATGATTGGTACTTTGACTGGGTTCCAATGGTTAATCTATGATTCATTTAAGGTGTACGTTGGATTACCTACCACTGGTGGTAAGTAACCAAAACCTACTTCTCTATATATTTATACTACTACTGTCACTTTATTTGCTTTACATTGTTTACTATTATCTCTTGTTTGTCTACTACAACTAGCTTTTTGAAAAATTTATATTATTATAATATATGCCTATTAAATATTAGAATTGAAAATGCTTGTGGTATTATATAAACTCTTATATTTCATAAAAACTATTCTAGCTCCAGACGTTCTTGAACAAATCATCGTCTAATCCATTACCACTCAAGCCATTAGATCTAGGACCAGCGGAATTCCATTGATTGGCCAGGCTAGTCGCAAGTCCAGTACTCCATTGATTTGTGGAAGTTGGCACCGAAGTTGTTGATGATGACGAAGAATCCGACCATTCAGTATTCCATTGTGATTTAGGAGGCACGGTTGGTGTTTTATTCTCCACTACGGGTTTAGGTGCCATTTTGGGTTCAGGTTGACGATTAGGGATAGCAGCTGGTGAATTGAAGTTTAAACCTGACAATGATCCTGTTAATGAATTCATACTGCTTGATGAAACGGTGTTGCTGTATACTTGTGCTCTAGCTTGAGGTGGTTGTGGTTGTTGAGGTGGTTGCTGTACTTGAGGAATGAATGCACTTGAGGAAGATGGCGATGAATATAATGACAAAATAGATTTCTTAAGATCTGGTCTCCCTGCACTTGAAATACTTCCTCCGGTTGATTGTGCTGATTGGGTTTGTGCTGATGGTGGACGTGGTAAACTTTGCTGTTTTTGTGGTGTTGGCGCTGCTCGTGATACAATTGTAGGGGAGGAGATTGTTGCGTGAATAGGTTTTGGTGACGGTGTGGAAGAAAAATCCCCGAAATCGTCATCTAATAGATTAATTGAGTGTTGAACTGGTTGCTTAGGTTTGGTAGAAACTGGAGCTTTCTTAACATCATTGAGATCTGCCACTTTGGGGGCTGGGCTAGATGTTTTAATCGTTGATGGATCAGGTATATGATGTGATCCCGTCCATTTCTTTAAATCATACTTTGTTCTAATAAAATTTTCAATCTTCAGAGAATCAGGAATATAGCCTTCAGGTAATTTTGATTCCCAATAAGCATTACATTTCTCATTACCCCATTTGACCATATTTTCCACTTGTGCATCTTCCCAAGCATCAAGATCGACCGATTTAACTTTTGAAATATGAGTTCCCATACTTCTATGAATACCTGAACATCTAATACACACAAAACAACCCAAACTCCAAGAGGCCCATCTTGGGTTCTTGGAAGTTTTGCAATCTGCACATACTTTATTACAATTTTCTCTAAGAAGTTGTTTTAATATTTGTTTATGTCTTTCCAGGTGAGTCTTTTTTGACGACGGTAATGCGTTGGATGATCTATAACTCATTTCTTTGGATTAGTGCTATAAGAATATTAAAAGCGATAGTACTGAGCTATGTCCTTTGCGGTTTATTAAAAGGATTGCGCTATAACGGTCGTCTGAGTTCAGTTAAAAGTACCTCAGCCGTGGTTTTAACTTCCAGTATTGTCGAATATCAAAAACTTTATGTGGTGAGCTGAAAAGAAAAAAAAAAGAAATCAAAAATCTACAAACCCTCTCACGTGACTAACAAGAAATTTTTTTTCAAAATAGCGGAGAACAGATCCACAACAAATGAAATTCAAATTACAAGTAAGGAAAGCAGATGGATATGTTACATAGTTATTATTCTTCTGTTGCTATCTCAAACAGAAAGCTTATATTTAAGGATAGACCAACACAAAGAAAGATAGGTTCGTCTCTAACATGTGGTTGGGGGGTTTTTTTGCTAAGAGTTTTTAAGCTTTTAGGTATTTTGTTATTTTTTTCCGTCTCCCTTCATCAACGATCTCAGATTTCTTATTTTTTTTTTTTAATTTTTAATTAAATTACATTTTTCTTCTCTTTCTTTCCATCCCTGACATTCATTGTAATATATGTATATATCGCATAGAACAAAAGTCATTTAGAAGATAATAGACAACATAGACAGCCACTACTCCTTTCCCTAATCAACGAGAAAAACAAAAACACTCAAAAACATATAGCAAAATGATACTAAGGCCGTCGAATCAAAAGGAAACAAAACTCCAAAACCCAAAATCGCCACGACTTGTAACGCTTGAACAAGTCAAATTACACCATACCCCAGATGATTTATGGATGATCATATATAACAGAGTATATGATATAACATCATTCTCCAAGGACCATCCCGGTGGTGTCGAAGTTTTGTATGATTGTGGTGGTGCTGATGCCACTCAAGCTTTTGAAGATGTTGGACATTCTGATCAGGCATTTACGATGTTAGGGCCTTATTTGGTTGGTGAAGTACATCCAGAACAACAAAAGTCGTTTCTGAAAATACGATCGTCTGATCCATACGCATCTACTGTTGCTAAAGTTGAAGCTGTACAACAAAGGACAAGAGGTAAAGGAAGGAAACAAGGTGGAGAATGGGTTTGGTTCATTTTACTTGCATTTATGGCATTGGCTTGTTTGGTTTTATATATTTACATTCAGAGGTTTAAATGGGTAGCAGAAGAATAGAAAGGTGGATAGCTTCCGCTTCTTTTCTATTCTATAATGGTTGTTATTGCTTACAAATCATTCATGTTGAATCCTCAGGGCCAATGATTCCCATCGAATTATTTAAGTATTTAGGTTGATTTTTTTTAGCATTTCATTTCTTGTTTGAGTTTATTATCATTACATATTACCCTGGCATATTTACATCGTTAATATTGAAATACGTAAGATCTTGGCATTCTGTTATTTTTTTTTTAATTATAAATCGGAAAAACTTTTATGCTTGTTAGCATTTCCAATTAACAACAATATTTCTGTCTTTCATTGGCACCTTCACTGGCCTATTTACCCGCTCTTCTCTCATCGTCCAACAGTTTGATTTCCTCTTCCGCTTGGTTCAAAAGAACTTTTTTTTTTTTTACCTTTTACCCCTCAAACATTTATTTCTCAATTCAATCCACACATGCCAGCAGTTTCCCATGCCAACCAAAAAATAAATAATTAACCTCTTAATAACAACCCAAATATCATATAAATGAGCAACAAACACTTCAATAAGCTTCATATAATGCAAACTCAAAAAATAAGCCCGATGCGGGGGTCGAACCCGCAACCTTTTGATGTCTTGACATAAGAGTCAAACGCTCTACCGATTGAGCTAACCAGGCAGTTAAGAAAGCCCGATGCGGGGGTCGAACCCGCAACCTTTTGATGTCTAACAAAACTAAGAGTCAAACGCTCTACCGATTGAGCTAACCAGGCGATTTCTTAGTTTTGGGATTTTGGAAAAATATGAACTCGTGGAAGATGGCACTACCATTTCATCATTAAAATTGAAGTTTAAACTGGTAGAGTTAGTTGAATCATCCAACTCAGAACATCATATACAACTCCTTATAGAAAAGGTTAATCTGAATAACTCAACTTCTTTTATTTAGTGTATTTTCTGTGTTTTTCGTTTCCCTATACTTTCTTACTGTGTACAATGAGAACTAAGACACCTATAACTGAGTAGGATAGGATCTCGAATACCTTTGGTTCGATACTGCAGCTTATGACTGTTTAATATACAGTAGCTAAGGAAATTCACTTGCATAAATTGGCTGCAAACAATTGTGTGCTGGATTTTTCATTTTGGTTGTTTTTTTTCGCATCAAGAGAATCTTTTAAACCATCAAAAAACGATGCAATGATAGAATCTATCAAGGAGAACAGGCAGTCAGAGTATTCTTATTGAGTCGGAAGATACAGTAGACTATCTAAGAGTGCATATAAATTATGGGTTAAAGAATGAACATTCCAAGTATGAAGAAAAAATTGAAAATATATTTACGGGTTCCTGTTCGCAGCCACTACAAGATTATGTCAACTCTTTTTTTTTTATATACAATCTGTTTATTGAGTTCTTATACATACTAACATACAGAAATGTAACAGACAGAAAACAATATACTGTAAAGGCAAAAAGCAGCATTGCCTAAAACCTTATTTCAGCTGCATCCTAGAGACTAAGTGTATAAGAATAGTCGTTAAGACTCTTCGACACGTATGATACCCATTTTTTAATGAAGTGGACAGTGAACTCAACGTTCCGGCCCCCTGCTCGTCAAAATTTTTGGAACTTGTAAAGAAGAACAAGGTACCGATTTAACTGCATCAATTGGAAAGGTTGAAGTGAATAATTGCAAATAAAGAGTCGGAGTTTCCTTGGTAGCGAGCGTGGACGGCAAAGTTGATTGGGCCCATTACTCTCACTATAATCCACACCCATACTACAGTCTCCTTTAGTAAATTGGTAAATTTGATGGATTTCATAATGCCATATCTTTCAAACTCAAGGATTTCGTATATACCCATCAACTAAACGCTTCACAAATGATCCAAATTTGCAGCACTCCGTGTCTCTGATCGATCCAAGGACTGAAGTCGTTTATGGCATTAACGGGAAGTTTTCTAGGGCAATATGAACTCTATTTCCTTGGAGTCTTTAAATTGAGCATGTAAGTTAAAGAAAAAAATGGACCCTTAGACAAGGGCTTTTGAGCAATTTTGCCCAGTAGAAAGCAACTCTGTTTCTTTCATCATAGAAATATATTTCTCGCCGATAAGTTTCTTTGCATAAACCTGAATACCTCTATGAGTCCAGACTCTGGGGTAGCAATCTTGACTTCCATTGTTTTATATTCAACACCTTTTGATTAACCAAAGTTGTCGGAATAGGGCATCAAAACTAGACTAAAATTACAAAGGAAGTTTTTCCATCTGCTTTAAAATAAATAATAAAGCTCAATTGAATACAGTCAACAACCTAAAAAAGCGAGGCACTGGGTTGTTGCAAAACAACTATGTTAGAATGATTTAGGGGTCAGAAATTACCTAAACACTACATTCGATTTTTTGGTTTACGTTAAACACTATTGGTTCGCCTAGCAAATCTTTAAACACAAAATATATTATACAAAGCCACCTTTGATTCTCGAAAAAAACTTCTAGGTAAATACCAAAGAAAGTTTTTATTGATATAACAAGTAAACATTGGACAGCTACAACGAAAATGGGTTGGGAACAATCCTTTCTTTTCTTTGAATTTTCCTCTCAGATGTCCCATACACTTATGCTGTGCAACGTAACAAATCAGGTATCTATGAATCCCCATCATCCCTTTCATAAAACTAATTCGATTATCTTTGTTCTTGTCCCTTTTGCACAAGGATTGACCGTGGTGCGAGCTTGTAGAGGCGTGTTTCATGTTTCACCCGGCTGTTCAAACAAAAAATCTTTCAAAGCATTCAGGAAGCCTTTAAAACACTATCACCTTCAGGGTTGAAGTTGGTATGGGTTCCAAAAATCCGAAACAATATTCCGAAGGTCCTATCTTCTAGTGAAGCACAAGATAACTACCATTTCGACATCGATTTGAATTTTTCATGGTAGCGCAAAGATTCAGATATTCATATATGCTCGATGCCCAAAATTTCAGAAAAATCCGATATAGTGTAACGGCTAGCACGGTTCGCTTTCACCGAGCAGACCCGGGTTCGACTCCCGGTATCGGAATTATTTTTTATTTTTTGAATTATTAAAATAAATCAATAGGAACGTTTACTTTTAGTTTTGAAGTCCTATAGACACCTTGCATTGATTGATTTTTTAGTATTTACGCTAATTGGGGGTCATTTCATTGAAAAATGTGTGAAATTCTTTTGTTTTAATTTTTGCAAAAAAATGGTCATAATTCAGTGAATATATAAATATGGAAAAAGAGTATTCCTAAAACAGCTGGTCTTTACGTTTTAATTCGCGAGGTTTCAACCACTATTAGTAAGTATTTAAACCATATAGCAACCTCTAAGAGTTCAAAATAGAGCACTTTCTCCATTTGAAAATTAATTTTTACAAGGTAAATTATTTATACATCTATCATTACATTTATGTTGCAACTTACTTGACCGAAGCTCATTTTCTATGTTGCAGTTTAATAATTGTCTCCCTTAAAAGAGCATTTGCTTAGCTTGGCGTATAGATACTTTCACATAAAGAAAGAGTCTAGTTTCCAATCAATATCGGAATAAAACGGCTCTATATCGTCAGCATGATCTAAATTAGGAACACTTCCAGCCATTTAACAATATTTATAATCGATACTAGTTGAGCATTTGGTCATGAATTTATTTAAATCATTTTCATTGCCAACCACCATATGAACTTCTGTTGACTTATCATTTCCCTATTCCATACACGACAAACATTACAGAATAGCTACTATGATTATCTTGTTCTTCTTCAAAAATTTCAGGGTTTCCAAAGGAAGTTCCATTTGCTGAAATCCTTTCTTTTTGATCTGCCAAGTGAAGGATTTCATCAAGGTTTAATGTTGTTGTCCTTATTTGTTACAGCTGTTTGTAGTTGCGAAGTTTTCAAAGAGAAATCCACCCCTGGGTGGTTAATTAATCCCTAGTTTTCAGACATCTGTTAAACTGACCCATAAGACAAAATTTAAAGAGCAAACAGAGAAAACTACCTTAGCTTGATATTAATGGAGTCTTTAAGCTGGGTTCCTTTAAATTTGACTTTATCGTGTCTATTTGCTGTACATGATTTAAATTTTCAAGAGTTTCGTTATAGTTTCCAAATTTTAATACGAAACTACTATTCTTTAATACAATTTGAGCATGTAAAAATAAATATGTTGCTATTCAGTGTGTCTGGTAGGAAGCACAACACTAATCTAGGATGTGTCTTTTAGAAATTAGTTAGAAACCAAATATCGACAAATTGCAGCCAAGTTTTATTTTTTCGATTGTTGCCTCACAGATTTTTTATCAAGTTTCTTTCTCCCCTTATTTTCCAAAAGGGAACCTCCATACAACACATTTTTCCTAACAAGAACTCAATCAATCTGATAAGTTAAATAAATCAATTATGTCTGACGAAGAATTCTTTTCAGAAGAATCGTATGAATTCGAATTTGAAGAAGATGACGAAGAAGGGAACGATGAAGAACAAGAAGTGAATGGATCGGATATAGAACCTGATGAAGAAGATTTGGGAATAGTATGTAAACCATATAAAGTGCTATTCATCGAGAATACATTACTAACTCAGAGTTATAGGAGAATAGGTATTATACAGCAAAGGGGAGGAAAGATGATGAGCCAGATGCAGCGATAAATGACTTCACCAAAATTATTGAAAATACAACGAAAGATAGTAACGAAAATATTGAATGGCTCTTTAAATCTTATAAACAATTGATCAAATTATATTTCAGACAACGAAACTATCCATTGCTACTTGAACGCTTAAATCAGTTGTTTGAATTGGTCCCCCAGTTAAGTAAATCCTATGTCGAAGAATCAATTACTAAAATGATTGCAAGATATTCTTCATCCCCAGATGTATCATTCATTAATAGCTTTTATAATTGCTTACTTAAACATTCTGATAGTGACAGAACTTGGTTGAAAATCAATACCAACCTTCTTAATCTTTATATTGAAAATGGTCATTATGAAAAATTCCCGGAGTTGCTTCTGACAATTTATGAACGATTGAAGACAACGTCAGAATCTACCCAAAAATCGTTTACACTCGAAGTAATAGCAGCAGAGATTGAATATTTATCACGAACAAAGAACCATAATCTACTGCGTATGAGTCAATTATACAGAAAAAGTCTTCAGATTACTACTGCTGTGACACACCCAAAAATATTGGGAACAATCCGAGAATGTGGAGCAAAAGTACAATTCTATCGTGGGAACTTTGAGAAGGCAAGGTTGGAGTTTTATGAAAGTTTCAAGAATTATGATGAAGCTGGATCTCCATTGAAAAAGCAAATCTTAAAGTATCTTGCTTTATGTTCGTTATTAACAGAGAATGAATTTGATCCTTTTGATACTCAAGAAACTCAAACATATGCTCAGATGTCCGAATTCGCTAATTTATTGTTATTGATCGACGAGTACCACTCCATGAATTTAACAGAATTTAACAGGGTTCTTAAGTTAATAAGTTCAGGTGAAGATCCGTTATCCAATGATGATATTTTTAAACACGCGTCAAAACAAATCTTGTCGAATTTAAGGTCTAAGGCATTGATTAGTTACATTAATTCTTATAAGTCCATAAAACTACAGTTTTTAAGTGAAAGATTACAATTAGATGACAACGAACTAGAATTGTTAATATTAAAATTGGTTAATTCTGGAAGATTAACAGACATAAGAATTGACTTCACCAACAAGATTGTCTATACCCAAAAATCGACCACTCAACTAATTCCAGCATCATTGACTGCAAATGACATTTTCTATAATATCAGAGCCTTGGATGTCATGAATTTAGATGCGACTCAATCAAAAAGCTTAATATTGAATGCCGAGGATCGAATGGATCTTGATAATGGCACAAAACCGGCAATTACAGGTGTTTTCTTTTCAAATATGGCAAGTCAAGATCTTACGTCTAAACCATTAAGTTTATTGCATAAGCTATTCTTCTCAATTGATAGACCTTCGCAGGACAAGGATTGGTTCCCCGTCATAGAATCATGGTATTCGTTTATGATATCGGCAATCCCACCCTCTATTAAAGGAGAAGTAAGTCAAATGGATCAAATATATTCTGAACAAAGAGCCGAAAATGCATTGAATACGTCGGTGAATAAACCAAACGACTTGGCTAATATTAATACGAAAGGTGGATTATTGAATTCTGCAATTAACCCAGAAGAAAACGAAGCTGATAACGACGAACCAGGAGTAATTGAACAAGTTCACAAAACTGATATCTTAGGAGCGTGGTATAATCAAGCTAGAACTTATTATGATAGTTTAGTTACAAAATAATGGTATCAAATTTGTGTTTCTTAAGAAGGATGAGTAAATTAGAGTACAGGGCATATTTTTCGTGCGAACTCGCCAGTGTGGTGATGCTCTTCGCAATTTTTTTTTCAAGATCTTTTTATTCTTCTTCTTTCTGTTCTTCTTTTACTTCGTTACCTTAGATGCCAAAATAAATGTATGTTTCTAGATTTCTGAATAGTTTAGGTACTCAATTCTTTAACTAAATGATTAGAATTATATGCGTTATCGTCATGATTAGCCCGCTTTTACAATGTCTTAGGGCGAAATTTGAAATCAACTAACACCTACATGAAGTTAAATCCGAGAATCTTACCTAAACTAAACCAACCAATATTAGAAGACATTTTACTAACATGATTAGAATTCAGTTACGAAAGTAGGAAAATGAAATGATTATACTGTATTTCCAAATTCTTTTGGAACGCACCCGTTCCTGTAATCTCACTAACTATTAAACGTTTCTGCCTTTATTCTCTTTCGGGATGCTATCAAATTTAACGTAAAAATCGACCAGAAGAACATAGACATAAACAACATAGGTAAAAGAAAGCTACAACTCATATCGGCGTGGGGGGTGCTTTTGTTCAAAACTAAGAAAACTACATACCAACAATAATGCTTTCCCCCCAAAAAAACAGCGACTAGTCGTTCTTCAAGTATAAAAGAAACCTTGTTATACAAATTCAATAGCGGCCAATTAGTACCCCAAATGCTCGCTTTTTGTTACTTCTTCAAGTAAAAACAAGAAAAAGATAAATGATTCTGCCCAGGATCGAACTGGGGACGTTCTGCGTGTTAAGCAGATGCCATAACCAACTAGACCACAGAACCATTTGTTAAAATAAAAATGTGGGAAAGCAAATCAAATCAAATAAATTACGTCACGTGCATACATACATTTTTGGGCCGGAAGATGGTTCGGGTATCGTTTTACGGGTATGAGATTCACATGTGACTAGGTCGGAACAAATTAATTTCTTGAATACAGGCCACTCTATACTGTTTTAAACAGAAAAAACTACTTCAACTTAATGCGAAGGCCTCTGAAACCTTTAGAACTACTTTATTGGACAGGTTGCTTATTAAATTTCTTTTAAATAGGACTCATAAATATAATGGTAGCGCCAGTCAAATTACAACCATGAGTTTGGAGTGTTTTAGACAGTTCTTCTGGAGGAAATGGTAAGCATTCCATGATACGCACTATTCCACGTCCTTTCGTGAATGCCTGCTATAATTAATATACATTATTATTAACAAAATACTTACGCTAGGACTTAATGAATTTGGAAATAACTCGACTGAGCAAAATTCGGTGGGATGTGCTCTTTGATTAGACTACTTTCAAATGGTTTCTAAAGGATGAAATACGAAGGCTAGTAATATTAAATGAAAAGCTTCTGAGTTTCTGAAACAATGATCGATGATGTAAGATATCAAACTTTTGCAGCAATTTTCTTCAAAGAAAAATGGATGCTTTCTTCAGGGATATTGACGACGTTAGAAAACTTGAGGCAAAGTACCAATTGAAAGCTACCTAGTACCTAAGGCTAGGAAAGAACAAATCCTTGATAACGCTCACTAACTGTAGATTATACAAAGGGTTCACACACTCATACTTCTATTTAAAATACTTTACGAAAGAATTGATTCCAAACTCTTAAAGTTTGGTCGCTAGCTAGATAAACAACTGAATAAGTTCATACCGACAGCGAGGATCAATTTCTAAGAGGAATTCTTATATTAAAATAATTTCTAAAATAATACTTCAACTATATAAAATCCCTATAATAATTATACAACCAATGGATTTAGGTAAATAAATACTATAACCTAACAAAGAAAAAAGTAAAGGTAGAAGGAGCCACCTGAACTAAACAATACCATAACCGACAAAGATATCCATAAAGATACTTTCCTTAAATGACTATCAATAGCATCCACAGGAATGAATAACATGAATAAACCGAAACTTAAAAACCCAATCGAAAGCATAGACTTTGATTTTTCATTTTCTATAAAAAATAATATTAACCCACATGCTTGGTTAGTGGCATCCGAAATAAATTATGATGAAGCACAAATGGTAGCTTCACGAAACAGATAAAAAGCATCATAACATATCTAATGATGGTGTATGATAAACCATAATTTGTTCCTTAGATTGATTTCAAGATTTTTTTTCTCTTCCAATTTTTTGCAATTAGTTTGCAACCCAATTAAAAAAAATCTCACCGAAATATTCAACATCCTAAAAAATGCGCCACCATCAACCCAAACAAGCAACAAAGAAACAAAAACTCGAAAATTGATATAAGTAATAAAAATACAATAAAATAATCTTTAAACCCACATTCTTAATTAAAAATACTCATTCTTCAAAATATAAAAAAAAAGCACAGAAACATTGATAACAACCCGAAGTTAATAGGGTAAAAATGTTAACCTATTATTATGAATTTGTATCAGACTTAGATGAAGTAAGCTAATGGAACTAAGGCCAAGGCTAAGAAGGTAGCACCAACAGTAGCAGCACCAGCTTCGAAAGTGGAGATAACACCCGGGGCAGCAGATTGACCAGCTGGAGCAACAACGGAAGTGGTTTGACCGACTGCTGGAGAAGATGTGGTAGAACCATATGGTGGACTAACTGGTCCCTTAGAAGTGACAGTAGCAGTACCAACAATAGAGGTGAGGGTGGTGGTTGCTTCACCTTGTGGACCTTGACCTGGAGTAGTAGCTTCTGGAACACCACCGGTAGTGAGAGGACAGTAAGTGATAAATTCAGTTACGGTACCTTCAATAGTTTCAGTGGTAAGTTGTGGAGTAGCAGGAACGGTAGCGGTGGAGCAAGCATTGTTGGAACAAGAAGTAATAGTGATGGTCTTGGTAGATTCAACAGTTTCGACAGAAGAAAGTGGGCAGAAAGTGGTGTAAACAGTGACAACTTCGTTGACGGTGGTAGTAACAACGGTTTCCTTAGCTGGAACAGTGGTTGGAACACAGATGTTTTCACTACAAGAAGTGATAGTGATAACAGTAGTAGATTCTTCAGTGACAGTAGTGAGTGGACAGAAGGTAGTGTAGACAGTGGTGACACCGTGAACAGTAGTAGTAACAACACTTGGAGTAGCTGGAACAGTTGCGGTGGTACAAGTACCAGCAGAACAAGAAGTGACGGTAACAACAGTAGTGGAGACTTCAGTTTCAGTAGTAGTAGATTCGGTACCAGTAGGAGAACCAGAAGTAGTGGACGATTCAGCAATTGGGACAACTTGGAAGTAATCTGAGACAAGTAAAGCACCCTCAGTGTTTTGAATTTCTTCAGCGAAGTCATCAGCTTCGTCTCTCTTAGCAATTGGAGCATCCTTGAATAATCTCTTTCTGATAGCAGCAGTAGAGTTGGAAGCTGGTTGTTCTTCAAGGTGAACTTGGAATAAATCGGAACCTGGAGTACCAAATAAGAATCTGGCTGGGACGTTGACGATACGACCAGCATGAACAATATCGGTAAAGTATCTGATGTTACGAACGATGGTGTAGTAGAATTCAATGTTGTAGTCTTCACGAGAAATGAAATTGAAGAAAGCTGGGTCATTAGCTGGAATTGGGAATGGACAGATACCAGTGTCTAAATCGACAACGGCAACTTGGACGCCACCTGCTAAACAGGCGACATTGACAGCCAAAGATTGGACGAATAAGGCTGCAAAACCAACGATTGATGTGATTGAAAATTTCATTCTTAAAATTTGAAACCTCTAGTTAAATTATTTAGTAAAGCGAAAGTATTTGGTTCAAATATAAGCTGAAGAAAGGAAAAGTAACAAGAAAGAAGAAGAAAAATCGTGACCTAGAAATTATCACAAATTTAGAAGGATTCTAAGGTCAATATATATTGCCAGCCATGCCCCCCTTTAGAGTGTGAATTCTTAAATCTATTGTTGGAGTTTTGTGGTTGTAAAAATTTTCTTATTTACAATTTTTAAAACAATAAAAAACGGATTAAAAAAATATTATTTTTTAGAAACCATTGTTGCAACATTTTTTTTCCCCTGCGGTCGTGGCAAATTGTATTCTTAATTGTTTTCTTTTGTTTGAATATTTCACAATAATAGTTGAATGTTTTTCCATTGTTAACGAGAAGGCCACTACACAATAACAAGCTTTTTGGCTTTTCGTGTTGTTTGCCTAGCAACAAAGTTTGCTCCCTTTGAACAAAAAATCAAGACAAAGACCGTGATGACTTCCAAGCATTTAAGTGTTTATAACTCAAGACATGCCACGCGCGTGCCCACTGCAATTCAATTGCGCTCAATCGCAAGCTAAAAGAAACAATTGTATTTACATTAGAGGAACCAATTCCAGAGTTAATTATACAATTGGGATTGTGCAATTAATGCGGTGTTTACAATTTTGTCTAAAATAAACTTTTATAGATAAATGATTGTGGTAAAATTAAAATCCCAAAAAAATATTTCAACCAATTTAAAAAAAGTTGCATGTTGGGCTCCGTACTAATCATAATCCATTGACGTAGTTGTATTAAGCTTTGCCTCTCCCAGGGGCCCCCTACCCAACCATTGCGGTCTCGTTCGAAAGTTCCACATGACGAGTTTACGCCAAGGGCTAAATGAAATCCACACTTAGAGATCCACTAGAAAGACAATTATAAAACTGATGGTTGCTTTTTTAAAAACGTGCTGAACAGTGTTTACAGATTGAAATATGAGATTTCGCATTTGTAAGATAATGCATCAGGAATGATGACTAGAAAGAGAAAGTAGAAAGTCATCCGATTTCCTTTCCGTTCTTTACTTTCTTTTCTCACAAGGTAGCCAATTACAACCTCATACTAGAAATAAAGGATATATCCAACCTGTAATTTTTTGCTATATAATTAGAAAGCTGTAGTCTGTCTCCCCCTTGCCCAATCTCAAATGCTTCTAAGATACCAATTTCTTGACCTTTTGATATTTTTTGCGAATTCAAGGAGAATACCGTTTTGCTGCCATATAATATCGCTTATTCTAGTCCAAACTAATTCTTAATGTCCCAACTACTCCTTAAAATTCACATTGGATTTTTGAGAGTATGTTGTCAATTAAGTGTAAGAGTCATTATCTTTGAATTTATTAATTCGAAGATTGTTTAAGAATGGAAGATTGTTAGAATGGAAAGAATGGAGCGATTTTGTGCTTTTTTTAACACTTTTGCATATTCAATTTAGAAAGAACGATGATATGGAAATTTTTTATTTCCATGGCTTCGCGTTAAAAATATTTTTTAAATCACGTTTTGACTTTCCTGCATAATCAGATGAGAAAATATTTTTAAATCTCTTTGTTGTTTTGTAGATTTCAAATAAAACAAAACAGTTAGGGAGAATCTAGACTCAATTGATGTTTGCCATTAGTAAGTAAAGGACATAGGGCTAATGGTGGTCATTTCTACCTGAGCTCACTTCTTCCACATGATCAAAAACCATGGAAATATGCGCAAAGACTCTTGTTCAATGGCAAATCTATTTCTTGCAAATGTAACGTCATATTTTTTTCTGATTTCATCAATTCAGTAGGATTTCAAAGAGAAAGATGTGATACTTTCGAGAAGAAACCTCAAATTCCCTCGATCGACACGTTCAGTTCTTGACTACTAAATAATAAATCTGCATCTATTTCAAAAATAGTCACCTCCATGCATCAAGCAACTCTATCACCTTGCGTAACCTCTCTTTTCTCACGACCGGGATGAAATTTTCAGAGGCCTGATACGAAGACGAAACTGTAAGTCTTCTCTTCTTGTGTACTCAAGGGTTACAATTGCAAGAGAGCCATCTACACGGCGCTTCCTGATGAGTGATAAAAAGCCAATTAAATTGCAATAGGATTCAAGTTGATTCTCAATTCCGCGAGAGGTATAAACTGAAATTGATCAAAACGCTCACGCATAAACTAAATCAAGGCCCCGCCCTTGCAAAGACGAACCCCCACTCTCTTTGTTAGTTACATTCTCTTTCTGTATTTTCCATCCTGATAAAAAAAAACCTGAAATTTTTGAATTTTGCAATTCAAATGGTTAAAAAATAAATTATTTTATTGGCTTTGACAACAACATCTTAAAAAATATTTTTTTTTAAAAAAGCCAATTCCAATTTTGGATTCTTTTCTTCTATTATGTCAAAGCTTTTTCCACATTTCCATGTCCATTATACCCAATATCTCTTTTCGAATGGTCACAAAAATGAACAATTGTTAAGGAAGATAAGCCAAGATGGAATTTGGCTATTAAGCCTTACCAGGAATTTGAAATGCAGGTAATTAAAGTTGACGCAAGGTGTGCCCTTGCATCATTTCACATATTTATCTTCTTTTCTTTCAAAATTTTATTTTTTGTAATTTATACGGTCAGCAGCTCAAACGGGTCAAGAATCTACTATTCTGGATACGGAACTAACCCCAATTGTCATTGTCTCAAACTTTATTCTATTGATATGAGACTAAACGTGCTCCTAGCTGGTTGAGCATCTAATGTAATTTTATTTTCTTTGTTTCACGCGACTTGCAATAGTGACTCTTTGTTAAACGACACTAACTTAACGCTTTGTTTTGTGTATTTAACAAAAGGAACTAAACTTTAGACTGAAATGCAAGAAATAGCGCGTTGCTCAAACTCTTTTCGTGTTACGTGAAGCTGTAGGTTAAACTTACCAAAATGCTGACAAACACAGCCATAGTCGATTCGAGTGTGCAAATACATGCCCATGTCTGGGGAGTACAATTTTAATTAAAAAAAATTCTATTAATTGCTACATATGTCGTTTTGGGGATGCACTATAAATTATCTATGGATTAAAGTCGGCTAACTTTTTATGGTCTTTTTGTGATTCGTCAATATGCCAATCATCTGCTCCTGACCAATCGACGTCAATATGCCTCAATTTAGACATATCGGTATTCTTTAAAAACTGCTGTCTTTCTTTACTCCATGTATCTTGAACATCTTCAAACGCTTTATTCCAGACCTTATCATACACCTTCTTTATCTTTGCTTCCTCTTTTTGTCTAACTTCTTCCAATGCCATCCATTCCATATGCTTCAAATCATCAGAAGATGGTTCATAAATATGCCAAATCACATAATGCGGTAATCCCACTACAGAATAGCCCATTTTTTTACTCAATTTACCAAATGCTTCAGTTTCTGCATGTTTTTCAAATGAAAATGCTGGGAAGTGAGAACCACTACGGAATACTTTTGCTTTGGTTAAAATACTGACACCTCCAATACCATCCAATTCCATTTCCACTTCTGGATCTCCATATGGGTCTCTAAGATATGCTAAATGTGGTCTCCAAGTTTGATATTCAACATATCCTTCAACAATACATGCATCTTCACTCAAAGTCTCTGCCAATTGTAACCCACCATCTGATTCTTGCCACGAATTTAAATCATATGGTTGTTGATTACCTAACCAATCGGGTAATGGACGCCAAACATTAGGAACAATCACATCCTTATCATGATGCATTAAATCTTCCAAAATTGTTGGGGGAACCGTTTCAACATCAGCATCTCTCCAATATACAAATGAATGATGTGGTTTCACGGCAACTGTCCATAGCCAATTTCTAGCCTTTGCCATTAATTTTCTTCTTGGACCTTGTGCTGCAAACCCATGTCTATCTGAAAACCCTTGTCCAATGGCTTGTCCGAAATCTTTTTCGAAAATTTCAATTTCTCCAAATCTCATAGCTTGATTTCGATCATTTTGGATTTCTAATAAATGTTTATTCAATTCACCCATTGTGTCATCCGATGAATCACTGACTAAGAATGCCAAATCAATTAAATGATGAGGATAGGTTAAGTTTTTCATATGACCAAAGAACATTGGCAAATGGGCAGCAGCATCTCTTAATGGAACACAGAACAACACTCGTTCTTCATATTGCCAACCATGGGCACTGCCCTCATAATTTCCCAAATCGAAAAATTGAACGTTATCTAAACTTGATAAATCGGGCGTGTAAAACGAATCAAAACTAATCATTTGAATGAATAGTGTGGCTACTATCATCGTAATTAAAACGACTATCAATATGACTTGTTTAATCGATTTGAAGAAGTTAAAAATGACTCCTATACTAGATTGTGAATATCTTTTCAGAGAATCCACTTTTTCATCTTCAAAATACTCATATGGAGTTACCAGTATCGGATGTGATGACATTTGATTGTTGAATTAAAAATGTAGTTGATGTTGAAAATCTATAAATAAAATGAATTGAAAATTTAACCCTTTCGCCAATGAAATTTAAAAAGGGTGTATGCAAAAAAAAATGGAGTAAAGTACCTTATTCACAGTTGGTATAACTTAAATTGATACGATATGTATATGTAATTATAAGCTTTTTATCCCAAAGGGAATCTTGATAATTTTAAACAGTGTGTTTTTGAAAAAGAATGAATTCAAAGATCTCATTTCATTTTTGTTCGTACAGATGATTATCTTTTTTTTTGTTTGAGAGCTTGACGCTTGAGTTACGTCACTAAGTAATTTTTTTTTTCTCCTTGTCCTTTGTCTTCTTCAACAATGGCATTCATTATCAAAACTGTTCTGTTACACAGAGCTATACTACAGATCTCAGTCGAATATAGTGTATTCCAATCAACATAAGAGTTTGTATCAAGAGGATGTATTCCCTACTAGAAATTCTACTGTCTTTTGACTCTACATTCACTCTCTTGATAAAAATTCGTACAAACGGCAGAAACATGGCTTAGGAGCCCCTGCTCTGCCCCTTAATATTGCAGAGCCAAGTTTTACATACAAAATAATACATCAAATCTATAAATAGTCTACATAACCGATACCACCGAGGTACCATCCTGGAATCTTGTTCTAAAAACTCTATTCGCATTGGTAAACATACCTTCCTTTAACGACACCACAATAAATTGTGAACCTTTAAATCTCGTCTTAATCAAATGACCAATGTTCTGAGTATGGGAAAGATCTAACGCAGCATCTACTTCATCTAAGATATACATTGGTGCTGGCTTGAATTGTAATAGAGCCATAATCAAAGAAAGTGCAATTAATGATCTTTGACCCCCGGACAATTCGACCAAACTTTCTTTCCAGATTGCTCCTAATTTGACCTTAACTTCAAGACCTTTAGTAACATCAGTCTCACTGACAGGAACTAACTTGGCAAATGACCCAGGCAATAAATCAGCAAAGATTAGACCAAAATCTGTAGAGACCTTTTGATAGGTGCTTGTTAATGTTTCACGTTTATAACTATCTAATTTTTCAATTGTATGGACAATCTTAGTTTTATCCTTTTCAATAGTTTTGACCATAGTCTTCAAAGAAGCTTCTTTCTTTTCCACGTTATCAATCATACTCATAATATTGCCATTTACCTTTCTCCTCATACTCTGGCATTTCTCTTGTAACACATTCAATTGTTCTCTACTTTCTTCAAGTTCAATGTTGGGATTCTGCTCAATTATATTTTCAACCACATTAGAATCCATAACCCATTCATTTTCATTGATAATCTCATCCAAGCGAGTCTTTAAACTCTTTCCAATACTACCTGATTTCTCTAGTTCATGAGTTAGCTTTTGAATTGTTAATTTGTATTCATTAATGGATTCGTGCTTTTCTTTCAACAAATTCTTCACTTCATTCATTTCTTCCTCTAAGCCCAATAAATTGGCTCTAAGCTCATCCAATTCAGCCTTTACAATTTCTAACTTTTGACTTGCCTTTTCATGTTCCTGTAATTGGCGCTCACTCTTTGCGGTCAATTCTTCAATTATCTGGTCACAATTAGCCAATGCTTCTTTGGTATTAGACATCTCAGTTTTATGTTGTTCGCTCTCGATTTGAATGACTTGAAATTTGTCAGTTAAGTTGTCGACTTGTTTTTGCTTCTTATTGACTTCCTTTTTCAACTTACTTATTTCCACTTTCAAGTCCTTGATCTTTGAGCCCTTGTCATTGTTAAATTCATGTATTTCTTTCTCTATTCTTGCAATTTCCTCTCTATACTGAACACAATTCTGTTCATTTTCTTGGATTTGTTGGGATAAATTGGTAATCTCCCTTTCATTTTCTTCATTTTGTTTCAAAATTAATGAAGAAGGATTATTTGCCAATTTCTTTTCCAACAATCCCAATTCATGTTTCTTTAAATTAATCTCATTCTGTAATATTTTCGTTGAATCCATTAATGCCTCCATATTTCCCAATTCCTCGCGAATGTCACCCAATTCAAGTTCTATTTCCTTTAATTTGGCTGCTTCTTTGTTGTATCGTTGAAGCTTAAGCAAGATAGTAGTATCATTTTTACGAGACCCACCAGATAAATTACCTTCTGGATCATAGATATCACCTTCCAACGTGATAGAACGAGTTCTGATCCGAGGATCGAATGTCACTGCTTTTGCAGTATCTGGGTCGTTACAAATGAATGTACTACCAAAGATATATTCCATTGCCTTGCACAAATCTTTTTCAAATTCAATTAAATTTAGTGCAAGGTCAACCTTTCCTGGTACCAATTGTTTGGCATATTCAATTACATTAGCATCAACAGATCGAGCATGGATCTTATCCAAAGGAATGAACGTAACTCTTCTTCTCAATTGGCCCCTTTCCAATAATTGGGATGCAATATCACTTGTATCTACAACAACATTATATAATCTCCCTCCTGCACAGATTTGTAATGCTCCAGCCTTTCCGCCAGCTCCTTCTTGCAAGGTAAACAACTGAGCAACTATACCCCGAACCAAATTATCATTGAAATCAGCTGATGGACGAGAATATTGAAAATCTATATTACCAATATCTCTCTTCATATAATTCAATTCATTGTTTAATCTGCTTCGCTGAGAGAGTAATTCAGACTCTTGATTTCGTAATTCATTAATTCTTGCAGGATCAAATCCCAATTTTTGGTCAAGTTCACTTTGCTTATCAGCAATAAACGCCTTGTGGTTCAGAATACTAGCTAAAATGTGTTGATTGTCCTCTTTGGCTTTTCTTAGTTTGATTTTATCTGAGCCTATTTGTTGTTCTAAATGTGCTATTTTTAATTTTGAAGTCTTGACGAAGTTTTCTGAAGAGTTCAATTTCTCTTTGACTTCATTCAATTGTGCTGTATAACCAGTACTTACATTGCCTTTGGAAGAAATACCAGTCGATAAACTAGAAACCAATTCTTCTTTCTTATTCAAATCATCCTTCAATTGGGCTAATTCATCATTTGATTTCTTGTAGTTCATTTCATGATTGGAATAAATATCTTGATTGTTCTTTATTGCATTATCCAAAGCTTCTAACTGTTTTTCAAATCTGTCTTTCTTCTTCGTCTCTTCTTTAAGATTTTCTAAAGAAATATCTCTTGCAGTTTTCAATCTTGCTATCTCATTCGAAAGCTGGTTTTCTGATTGTTCCATTTCCTTTAGCTTTGCATCGTTTAAGAGATCGGAATCCCGTTTGACTTTAATTTGGTTTAAATCATCATTTAAATTCTGAATTTCAACATTGAGCTTTTCTATTTCATCATGAAGACTATTGATTTGTTCTTCGTGTTGAGCGAAGTAACTACTATGTTTAGTAAATTTCTCAGACAAGCTAATGTAATCATATGCAGTTATTATTCTTGATAATTTTTCCAAATCAATTTGGGTTTGTTGGAATTCTAAGAAATTTCTCTTCTCAATTCTTAATTTTTCCAATTTTGGATCTATTTCTTCTTTTAATAGGTTTCGAATTTCTATCAATTTGGCCTCCTTTTTAGCCATGGTCTTTTGAGCTTTGTCTTTCCTGTCCTCGAATGTTCTTGTACCCGCGGCTTCTTCTATAAGCGATAGTATTTCCAGTGGTTTCATATTTAAAACCTTGGTAATTTTTCCTTGCATAATCAAGAAATTTGGATTATTGATATTTAATTGAACCGATTGGAACAAATTCAAAACTGTTTGTTGTTGAGCTTTATGTCCATTAATCAAATATTTTGAATTACCTCCCAATATGATCTGTCTAGTAACACTAATAGTTGGAAATTTCTCAAATCCTATAGGAGATTTCGATTTTTCATTATTGTTGAATATAATAGTAACACTAGCCTTAGTGACACCAGCTTGACCTCTTTTATAAATTAAATCTTGTAAATTGGAAGCTCTAACTGTTGACATTGAAGCGATTCCTAAAACGAAACAAATCGCATCCAAAATATTGGATTTTCCAGAACCATTTAACCCTGTAATAGCATTAAATTGTGCATCCCAACCTGAAATAACAGTACGAGTGGCATACGATTTGAAACCATCAATAATAAGTTCCTCTACTTTCATTTTCGGCTTCTGGTAAATCAACTACAGAGATCGATTGTTTATGATCAACAAGAATTTTATTGGTGATGTTTTTTTTTTACAACCATTTGTTTGTTTTCGAGACGTGCGCGTTTTCCTCCCATATAAAAATTTGCTAACTATTGAAGATTGGATGTCATCAATTAAGTTTTCTACTTCTTATTCAACACATTGCTCCACTTCCTTCTGGTGCTTCCTCTCTCTTTCAATTTTAATCACACAAGATGATAAGAGCAAGGGTATCGTTGAATGCTCATAGCAGGGGAATTCAGTGTCTGAGTTTATATGCTAATTTGCTAAGATCGTATCAATCAAACGCAGATGCACAAAGATCATATGGTACATTCAGCAACAAGAAGAAGAGAGCGCCTTCTTCGTTGAGAGGGTTGCAAGTTGCTCTTGAAAAAGCCAGAGCCACAGTTAATTCACACTCAACGCCAATAGTTTATGAAGATATGGCCAACAAGACATTAAATTTCGCGTTATCAAATAGAGATTTGACTAGGGACATAAAGGATTCGTCAAAACTTCGAACTAAATTGAGAATTACCGATCCTTCTGATGTTTGGGAAAAAACGTTGACTGGGTATAACGTAGAGGCTCTTAAGAATGAAATCAGTCAATGTATCAAGCTGGCTAGTATTAAGGGGAAATTAAAGAATTCAGTCGTAAATGTCGGAGATTTGGTTACATTGCAAGCACACTCATTGGAGCTATTTTTGGTGGCATCAGTTCCAAATACCCTTAGTGGAAGGAACTTTGTTTTTATAGGGCAGACAGGTAACATTGTTCACTTGAACAAAGCCAGTATTTTCACAAGAATCCCAAATGTTGTACCTTCGAAATATTCCAAGATATTAAGTAGCTTTGTTCAATTAGAACAAAAGCATATGAATATTGCTCCTATTGGTATAGTAGATGCCGACTTTTCTAGATCGGAAAGCTCTAAGCCTAGACAATTACAAGACAAGAGAAGTATTTCAAATGAGATCGTACCCCAATTTGAAAGCGCAGTTCCTGAAGTAGGTTTGGAATCATATGATTATCAACTTTATGTAGCTGCATCACAGCAGTTGATCAATTCTGATGTTCAGACATTTATTGTTCCAGTGGTTGCTAGAGATATCTACTCCCAGGCGTTGAAGCTGCTTACAAGTGAAGCATTTTGTAAATCGGGTGAGATAAATACAAGATTGGAAAAAGTCCATCGTGAATTGCAATATGATGAAAATGGCAACTTGAACGCGCCAAGAACGGTGTCAATCTTTGAATTAATGCATCGAATGGAAACCGAATCAAATGGACAGTTGTCCGCTTCAACCTCACTGACATCTACTCTTGGGAAATCTCCAATGCCTACAATAGATGTGGACGAAATGGGATTTTCAGCTTCAACTTATTTAGCAACTTGCTTTGTCTTGGAAAAACAATCCGCTCTTTGGAACTTGCATCAGTCAGGGACAGGTAATCCTAGACAAAGTGTAACAATTTTGCCAATCCCACAAATTGATAGATCTGAGACACTCGCCCAATACCTTGACACTCCTAAGGGAATGTCTGAATTTGCCAATTATTGTGCTGACCTAGCAATGGGTAAAAAGAAATTGTCAAAGCCAAAACACTTTGAGTCTGTTGTATTGCTATTGAGAGAATTTGTAAATGGTGCTTATGAGAATAACGATTCTATTTCGATACTAGTGGTAACACTTTTAAGAACTATAGAATCAATTCTTGTGACTAATGGCCATAAGACACCAAAATCACAATATTTTGCTGAATACTCCAAAGCAAAAGCTTATGATTTGTTAAAACTACTTATGGAAACTGACTCAATTGTGAATCCATTCCGTTTCAACCAGCTGTTGCCATTGCCCAATGAGCAAACATCTTATCAAGCAGATTTGTCACAAAAATATTTTGACTATCTTTCCGAAAATCACCCTAAGAACGAAAATAAAGTCAGCGAAAACTTGGATGAGCTTGATAATTTACCATTATTTAATTTGGATGCTAGCGAAAAGATTGAAGCGGGAATTGACTATAATGTTGACTTTTATGAATCAGATCCTTTGGAAGCACATAGAGAAGACTTGACTGACATTCCAGTGTACTGTATTGACAGTGCAGACGCTCATGAAATCGATGACGGGATTTCTATACATGAAGAGGAAGGAAAATATCTCATTTCTGTACATATTGCGGAACCTTCCTCATATATTAAGCCAGAATCTATCATTAGTTCAATTGGGTTAGATCGTGGTACTACAACTTATTTGCCTGACAAGGTGGTTCCGATGTTACCTCAAATTATATCTGATATTGCAGGGTTGGGAATTGATGGAAAAGAAACGCGTGCATTGACAGTCCAATATAACTTGCCAAAGGAATTCCTTGACGAATTTATTAACAAGAAATTGGAAAACCCCGAATATATCCCTGAAGACAATGTTTTAAATACGTTTGAGCAAGAGGTATATAATAGCAAGAAAGTCTTCTTCTCCAAGTTGAAAAATTTCCGTCAAGGTTTCACATATAATAGAAGTACTGAAGTGTTGATGGACAAAGCGAAGGAAGAACAATTTAAGACTCAATCTTGTGAGGATAAAGACTTCGTTAACTTATTACGTTTATATCAAATATCAAATATTGCCACCGAATTCAGAAAGCTCAAGAATGGTATAAACTTGGAAAGTCAGAACAAAAGTTTATGGGTCAATGAAAGTAATGAATACTTCAATCAAACTGTATTTAGTGAGTCTGAAGATGGATATGAAGTGGGCTTTGAAAATTCTTCTCAAAAAGCAGTCGTCAATCCTCAGTCAGCCAAAGCAGCAACTCAATTGGTAACAGAATGTATGATTATGGCGAATCATTTGACGTCCAAATTTGCCACAGAGAATGACATCAAGATTCTTTATAGAACTATATCCAAGTCTGCCGTAAAGGAAGTGGCAAACGAACTTGAGAAATTATCCCAAGAATATAGGCATAAAAGGGCCAGTATTGAAGATTTGCTCCACATCTTTACCAATTTACCTAGAGTTCAAATTTCTACCGAGAATGAGGGTCATTTGTTAATGGGGTTGGATATGTATACAAATGCGACATCGCCTTTGAGAAGATACATTGATATACTCAACCAATGGCGATTCCAAGACCATGCTCTTCAAAGATCAGTGCCTTCGATATCTGACGCCAGTCTCCTGCGAATTTCTTCTCAATTGAATTCAAGAAATACACACAACAAAGAAATCTATGCCTCATCCAGAGGTTTCTGGGAAGGTTTGATCCTTAAGGATGCCATGAGATTGCCTGGTGATATTGCTAACGAAATTAGAACTTTTGATGTTAGATTGTCCGGTATTCCGAGAGAAGCGACTTTTGCCCCGGCTATAGTACCTGGATTACCATATTTCAAAATCAGAGTAGAGGTTACAACAAAATTGTTGGATGATATTGAAAAGGGGATCATCAAAAAGGATTTGGTTCTTGATTCCAGCAGACTTAAATTAAAGACGCTTGATAATATTGAATGCGTTTTAGAATTCGAATATGTTTAGAAAAAAAAGTATATATTACCAATTTTAGAACTTGTATATAAAAATAAATTAACAATTAGGATATTAGAGTATAGGCGACCTTCATAGTATTTCATAAGAAAATGCCAGGACATTAGAGGTGAAGTTGCAACTGCTTAGTCGTTCTTGTGTAATATGAAACTAGATTCTGAGCCGCACATTTTCCCGGCGAAAAATGGAATTATGATACAGACTCAAGTTGCGAAAATTGCCTGACCTGAAATTTTGATTCAACAATCTCACAATATGTTGGAGAAGAAGTCCTTATTATATTACAAATGTGCGACTGGAAGTAGAGAACCTGAAATTTTCATTAAGAATATTCACGCTTGCAAAGTGTGGATTGTAGCTATCAAACTAAGCAACCACTTAGTCTCAAATTAAAATACCTGTCTTATCAGGATTGTGCTCTACATTAATTTTCACGCCTTGCATACATCCGCTGTTTATGTCTTGTGGCTAATTAAGGTTGTACTCTGTTTGTAACCAAATTCATTGCTTTCTTATGCATGATTCGCCACAACTTGACGTCGTAGTATTCATAACACCGAGATTTAAAATGTCGTTGAGACGAGACTTGGTAAACACCGAATTTTTTTTGTGGATGAAACTTTTTTATTAGCAAATAGATACATGAACATTGTAGAAACTGTATAAACATAGCTAAACAGAAACAGACCACTCTCCCAGGAATGAAATTCAATGCGAGAATGGCCAACAGTTAACTCTATTAGAAACATCATTGCATTTTTTTTGCAGCCACTTGCGACCACGCATCGCTAAGCCCACTTACCAATAAATGCCATACAGAAAGCACCCAAAGCAAGACATACATAAGCCCATAACATAACACTCATCTTCTTCTCATGGAAATCGTGTGAGTACATAAAATCATAAGCCATAAGTTCAGCAATACTGTTATAAATAAGCACACCTGCACACATAGCATCAAATGTTCCAGTAGTAATCAACGCAGTTCTTGAACCGACAGGATATGTCTTTCGAACAGCAATACCAATTGCAACAGCAGCTGGGGTAGTTAAACTATATGCCATTGCCATAAGCCAAGGTACGTACTTCTTTCCCTCTGACCAAGGAGTGGTTGCGAATCTCGTACCTAATCCTAATCCTTCAAAGAATTGATGGAAACCAATGGCAACATATAATGTGATAAATTCGTCACCTGCAATAGCCAATGACAAACCAACAAAGATTGAATGAAGGACAATACCACATTCTAAAACGATACAATTTAAGATTTGTTGGTAAATATTTTCATAATTCCTAATTGAAAATTGTTGAGTGTCAACATCCAGATTGGTTTTGTCGTCAGTATCTGAGACTTCCCTTTTTGCCTGAATTTCATCTTCTTCAGCTTGCGCCTGCAAAGCGTTCTCGTGAATCTTTTTATTAGCAATTATATCGAAAAAGAAAAATGCAAAAACTCACATTAAGGCAATACCTTCTGCCCAAGGGTAAGCGAAAGGGGAACCTAAACATGGATTAGTTAAAGCCATCAGCGCTTCAGCTAAAAGATGAATGAATCCAGTAGCGATAATGACACCACTACCAAAATATCTTGTGATGAAGAATATCCAACTTGGGAGTTTAAATCTAGTAGAATGCAATGCCACCAAAGGAAAAAATGAACCCAAGAATGACAAAGCGAATAAAACTGGAACTGCCGTAATTCTAGCAATCAAGTGTTCACCATTATAATGATTACCGTCTAAGCACGTATCCGCTCTTGCGAATAAATCTACCATTTTGTATGAATTGAATTTTACTCCTTTTTCAAGACATTCTGGGATTCAAGAATGATTTAGTTGACCCTTTATATATTGACGGAGAACCCACCTGATTTATCTATCTCATCTGCCTCATCAGTTGTTTGTTTTAGTATGAGATCCTTGCAGTGATAATTTAGTGCGCGCCTCTAAGAGAGTTGCATAAAAAAATAATCTTACATAAGAATATGCAACAGAATTATTTAATTTGTCCCTCGGGCAAAACAATAATGATGCTAGTGACCACCAATAATATGGCCATTGCACTCTAGGGGGGGTAAGGTTAGTGGGTATGGCCACTTGGAGGAGTATCAGAAAGTATAATAGAGATACTCGTCATTTGGATGAGTGCCACACTGTTAAGTCGTGCGTAAAGCGATACCTTCATCAAGAGTGTGTCATTTCCTCCTTACTGCTACTAATAAAAAAAAATATCTGCTTGATGATTTCGATAAACAATTAATACTACAGGAAAGGTAAAATGGTTTTGTTCGGATTAATGTAGACGAAAAGTTGAAGAACAGGATGCTAAACTGAAAGACGCAAAGAAGAAAACGAGAAGGAGGCGATGACAAGAGATTCTCTTTTTATCAAACTGTTTGATTTTTTGTATGTACACCTTATATAAATACACTAGACGGTTAACAATTCTAACATACCACTAATTTCATTAGCTTCTTTACATTTTTTAATTTCCCCATTGATTTTCTTAAGTAAGGTTGAGAAACATTCTTCTAAAACTACACTCTTATCTATCATAGATCCATACATTTCCAAGATAATTCCAATATAATCACAAAGTAAATTAAATGATCTTACATCTTCTAAATTCTTAGTGAACCATTGTAAAATAGGCAACAATGAAATTTCATCTCTCCCATATAATGAAATCCTTACTTTTCCTCTCTTCTTTAATTCATTCAAAATAGTGACTGTCTGTTCTTTAGGTAAGCCAGGAGCAAATGCGCTATCTAATGCTTCTGCCCATCTGAATGCATTAAGGTGTTTTTCAAATTGCTTTAATTTCTTAGTTTGTGGAATACTTGATTGAATAATACGATGTTCTTCTTCTCCTGAATAATCTTTCCCTCTCATCATTCTGGCATATGCATTTGATTTCTCTTGTTTAACCCCTTGTTTCACTTTTGGTTCGGTCTTTTTGGTTCTGATTGAAATCAAGCCTGAAGTCAACCCAGCTACGAAATGTTTATGATCATTTGCAGCTGGTGAAACGGCACATGCTAACACACCACCACTACCAAATTTCCAACCAAATTGGACATTCCAATTTGCCGATGTATAATCAAAGATCTTAACATGACCATCTAAGGAACCAACCAACAACCCCTTATCGCCAGTATCATGTAAACAAGTTGCAGTTTTAGTGAAATTGTCTAATTCATGAATCTGAGAACCTCGAGTTAAATCCCAGATCCTCACTTGTGGACCACCAGCACTTACCAAAGTTGTTGGTGATAATGCAATCACATCTTCTATTGGATTATGTTGATTAAATTGACTAACTAATTGAGAATTTCTCATATCGAAAATTCTAACAATTCCATCATAACAACCAGTAGCTACTAAATTAGGATTTCCTGGGATATAATTTGCACTTCTTATATAATCACCATGTTGAGTTCCATCAATTTCAACAATTGGACCCTTGGTGGTTTGTGATATATCATAAAGTCTCAATACTCTATCATCTGACCCAGTAATTAATTGATTCCCAATGGTAGGATGAAACTTGGCAACGTGAGTAGGATGAGAACTTGGATGTAAACTAACAAGTAAATTTCTAGGTTGATAACTATCGTATATAGATACTAATCCAGTTGCATCGGCAGCAACTAATAATTTCCCATCATATCTATATTTGGCAGAATATACAACATCCTTGAATCTAGAAAACGTTTTAATCACTTGTCGAGTCTTGGAAGAAAATATTTGAATTCTAGTAGATGAAGTAATTGCAAAATCATTAGGAGTTGTTGGATTGAAATCTATATCATTAATTGGATGATTTTCTTTGATGAGTTGCGGATTGGCATAACTTCTCCAGTACCTTTGTTCAGGGGTGGTTTGTGAAGGTAAAGTGGGATTTCTTAGTTGTGGTATCGTCTGTCTACTCGATGACATTGTCTATGATTTTCTATAATGTTAAAATGGTATTATATAAAGAAGTAAAATGTCTTTATGAAAGATCTTAATAATATTTGAAAAATTAGAGATGAGCCAGAATTTTTTTTCTGGTCCTTTGTCTTTTAGTTTGGATCACGAAGACCATCAAATTTCTATACCAAAACAGCATACAAAGTGTCTCTGATACCATGAAACTCGAGGGTAGTACGTCTATTGGCTTGGGGAAGATTATTGATCAAACATGACTCTCTTTCATTAAATTTAAAACATGGAAGGGAATGATTAGCTGGAATTGGTAAATCACGTGATCTGGTCTCGAATTTTGATAGTTTTTGCAACACATCACTTTGAAGCTCATTTCAACTTACTAGGAGCCTGATGGCACCGCCTTGTATCAGTAAACACATTTGAAAGGGAGACATTTACATATCCAACTACAAGACAATATTAAAAAGGGAAATCGTAAATTTAATTATATAAAAGAAAAAGTTACACAGAAAAAACTATTGAACTCCCAAATTAAGTTGGCTTTAATTTTCTACTTTATTTTCAAACTACAAAATTAAATCAAATTTAGTTTTGTAAGTCCTTCTTTAAAGTACCTAAGAAAGCGTGCTTTTCAGCTGGGGTTTGGAATCTACCCTTACCGAATCTAGAAGCGGTATCGATCCATTTCAAGTTAACTTGTTCCAAGGCTCTTCTAGAAGTGTCAACGTATAAGGATTTTCTTAAAGTGACAACTCTCTTCTTGATACCTGGGATAGAACCCTTTAATAAGACGAAATCGTTCTTAACGTTACCGTATCTAACGAAACCACCCATTGGGTTAATGGTCTTCTTGGTTCTGTCAAATTCAGTAGCACCGTTAGATTCATCAGCACCGGAACCGACTCTGTAAACCTTGTGGTTAATAGAGGTTCTGTGGTGGTAACCGTTTTGACCAGCTCTGGCAACAGTCCAGTTAACATTAGCTGGATGCCAAGCACCAATACAAGCAACCTTTCTTAAACCTCTATGGGTCTTTCTTGGTAATTTCTTGGTACCCCATCTGTGGGTAACACCTTCGAAACCGTGACCCTTGGTGACAGCAATAACATCAATCATTTCATTTTGTTCAAAGACAGAGTCAACAGAAACTTCCTTTTCAAAGTGTTCTCTGGCCCATTCAACCTTGTCAGCAATAGAACCACCGTTAATTTGGATTTCAGCTAAGTGAGCCTTCTTTTGAGATAATGGGGTCTTCTTGATTTGGGTGTGAGCTAAGACTCTAACAACGGAAGCGTACTTCTTAATTCTAGCTAATTCAGTTTCAATTTGCTTAGCATCAGAAGCGTATTTAGCAGAGTACTTGGTGAAAGCCTTCTTCTTAGACTTGAACCAGTTCTTGTAGAATCTTCTTCTAACTTCTTCGGATAAGTGTTCAGCCCAAACGGTAGTTAAAGATCTTAAACCTCTTGGGGTTTCAACGTAACCGACAACACCAACAATAACTAATGGTGGAGTGTCAACAACGGTAGCAGCTTCGACAACTTCTCTCTTGTGCATCTTAGAACCTGGACGGTCTAAGTCTCTGACAATGGTGGTCATACCAGCCTTGTAACCTAAGAAAGCAGTTAAAGCAACTGGCTTAGATTTGACATCCTTTGGGAAGGCCTTAACTCTACCTCTTTGCTTGGAGGCTCTCTTTCTTGGTAAGAAACCTAAGGAACCGTGACGTGGTGCTTCGAACTTTCTGTGAGACATCTTTTTACTTTTAATGTTATTAACAACTAATGAAAGAAGAGAAGGAAGAAGATAAACTTTTTTTTTTCAAATTTTATAGAACAAAAACTGAAGAAAACAGTGAAAATTTTTTTAGAAGAGAAGGGTAGTGTACTTTTGATCAAAAATTGCAATTTTTTCGGGTTCCATCTTTGTGATGTACTCTGATTTACTCGATCGTTCTGGTGTTTACTTAGAGAGTACAACTAGATCCGCTATTAGAGATAGTCTTCAGTTGAACCGTCTACATCTTAGAGCCATGAAAGGTTTGCTGATTTCTAAGTACTTCTCGTTAAACAATACTCCCTAAGGAGAACCTTCTACTAGTCTTGCAGGATCAGATTCCTATCTACTATTTTATGCCAAATGCCAATAAATGTCTATAAAAACAAGTCGACTCAATGGATAAGGCTCAGATACGGTAATATCAGAGCCAAGTTCAGAGCTCCCCGGGTGGAGCGTGCCACGCTCCATCTGCTCATAGCTTCCTGTTTCAGCTACTCATATCCAAATCAACCTTAGCAAACAATCAATGTTTCAGGTGGCTCGATTAGCAACTAATACTTCGTAAATATTTAAGCAATGCAAATCCCAGTTCCTGCTTGATGTAATAAATATGGATGTGTATCTTTGTCAGAACTGCCGCTTCTTCTCTCATTCTATTCACTCTTTAACCATTCAGGTGCTTTTTCCATATCAATTTCGACTGACGAAATATCAAATCCCTCAATTAACAACTCCACCAAGATTCTACCACCTCTAGCTCCAGTAAATCTTCTATATTCTTCAGAAACACTTGCCAAATTCCATCCTTGCAATCTTCGAAGACATCCAATGACCGTTCCCGTTCTATGTCTCCCCATTCCGCAACATACCAAAATTGGTAAATTCTCTTTGTTAACAATCAACTCTAATGCTCGCTTGATTGTAGGTTCATTTAATGAGTCCCATGGGTTTAAATGCTTATCATCATCTACCATACTTACAAATTCAATATTTATATGCTTTGAAAGACAATATTCAAGAAATTCATCAGTAGGTTCTTCACTTGCTAACCAAATGATAGTGCGGAGGTTCAATTGGTTCAAGAAGGATTCGTTTATTATCGACGGTTGACCTGATCGATATAATTGTCTTTCAACTGGACAAAAATTAAGGGGCGGGATAATACGAAGGGCAGGTGGTTGAGTGATTTTAGAAATCGTTGGCCCTTCGACTTGTGATTGTCCAAGATTGGAGTTTATGGTTGAGGTTGATCCAAGTTCCATTTACCTGTATATGTTTTGTATTAATGCGTTTTACTGTGGGATATGATTAATTACTTGCGTTTCATAAATCGAATTTATTGGAGGCTCAGTTTTTTTTTGCTCTCTGTTGGTTTTGTTGATTGGAAAGTGATTTATTTTTCAGAGTGAGATTGACGTGTTTAATTAGAAAAACAAAGAAGCATAACCCCCAACTTATTTTACAGGGAACTCTCTATCAATTGATTAAAAGCACAATGCCCAAACAAGAAGCTGCAATTAAGAAAGCTGTTGCAAGTACAACAACTGCAACTGGTGGACATGCTCCTGTGCCAAAGGGAAAATTGGCAACAACAATTAATGAATTAACATCGGCAGTTCAAACAACCATAGCAGACTATGAAAAGAGTCTTACTCCTCGTCTTAAATTGATTGATATATTCTTAGTCTTCTTAGTCGTATTGGGTGTTTTACAATTCATATATGTTTTATTAGTGGGTAACTTCCCCTTCAATGCGTTCTTGGGTGGATTTATTCTGTGTGTTGGACAATTTGTATTACTTGTAAGTTTAAGATTACAAATCAATGAAAAGAGAGATGATCAACAGAAAGATGGTGATGCTGACGACGATATCAAAAAGGATTCAAAGGCTGTATTCGATCATATTAGTCCAGAAAGATCATTTGGGGATTTTATATTTGCAAGTTTAATCTTGCATTTCATTGTCATTCATTTCATCAATTGAGTCCAACGATACATTTCCTGGATAGATGACTGTACGTTTGCAGAAATAGAGGTGTGTGTCAATTGAGGTAGTTACGATTTTTATATATATTTGCTTATTTATCTGTAGTAAGAATAAATGAAAATACAACAAATAATTATTTCTAATACCTCTGATTCCCTGGGATCAAATAAAGATCGAAGAAGTAATTCAATTCTGTATCTTCTGTTATCTCTTAGGTAAGTAATACTATAATTTGCTTCTGTAAGTATACGTGAGTTTTGAGATTCGTATATTTTGTTAACCAGAACTGCTACAATTGAGAGAAACGGATATGAGTAATTAGATCAATGATCCCTTTGAATCCCTGAGTCTGTAGTGAAGTAACCAGCGAGTTGTAATTCTAACAATATCTTGTCTATCTAAATTCCAACATCAGTTCTGGGAAAAGTTAATATTCTACAAGAATTTGCACCAATTTTCTTCAAAAATATGATTCAAAAAATATCTTGTATAAAAGGTAAGATTAAGCTTCTTCCAACCCTTAGATAATCATTCCTTCTAAAACAGCATTGTCTTAGTTCATACTGGCAAACCACAACTTGTTTTCGTCATTATAGCCATGCTAATGCCCAACCCTCTACTCAACGCCGCATAATCAATCACATGACAAACGTGTGACTTTTTTTCCGCTACGAACCGCATTTAAATAAATCTCCCATCGTTATTTCTAACCTGTATAACAACCTTCTCAATTTCTTTAACAGCAATAAGAACATCTGATTTATGTCCCAGAATGACAATTTGTTGAATTGTACTTTTTCTGGAGGTAAATGATTGTTCAGCCGGTAGGACTTTTATCAAACATCTTGATTGAACTCGAATCGAATTGAGTCGCAGACCCTGGAGTCCTATTAAGGTAGTAACCTCTTCCCTTTTAAGTGCTAGCGTAATAGTGAATGATTCACAGGTCGGATACGTTGTCTGTTTGTAAACGTTTTCACCCAATTGAAACCCCCTTTCTTCCAATGCTGACCGTGGTTTCATATTCTGGTTTTGTAATTGTTGGATCGAAGCAATCGGGGTGGAGACAAGTTTATAGGATTTACTATCAGGACTATCATCTGCTTTGACAAGGAAGCATTTACAAAGATCAATGATCCCCTTTGTTTTGGATAAACGTAAATGTCCATTCGGAGTAGATATTATCAAAGAACACATTAAACGGGCGTCATAGACACTTCCTTTTGATCCACACAAACATACCTCTTTGTCTATGTTGATGATATGACTAAATAGATTTGCTAGTGGAGGAATTGTCCAGCCTCCAATTAGCAGTATTTCCCAACGTGAGTTCAATAAATTCTTCTTACATTCTATATTGCAGGTTTCAATTGAATTTTGACCAGCTCCTTGAGGATTTTGCAAAACCAGTTTAATAAGGCCATCACTGAATAATGAAGTTAGTAAAGCAACTAGTGATGGAGAAGATGTGATAATGATAGTAAGATCACTGTTGATGTGGCGTGGGTTCATATCTTCGGGAAGTATGTTCATTCTAATATCTATAGCATCACAGGCATATATGAAAGATTCTACTTTGGTTTCAAAGGCCAGATTAACAGTCTTATTGACTATATTGTGATTCCCAATCAAATCAGATGAAATGAGTAATTCATTGTCACTAGATCTTGTGTTAACCATTTTGGATTGGTGGATAAAAGAGTTTTGCAACACTTTTTTTACAACCAAATTTAATCTGCTTTTTTTTGCAACAGCTAATAACCGAATGAAAGGTCAACAAAGTTACAATCCTTTAGAAGTGTTTAAAATTCATTATTTTGTCTTTAGATTCAACAAACCCAAACCCACTTCATATTCTTATAGAAGAGACACACCAAAAGTTTAGCCTTCTTTGTAGCCTGACAATGTAAGAAAATAACCAAAGAAACCCGTCAGTAGGACTTGCCGATCGAACCAAATTCCACAGTTGTCGCATTTAGTGTCGCGACATAAAATTTTTTGAGTTCATAAACACGACCTTCTCAAAGAAACACGCTAAAAAAATTTCCAATAATACTCAACATCATCATCATCAATTTCTACAAATTAGTAGCACCCTTTAATAGAAAACCACTAACAACCAATGTCAGTTCAAATCTTCAACGAACAGGCAACCGAAGAAAGGGCCGAAAATGCCCGTATGTCAGCCTTTGTAGGTGCCATTGCCGTAGGTGATCTTGTGAAATCAACACTTGGACCAAAAGGTATGGATAAATTATTACAAAGTGCTTCAAATCCCGATTCATCTATCGTTACCAATGATGGTGCTACGATTTTGAAATCTATCCCATTTGATAATCCAGCTGCGAAAGTATTGGTTAATATTTCGAAAGTTCAAGATGATGAGGTTGGAGATGGGACTACTTCTGTAACTGTTTTAACTGCTGAGTTGTTGAGAGAGGCGGAAAAATTGATTGAGAAGAAGATTCATCCGCAAACTATTGTTGAAGGGTTTAGAATTGCTCATAGAGTAAGTGTGGATGCTTTGGATAAGAATGCGGTTGATAATGGGAAAGATATTGAGAAATTTAGAGGTGATTTGATCAATATTGCCAAAACTACTTTATCATCGAAGATTTTATCCCAAGATAAAGAATTATTTTCAAATTTAGCTGTGGATGCAATTTTAAGATTAAAAGGTCTGACTAATTTGAATAATATTCAAATCATTAAGAAAGTCGGGGGGAAATTATCTGATTCTTATTTAGATGAAGGATTTATATTACAAAAGAAATTTGGAATTGGACAATCTAAAAAAGTTACAAATGCAAAGATTTTAATTGCAAATACTTCAATGGATACTGATAAAGTTAAAATCTTTGGTGCAAAATTTAAAGTTGATTCAACTTCAAAATTAGCTGATTTAGAAAAAGCTGAAAAACTTAAGATGAAAAATAAAATTGAAAAAATTAAACAATTTAATATTAATGTATTCATTAATAGACAATTAATCTATGATTATCCAGAACAATTATTTACTGATGCTAAAATAAATTCAATTGAACATGCTGATTTTGATGGAATTGAAAGATTGGCATTAGTTACTGGAGGTGAAGTTGTTTCTACTTTTGATAATCCCGAAAATGTTAAATTAGGTTATTGTGATACCATTGAAGAAATCATAATTGGTGAAGATGTTTTCCTCAAATTCTCCGGTGTTGCAGCTGGTGAAGCATGTACAATAGTTTTAAGAGGTGCTACCGAACAAGTTCTCGATGAAGCTGAAAGATCCTTACATGATGCATTATCGGTATTATCACAAACTACAAGAGAAACCAAAACTCTTTTAGGTGGTGGATGTGCAGAAATGTTAATGGCCAAGGCTGTTGATCAAGCTGCTGCTAATGAAACGGGTAAAAAAGCCTTGGCTGTTGAAGCATTTAGTAGAGCTTTAAGACAATTACCTACTATATTAGCTGACAATGCTGGATTTGATTCAAGTGAATTAGTAACTAAATTAAGAGCTGCTATTTATAATGGTATTTCAACTTCTGGTTTAGATTTAAATAAGGGTATTATTGCTGATATGAGAGAATTGGGTATTGTTGAATCATATAAATTAAAAAGAGCAGTTGTTTCATCTGCTACTGAAGCTGCTGAAGTATTATTAAGAGTTGATAATATTATTAGAGCAAAACCACGTACTGCTGATAGAAATCATTAGAAAAATGCATAGTAATTTTATAAATAGTTTTTAGTATAATGATGATTACCCCGAATATTGTTCCATCACCCGATGGCAAGTAATAGTTTACGAGTATGACCGACTTTTTCTTTGGTTAATTTTAGATTGATCTACCTTTCTGCCTCTCTCCTTGATCCCAATAGCTCAATTTCTATCGTTATTCCACGAGATAACTCGGATATCAATTGCAATTGTAAAAGTAGACCAATAGTGAATGGTCCAATGATGGTATATCACTTCAGGGTAAAACTACCAAGAATCCCGAATCCGATCAAAAAGTTGAATAATATGAAATTTTCCAAAGCCATTCTCATCGTCATCATCATTCTAGCCTTTTTCTTTTTCTGATTTTGCAATACAAATTTGAGTTTTGACAGATGCAACAAAAAAATAAAATAATTAACCACCACCGCCATAGTTACAATAAGCTAACAATAAAGTGACGTACGAAAAATTTTTGTTCTTCACTTATTGTAACAATCAGATTCCCAGATTGGGATTCAATTGAGCTATTTGTATCTAGTAAGCTCCCTATACCTATTGTTCATAGATGGAGATACAATCCTTAGAAAGAAGAACAAACCCAATTGTTGCAAACAATCCTGAATTGTAATTAGGAGAAGGTTTTATTTTCCTGAATAGACAGGGGTGAAATAGTTAATATTATTTTTTAGCAAACTATCCTGATTTTTCTTTATTTTCAAATAAATTATGTGGATTTAGAAGGGGGTTTTAAATTTTTCAATTTAAGGGGAAATTTATTCATTACTCCTAACTTTGGACTCATCTCAACGTGTTTCTTAGTTTTGTTTTATGGTTTCTCTTACTTTAGAAAGGTTAAATTCCTCTTACATGATCACACACAATACACAATTTGCGACTATCGCACCCACCCCCCAGTTTCCCCCATAAAGTTTGTAAGAAAGTACCACGGGTTTCTGTGGATGCACAATTTCACATTACCGAACGTGCGATTAAATATCTTCTATGTTGGGTGGATGCCACCCCCCTTTTGGGGAATTAACTCTCCACACCCCCCTCAATAAGTAAGGAGGCACAGTCATAGTTTACAATTGCGGCTTTAATGGGTTCCTTATACCGTACGTAATTGCACGTTACCTTGCTAAAAATATTCTATTACTTCCATCTCATTCTTCTCTCAGATTGTTTCCGAAATTGAAATTTCATTCCCCACAGTGGATCAAAAATATTGCTCTCTATCAAAGGTATCTCAAAAATTTTCACTATAAAAGCCGGTAGTAATCCTCATTAAAAAGTAACAATTGGAAATAGTTTTCTCTCTTTAAGACTTAGTTTCTCAATAAACAACAGTACAACAACAAGCAACAACAATTAGCAATGGTTTTCGGTTTCGGTAAAGACGACAAAGATCAAGGTAGATCAAGAAGAGGACAACAACAACAAGGAAATGATGATTCCTTCGACCAATCCAATTTTGATTCCTCTCAACAAAATCAAGATGATTCCAACTGGCAATCATCCAACAAGCAATCTGGTGGTGATTTCCAATCTGGTGGTATTTCCTCTGGTGACTACTCTAGTGGTCAAGATCAATCTTATGGTCAATCTGGTGACATCAGCGGTCAACAACAAGGTGGTCTTGGTGGTCAATCTTATGGTGATGACCAAGGTGACCAAGGGGATTTTGATGATTCTCTTGGTTCTTCAAACAGAAGAAGGAAGGATGATGATCAATGGCAGTAATTTAGTTTGCAGCCTTGATTTTTTAATTCTGTGTTATTTGGGTTGGATCTCCTGGTTTGGGTTTCCGCTCAAATATACTTCTGCTTATCTTTTATTTGATATCTATATACTTATGTATAGTGTATCTATGTGTTTACTACGAGAAAACCCTTTAAAAAAATGATGATGTTTTATATGAATTTTAATATTTTGTAAAGAGTTCTTTTTTTTGCAGCCATTTTTGATAATCGCACTTTCCCTTTCCAAACAGTCTCGGCACAGCTAAAATTATATGGGAAACTAAAGCTAGCTAGATGATTAGTTAGACAATAGCTATCTTCTATTCTAAAAGATTGTATAGATATGAAGTGGATCTATCATCACTTGGAAATTCCCCCTCCAGTTTCTTTGTAACCCCTGTCTGTAAATACAACGTGTTTTGAAGTCTGTAGTTTTTTAATTTTGCTTTCCCCACCAGAGTTTAATAACAACTTCCTTTCACACAATTTACCTTGAGAATAATAATTCGGAAGTAAACTGTTGACAGCCCCTCTGGTCCTACGTTTTCCATCTATTGTAAGCAAATTCCAATGATATAGATATCATTTCAGCAGAGCGCAATTCCTATAGTGATAAGAAAAATGCAAATATAGCCACCTACATGACTCGAAGACTACTATTCTTTCAGGTTACGGATCAAGCTACATCTATATTCATAAAAACTACATCTTATTCATAGAATGCATCATTGAATAATGCGGACCTACACGTTGTAGTATAGTTACGACACATTCCTTGTTATGCTTCAGTATTTGCAAATTTAGTTTTTGAACTAAAAATAGAAAATTAATTAATCCTAATTACACTACCTACTCAATACAATTTACTCTCTCTTCTAACAAGTCTCCCTCCCCAGTATTAATGCCAGACCACACGCGTCTATTATTATGATTCAGGTGTCGGTTGTAAAGGAGAATACAACACCTGAGTAACATATTTCCGTTTATACCTTACAATAGAAGCCACCGCCAATGTATTATGTTTTATACTAGTAGTAGCCAAATGATTCAACACCACATGATTTGGAATCGGTAATGCCCCACTATTATTTTCTCGATCATTAAAATTATTCAAAATGACATTTTCTAAATGTGGTGGTAATTGAGGTGGATGAAGCCAAGCTTGTTGTTGTTGACCACCTCCAGAATTTCGTGCTTGTTTATCTATAGCAACATAATATTGTTCCATTACTTTTGGATCCGTGAATATTGGTGGGATTTCATTAATGTATTGATATTCTCTTCGTAAGGAAGTTCCATCTTCATCATGATATCTTGAATATCCATTCCCCATATCATCATCATCATTGATTAATCCCCACATTGAATCAGTTCTATGTTTTGACATTGATGATTTACGACTAGTAGCTCTTTCATTCTGAGGTGATATTGGTGGTTCTTGTGTTTGGTCTTCTTCTACTGCTGCCTGTTCAGTTTCTAGCTGTAATAAATGTTGTTCGATATTCTCAGGGGTAATTTCAATATAATTTACAAAATTCCCCATTTGATCAGTGGCCGTGGGTAAAAAATCAGAAAATCTTAATTCATTATCCACAACAAATCTAAATCTATGTGTTCCTACGGGCAATCCTAATGTAATTAAGAATGAATTATCCGGTTGTCTAACTAATCCAATCATCTTTCTCCATCCGGTAAAAGAACCAGTCACATATACTTTCTCACCACCTTGAACCCACTTGATGTCTACAGGTACAGTTAAATTAGGATCAGGTTGGAATTTTTGATCTTCGCCGGGTTGTGCCTGCTGCTTTGGAGGATGCTGTTGTTGTTGTTGTTGCTGTACCTGTTGTTGGGAGTCCGGTTGTTGTTGTTGTTGTCGCAGAATATTACCATCATCAATATTCATATCATCTTCTATCCCATCAGTATCAGTTCCTTCTTTCTGATCAATATTCATTCGATCTAAGTCGATATCTTCTGTAAGAAGTAATGTTGACCTCCTTCTAGGTGGATTGGTGATACCGTCGCCTCCGTCGGGTACTTGTTGTTGCTGACCATTCTCTTGTGCCACTTTACTCACGTCAACCATTGACACGTCCTTGTTATTATTCTCAGATATTAAATCTGAAGGACCATTCATTGCTTAGTCCACTGTATTATGTTATATATGCGATGGATGGATGGGGATGCTTATACTTTATTGTCTATTCTTCTTCTTCTCTGGTTGTTCTGTGCTTCTTCGACAATTTTTTCTTTTGATTGTAGAAAAAGAAGAAAATGAAATTTGGGGGAAATTTTGTTTGAATTCTCCTTTTTTTTTTTGCTTTCTTTTTTCTTTACTTTGTGAGTTGAGAATTTACTTACGTATTAAATTTCTTGTCATTTTAGAACGAAGAAAATTGGGTGACTTAATTAGAGAGTAAGAGTAGGAAGAAGTAGAGCTTAGAAATGTGAGAGGAAGTAGTGCTAGTTTATACAAATAAAGGCAAACAAGAAGGGTATTAACAGAGGTTCACAAAGGACTGGGTTTGATAATTGCAAAGAGTACTACGGATATCGAATCATAAAACTTTTTACATTTCCACAGTGGAATGCATTTCTTCCTAAACTATCTCTTATGCAGGGGCCCAACTATACCCAATAGATTCGCTCTTTTAAACAACCGGAATTACCTCCTCCCCAATCTCTACGGAAATAGTAAACACACCCTTGGGGTGTTGGTGGTCCATTTCCTTTAAAGTCATGCTTCACATTGATTATTCAAACAATTGGCTTCCACACACCCAATGGAATTGTCAACGTAAATCACCGTCCGACCCCCCTCCACCACTGGTGTTTAATTCCGAAACTATCCTAAAAGTTGTTGATAAGTTCAACGTAAGTTGTAATCTTTGCCCGAGGCATATCATCCTCTGCTTATAAAAATTAACATAAAATTGGGTTATATACTTATCTATATATAACAACTTTAAATAGTATACACACTCACCATCAACTTTTAAACAATCAACCTTTAAGAACCAATCCGAAATATTTTACACAACCATCTTTATACCTTTTCTAATTCTCTGATTCTAAGTTCTTCATATTAGTGGAAATAGCATGATATATCAAAATTAAAACAATTGATGCAAATCCAAAAGTAACAACAATCGTATTCAATTGAGTGTCAGTAATCATCTTCTTTAATGTCGTTTGGCTTCTTCTACTTTCTCTCTTACTTGTCTAGCTATTTTGAAAAACACGTCAACTTCTAAATTCGGGGGACACCGAAGATAATTGATTTTCGGATACATTTACACGACCTTGATATATGCGACTGCAACAGAAAAAAATATTAATTAATTAAATTTTCAAAAACTCATCAGAGACCCTATTGTTCTTCTTCAAACCAACAACACTTGCCGCATATATACAATAACATGTTAAGACATCTTGCACTCGGCAATAAACTATATACACCCGAACTATCAAGGAGTATATCCAGACAAAATGTCATATCTCCACTCAAATCGTGCATAAGATCATACTCATCGAAAGACCCATGGGAAGGCATTGAAATACGGATGAAGAAGAAGCCCGCGCCATCTTCCAACATTAAAGAAGATCCACCCCGAGAATCAGAGAGGGATGTTGTCACAGCCAAGGAACATGCTGAAAAACCCAAAGAGATCAAACACGAAGAGATCAAACCGAAAGAAATCAGACCCAACATCAACTTAGACTTTGATGAATATCGTAAAAAACTATTACCCCAACAAGATAGATCCCGATTACCCGACTGGCAAAAGCGGGACATATCAATCAAGAAAAGATATGGAACCTGGCAACCAACCCATAAATTAAGTCGAGAAAAAATGAATGCATTAAGAGATTTAAAAGATTTACACCCACAAATGACGACCAAGGAATTAGCTGATGCGTTTGGGATTTCACCGGAAGCGGTTAGGAGAATATTGAAATCGACTTGGATCCCTAGTGATGAAGAAGAGGATCGAATACTTTTGAAACAGACACAAGAGAAGTTGTTGCTGAAGTATTATAAGAGAGAATATAGGGAAAAGTTACGTTCACAGATGAAAGATGGTGAACGAGATGGATTTGGAAGTAGAAGTGGAGGTGTATTTGCAAGTAGAAGTGGAAGTGGTGGAGATAGAAGTAGACCAAGAAAACCATCATTGCTTGATATAATGAATCATAATAACGATTGGAAGTTTTGAATAGCACATCTAGAAAGGGATTTATATGTATGTAGACAGCATAATTAATAATTGTATATAGACGTCACGTGATAATACATTTTTTCTAAATAAATTTACCCGAGGATCACTTTTTAAATTTTTGGTGATCTTTTTCTCGGTCAAAAAATCTCCACAATTTTTCATCATTTTCTTCCACCACTTCACTTCAACGAAGACTCACTAAGTCAAACATACAAGTCAACCATAGACGCTAAGTAACCATGTCATCTGTACCTATATTAACAATACCAGAAACATCATATGATCCATCTATATACTCATTAAAAACCAAAAGGGGAAAATCCCAACTATTAATCTATTTAATTAAACTCACCCATGGATCAGGAATAACATTAATCATCGCCTACGTACTTGGCCTATTCGTACTTAAACCATTATTAGAAACTAATGCTACACGAAGATTAGAAGTTCTTGAATTGGTGAGAGGAAAAGTCCGTGATTTATACCTAAATCTTATTGGAAGAGTTAGTTATATTCCCATAGTTGGGATCAAACGTCCAGGTAGTAACAAATTATATGCTGATGCCGTTGTTCAAACAGATGATTCATTGCTTGATAGAATGAGAATCATCGACAAAAATGACCCATCAAAAGATGATGAAGATAAATTGGGACAAGGTAGATTATATAACAAATTAAAACAATTATCAACCAGATTAACGAATGATTGTAGGGGATATGATTCAATGGAAATGCATAGTTATAAAAGTGTGAATTATGCCATTCGAGATCTTCAAAGTAAAGCAGATATGATTTATTTTAATTCAAATGATTTATTTGTCCCTGATACGGCAATGTTAGCATTTGATAATAAATTACCAAAGAGGAATCTTGCGGTTGAGGCTAGAAATGAAATTAGAAGTATTAAGGGGTTGTATATGAGTGGACAGGCGTAGGGTTTATATCTTTCTACATAGTAATTAATTATAATCTTTTACGCTTCCCTTTAATTGTAAATGTCCAGTGCGATCAAAACATAGTAGAAAAATTATCACTGAAAAAAATCAGAGCTTTCATTTTCTTCTTTCTTTCTTATCAGTAATTAACATCCAACAACATGGCAAAACGTATAATAGAAGACAGTGCAGATGAAGAAGAAGAAGATTTCTCTGAAATGAATTCATCAGTGGCCCCAGAATTGGAAGAATCAGAAGAAGACGAAGAACAACAAGAAGAAGGGGAAGGTGAGGAAGAGTTAGAAGGAGAGGAGGATGAACTGTCTGAATTGAGTGAGATTGAGGTTAGAGATGTATCCAGTGAAATTGAAGATACAACTATGATCGGTGAATATGAAGAAGGCGTTGAAGGAGATGAAGAAGATGAAGAAGATGAAGGGGATGAAGAAGGCGAGGAAGGGGACGAAGAGGAAGAAGAAGTGGGCCAGGAAGGTGAAGATGAAGAAGGGGAGGAAGGAGAAGAAGCTGAAGAAGGTGAAGAAGACGAGGAAGAGGAAGACGAAGAGGAGGAAGATGAAGAAGAAGTTCAAAGCATAAGTGATGACGAAGACGCATACAAGATCGAAGCATCTGACATGGACGAGGACCTAGAATTAAAAGAGGAGGAAGAGGAAGAAGAACAAGAGGAAGAACCAAAACCAGTTCCCAGAAAGATAAACATAACTATCAAGCCACCCACCATGGCCGCATCCACCAAATCTTCAGAACAACCTTCTTCTTCAAGATTACGACAAACGAGAAAACGTCAATTAACATACTACGACGAAGACGCAGAAGAAGAAGACGACGAGGAGGAAGAAGACGAAGAAGATGAAGAGGAAGAAGAACAAGTAAGACCAACCAAAAAAAGTCGAAGGCAACTACCTGAACGACAAATCCAACCTACTGATCTCGATGCCGATCTTATCTTAACAGATGAAGAAACTGAATATAATCCCCATGCCAACCCCGATATATCCAAGATGACAGAAAGACAGCGAGCAAGATATTTGGAAGAAGAAGAAGAAGAAGGCAATAAGAAATTCTTTGAATTAGATGATGGGACCGCCAAAAAGACCAAACAAAAGAAGAAAGAATCCGAAGAAGAGATTGCATTACGGAAATCAGAAAATGCAAGAAAGAGATTAGATTATAAGAATAAGATATTGGAAGAAGAAAAGAGAGATACCTTGAATAAATTATTGAAAAGAAGAGCAACAAAGACAAGAGAAATCATTTCTGAAAAAGAAGGAACAGTGGAAGCAGCAAAACTGGTTGATAAAGAAAGAAGACCAATATTGGAACATCCTGCTTTTATTAGATATGTTAATAATATTACAAATTTAAATGGGAATTCAGTTTTAGCTTTTAATAAACCTTAAAATAGAGAAATAAACAACTAATAGAGAGAGGGCGGGGGGTGCAATAGGTAAATATATTGGTCGGTTTTTTGTATAGCTAATAGTAATAACCGTTCATTTCTCACCAACTTGTAAGTTATCTAACAAAGCAGTCGAGTAAAGTAGAATAGGACAGCCACAGTAAGCGATTTGTCGGTACAAAAATGACACGCTTCGGTGACACGGAGCGTAAGTCACCTCATAAAATAAATTAAAACCTACAGAGCTACCAAGTGTTCGCAGAAAACAGCAAAGAAAAAGAAAAAAGAAAAAAAAATCCAAATTTTGAAGATTTCATAAAATTCAAGCTTACACTTTCTGGGTTACATTAAGGGGAACTACAAGACCAATATTTTAACTATGAATATGTCAGGGGCGACTACAAACGCAAATGCCCAACATCAGACGATGGGAATACCAGTTATGTCTAATCAGAATTTCCAAAGCCCTTTAATGCAAGATCTAAAACAACAACAGCAACAACTGCAACCACCACCACCCCAACAACAACAACAACAACGAGCTAATGGAGGAGGACCTCCACCTCCACAACAAGGACAAATGTACAGTCAGAATATACAATTTCAACAACAACCAAGTGGCGTGGTAGGCACCCAGCCGACACAGCAACGATTTAACATGAACGGAGTTCCAAACCAACAACAACAGCAACAACTATTGGCTCAACAGTTGCAACAGCAACAAGCACAAGCACAAGCGCAAGCACAACAAGCGGGAGTGCAGCGTCCGGCAATGCTGCGAAATACAACGTTGCAACAAATCGCATCGGGACAACAAATGTCAAACACCAATCCCAATTTAAATAAACAACAGTTCAATCCTAATATGATGGCAGGACCACCACCACAACAGCCGCAACAGCAACAACAGCAGTTGCAAGCTCAAAACGCATCCAGAGCAAACTCGCAGGGACATACGCCGCAAATGAACAGTCAGCCGTTTGTTCCGATACAACAACAACAACAGAATCAAATGTCGATGCAACAACAACAGCAACCACCACGACAACAACAACAACTACAGCCGGATCAAACAATCCTGGTAATGCAAAGACAAGTAGTACCACCACCAGTACCGGGATCTTTCCAGAGTATGCCCCAACAGCAGCAACAACAGTTCAATCAACAGAAAAAAATGAGTATATCAACAGGTCAATCACCAGTTATAAAGCAACCAATGGGTAATGCCGGAGAGGTGGGAAACCCAGGACCAGGAGGACCCGGACCTGTACCTGTTCCTGTACCAGGTCCAGGACCATCTATAACACAAGAACAATTACAACAACAAGAGATTAATGCCAGGATTATAAGACGAAATTTGGGAAATGCCGGTTCGATGAGAATATTAGATTTGATAGAATCATTATCTAATGAATCAATTGATAATTTAACCAAAATCGAATTCTGGAATCGAGTTATCCCGGCATACTTTGTTCCGAGTGGAACTATTAAATTCTCAACTGTTCCTATTTCGAATAGATTTTCACTTCATGAACGTACGAAATTAAAACTTCCATTTTTAGATTTTAATGATAATAATAATAACACCAACCCAATCTCACATCAATTTGATCTTTCAACTACCGTTGCTCCACGATTTTTCGTTGCTTGTGTGTCTTCGAATAATATAGCTAGATTTTCAATCACTTTGCCAGGGATGAAATTCCAAGTCATGAATAATGGGTCAATATTCTTGATATCAAGACTTAAGATCCAATTCACCTATAATGATGGCTCGATCGCCGATGTGACTGGAAACGTCAAAATCTTGATGGGGAGGGATTTAAGAATGGAATGGATTGATTTACATTGTTTGAATTATCTGAGTTCAATCGGTTTGCTTGGACTCGAACGGAAATGGGCCAGTTTTATGGAATATGCCAAGAGTAAAGACCCATCACAACTGAATGATTTTTTGAAATTTGTGTATGAAAACACTGAAGCAGCAAAGCATTTATCATCATCTGGTTTAGACCCCGATGCGATGAGATTATTACAAGTTGGTGATATTATGAGTAGTTTGAGATCATTGATGGAGTTTTCGACTATTAATAATGTTTCATCCCCCATGAAATCATTGGAGTTATTAATGAATAATAATCAAATGGTAATGCAAGCACAAGCTCAGATGCAAGCACAAGTTCAAGCTCAGCATCAAGCTCAGGCACAGGCACATGCTCAAGCTGTTCAAGTACAGGCTGCACAAGCTGCACAGGCACAGGCACAGGCACAGGCACAATCGCAACAAAACAAAACCACCGTTTCTTCGCCATCACCATTAACCAAGCATGCAGAGGAACCTAAGAAAAAGAGAAGAGCAAGTTCAATCGCAGCAAATGCGGACAATAAACGAAGAGGATAGAAATCAAATCGCTCTCGTCCGACCCTATGCAAAATGTACTATTAGATCTATTAGAAGGATTTTACGTCTAATCCTGATTTCAGTATTCAATTCGTCAAATGAAAGGACATTTGTATTAAATGTTCATGTATTTTTAGTTAAACATTATTTTTTGCTTTTTTTAAAAAGTTAGATAGAGTATTTTTATAGTTTGTTACAATAAATAGTCCATTAATGTAGTTCTTCAAAGTTCATTTTCAGCTCTTGTTTATTAAACTGGTTCTCTATCTAGTATACAAAGTATTTTATTATAACACAAAATCCATCCTCTATCTAATTAGCAAGATGTGGAGGTAAAAGGAAATTAGGAATCGAATTCTTGATATAATAAACATGTTCACAATTCTTACATATCATCTTTCCTTCCACAATTTGAGTTTCAACTAATAACATATGTAAATCTTTCAATACCGCTTGACAATCTTCCATTATTGGATCCAAATCTTCTGGTTTATTAGGTGGCAATGAATCGTTACCTAAATCTTTGGCAACTTGTACGATTGCATTCCAATCTAATCTGTCTAGCATGTGTACTATGAATTCTGGATTGTAATCTTGTTCTTCTTGGACCAATTGACATTCTTCATATTTTAATGGGAAGGCATCTGTTGATGATTGACAAGCTTTGACCGCACATTTAACAAAATTTGTAGTTAAGAATTTCATGTTGATTTAAGTATAAATGGTTATTATTGGATATTGGTAGTGTAAGGTATCGCTAGAAGGGTTATATGGATCGTTTCGTGGGTATCTGATACCAAGATGAAGAGCATCTCAGAAGTCCACCAGAAAAGAAAAAGAAAAATTTGAGATATTCACGTGACCAGCCAGGAGTTTTGTTCATCGTTGCACGACTAACAAAAGGTTCTTGAAAAATTTACAGTGGCAATATGACCAACCAGGTTAACCACCAGACTCTTCATCAAATTATACAAATATATAAAACACACACATAACTACAATGTTACAAAAGCTTACGGCAGAATTATACTCACTGTTTGATTCCGAGCAATACGATAAATGTCAAGCATTATTAGTCCCTATTAAAATTGAGTTAATTAAACATGGACTTCTTATTCCAAAGGTTACCAATACTTCAACCAAAGATCAAATTAATGATTTAAAGATTGCTCAACGAATTCTTGAGATTGGTGCATTGTCATCATTATTAACTAACAATTATCAAGGATTTGAGAATTATTTTGCTCAATTACGTCCATTTTATACTTGTAATGGTTTACATAAACGTAAACATATTAATACTGATGCTACTAAGATTATTTCATTATATTTATTATATTTATTAAGTCAAGGATTAATTAGTAAGTTCCATATTGAATTAGAATTGATTTATAATTCACCCCAATATGATGTTGAACAAGATAAATATTTGTTATTTCCAATCAATTTAGAAAGTAATTTAATGGAAGGTAATTATATTAAGATTTGGAAATTATTAAAAGAAGAAAAGAATTTACCATGTAAAGAATATATTCATTTTATTGATACGTTAATTACTGCATTAAGATTTGAAATTGCTAAATCCTTGGAGAAGACTTATGAATCAATTCCAATTTCAAATTGTAAGAATTTATTATATTTACCTCAAGAACAATCAGATTCATCATTTGAAAAATTGTTAAGAGAAACTTTAGAAGTTGATAATTGGAAGTTTGAAAATGGTATAATCTATTTCACTAAGAATGAAACTGAATTAAATGTTGATAATGAATCAGTAATTAAAAATGTATTAGGATATGCTGAACAAATAGAATCTATTGTATAATTATATTACCTTACTCTAACGATGTATAGAATCCTTTATACGCCAAATCTAAATCATTCAAGAAAGCTTCTGCATCACTCTCACTTATCTCGTCACTATCACCCAAATTATTAATCTTTATTAACCAATTAACTAATTTTGATTTCCCCAGAAATTCCAATGTATTATGTTGTTCATTCTTCTCAACCAAATCATTCAAATTAACAACCAATTCACTCAATAAGGGATGTAATTGATCCTTGGACCTATAATTCAACTTAACCGCATCCATACAAGTAATAAAATTCCCCGTGATTTCCGCAATCAATCTCGCACTAGCATTACTATTTGATGGAGTTGTTGATGCAGGTTGAGGATGGGAATTGCTTTCCACTTGAGTGTTTAGATGCTCAATTGTAGCAGGTACACCCAGCTTTAATCTTTTGACAGCTTGTGGACAACTGATACTAAACTTCTTAGACATCAAATCTAAGAAATTGTTTAAATCAGGTGATAAACCAGGTAAGAATTGTGTTAGGAATGATAATTTTTCAGTATCATCTAAAAATCCTTTTAGAATTATTTGAAATTGATTGATTAGACGATATGAAGTTGATGTATATTTCTCTTTATCTGTTATATAATCCTTTACGAATGATAATTCTACCATTTCAAGTGTAGGTAAGATTGAATAGATTTCTGCTAATGAATCATAAACTGACTTATGTAATGGAGTTTTGATTAATGATCTTCGCGATATTTCTTCATCGTATAATGCAGATGTGGATGATAGTGTGTACGAGGTAGTTGCAGTTGGTGCATATTCCGGAGGAGACGTTGTACCTGACATGTTTCCTGTGATGTTCCTTTTCTGGTTTATAATACAGAGAAAGAGTTGATTGATTGAATTGATAACTTTGCCTCCACGCTTCAAAAAAATTAACACTAAAAAAAAATACTGGCAACTCGATACAAGAATAAGAGATTGCAAAAACTACATACCTTCTCTTCGCTCCACTAACCATCCGACAGAAACTACCCTTCACCCTATCCAAACTCTAATATTAATCTATATAATCAACTAAACACTTTCCCAAATTATTACTCCTCCCGAACGCCTCTCTATTATATCCCAACCGAACCCAATCTTCCTTAATATATCTATACACAAATGGAGGCGGTGTAAACCGATTCATAACCATAGCAAGATCCGACGGCTTCAAACTCGCACAATACTGATCCACCACCATACGACCAAACTTGTCCCTTGCCACATCACATTCATGTAAGATCCATGGAAGGAGAAATGAACTACTTGTACGGTCATATGGGCTGATTGTTATGGGAAGGTGGATTTGCATGTCTTTGGCTTTGCGAAGACTGACTTTTAGTATTACCTCGTATTTTACGGTGAAAAAGTGGCCCTTGGTGGAAAATCCTTGGGTATGAGATAGTGATATTCCTGGCTCTAATTTATCGATTTCAATTACTTTGGCAATGTTGTATGGTTCTATTATCATATTGCCAAAATCCTCATCTACTTCTTCTTCAACTAATAGACTATCGCATCTATTGTCAAATTTGACAGAATACAATTCGAGACATTCATTTTCTTTCGGGAACGTAAATTGGAAATGTTCCGTTATTCCTTGTGAATCTAATTGTTTATCACCGTATAACTTAGTAGTGGTATATATCTTATGTTCCTTTCTTGGAGGTAGTCCTGCATCAAAACACTCTATAATCTCCTTCAATTGCAATGTAAGAACCTTTAACCCAACCCCTCGTTTTAATTTATTATTCAAAGTATTAGTCAGAATCTTACAATACACATTCACTTCATCTCCAGGTCCAACTGAACTATTCGGTATCGTCATCTCTGCCACTACTTGTTTATCCCCCGATTGCAACGCTTCTACCACCGGTTCATTAAATTGTCGATATAATGGTAATGTATCATAACATTTCACCACTACTGGAAATGACTCCACAAAATTCAATTCATTCTCAACCAGATTTCCAACAGATACTTTAATAAATAATTTATGTATAGTAGTTGCATGCCAATGAGGTGCCACCCCACTAGATGCAATTTCTTTTGGCAATGGGATCAATAATGGTATATCCAATCCAATCAATTCTTGATAAAATTCTCCAACAGGAGGTCGAAATATTACAGGATCTTTATATATCACACTATCCTTAAATGCATCATTAGTACCGATTGTGGCATGTATAGATACTTTCTGGGTAGTTGTTAGATACGCCCCCACTGCTCGGATATAAAATGGTGATCCATCTACTGATCGTATTTGAACTGTGGTTTGGATTCGCGGTATACTTCTAGGGACACCGGGACATCCATGGACTATTGAAAAAGGAGTGGATTGGAGAGTTACCATCACTGGTGATGTTAACTTATTCGGACTCATATTATAATGGGAATTGACATGTATAGGATTGTTGAAGATAATGAGTTAGGATACGATAACTGGTATATATTTTTTTTGTTCTTTACGCCTTTTTTCTTGGTTTTGTCGGCTTGAAATTTTTGGCGTGGTTGCAGCACATTTGACCGCGCCCACTTGGCAACACACTTTTCCAATTTTGTAATGAGGGAAATTACAATAATCCTGGACATATGGCCCATTGCAATGTGAATTCATCTTTAAATTTGAGTTGATAATACTTATAAGTCTCAAGTGAGCTCATTGACAAATTAACTGTGACAAAAAGCAAACACGTCAAAAAATTAATTGAAGTTAAAGTCCAACCATTCTTCACACTCAAACCAAACAAAATGATATAGATTTGTATTTCATTTAAATAATGAGGTGAAGAAACCAATTTAAACTTAGGCATGGTATACTTCACCAATGTAGATAAATAGTAATGATGGAAGAATTGTTGAATGGATGAAGTGATAAATAAAATAATCAAACAATAATCCGCAAGTGTCAATGGAGACGCGTCCCCTTGTTGGGATTTTGTAACAATTAAGCCCAAATAGCAAGACATTGAAACCATTATGTAATGAGCCATACCAATAAAATAATGAGCGAAATTCATTCTCGCAGTTTTTGAAAAGTTGGTGATTGTTAAACATTCAGCCAATCTTCTCAATCCTTGTATCCATAATAACTTTTGTATTATTGATAAATTCTTATAATTGACCTGATTAGGAGAGATTCCATCTTGATTCATATTGAATTGTTGCTGGATATAAATAACGGTCGATAAACTAAATAATGTTATATAGAAATGAGTAAACCATGATTTTGGAACAGTTAGTCTGTTACTGACATATTGGATCACCTTCTTAGTAGGTGATGAATTGGGTGTTGTTGTTGTGGCGGTTGATGTCTTTCCGTAAAGTAATAAATTATTTAAAGGTTTGATTAATTTGATTGATACAATTGACACAACAAAGAAGACATAAGCAATTGATATCAACAATTGTACTTTTGAATAATAATAATATGAATTCATAATTAATTGATTTGTTAAATTGACAACATTCTACAAAAGGATAGAAAAGTTGCAAAGTCAATTTTTTTACAACCATCAACTTTCATAGAGACACAAATTCATTTTTTTGCGACGCGTCATTAAGTCTGCGACACACCAAGAAAATTCCTGAACCGGAAATAAACGGCGAACTAGGCGAAATAGCCGTATGATAAGATTTAGAATCACAGATCCCGGAATTCTACAAAAATTACCGGGAAGGTAGAATCAATATCCATAGATACGTAGAGTGTAATCATACAAGCATGCATTACAATATATAAGCCATATTATTTGAGGATATACAATTAGCTGTGGAGGACATTTATTATGGGGGGACTCTGAACAATATCTTCGTTGCCATTGTTTTCTAAAATGGTTGCAATATTTATTTTTAGCAATCAAAATATCAATTATAATACTCCTGGAAAGATGCTCCATTTCAATTTGAATTCTTCTTTAAACTTCAATTGATAATACTTATAAGTCTCAAGTGAACTAATTGACAAACTAACCATAACATAAATCAAACAACATAAGTAATTCAATGAAGTTAAACTCCAACCATTCTTAACACTCAAGATGAAAAATATTATATAAATTTGTATTTCATTGAAATAATGAGGTGATGAAACCAACTTAAATTTGGGTACAGTATATTTAATCAAGGTAGATAAATGATAGTGATTTAAAAACTGTTGAATTGATGCAACAATAAACCATATAATCAAACAATAATCTGCCAATGTCAATGGTACTTTCTGGGTGTCCAGTGTGTAATATGTGGTTAATCCAATATAACAAGCAAGTGAAACCAATATGTAATGAGCGTATCCAATAAAATAATGAGCAATATTCATTCTGGCAGTTTTTGAAAATTTAGAAAGGAATAAACATTCAAGTAATCTTCTTCCTGTCTGTATCCATAGTAATCTTTGAATAATCAACATGTTCTTATAGGCGATCTGATCACCAGTTGTAATATCTTGTTGCTTCCCAGTAAATTGTAGTAGATACAAGGCGGTAGACAACCCAAATGCATTAATGTAAAAATGAGTAAACCATGCTTTAGGAACAGTTAGGTGATTACTAATGTATCTAACAGTAGATGACGAAGATGATGAATACGTTTCTAAAGTTGTTTTGGTTGCCGTCTTTCCATAAAGTAAAAAACTATTTAACGATTTAAGATATTTGATTGTAAAAATTCCAATTGTGAGGAAGATATACCCCAATGATGGTATCAATTGAATTGGATACGATTCGACCATAATGCCTTGAGGTTTCTACTAGTTTCGAGAACAGGTGGGGTATGTGACTGTTAGGCAATTAATACTTGTCGCACATATCCAGTATGTTGTAAATCAAAGAACGCCTTTTCGCTTATTATTGTGATCTTCCTGTATCGGAAATGTTAGGCGATTTTCACGTGACTTAATCATGCCGGTCCCCGGAAATTCTCTTTGTTTTCTAAGCCCATCATCACTTTATTATTTTCCCAGAGTCACAAAGATTGATTGGACAAGATTAGTCATACAAGTTGTTTGTTCAATTCCCTTTGCCTGTCTGGTTTTATTGTGAGTCACTCCACTTGTGTACTATCTCCACTGTCCCAATCTGGTCAATTGTAATCCATAGTACAGAATGACAGGCGGTGCTTTATGGAAATTTCTTTTTTTTTTTGAATGGAAATTGTTTCACCCGTTAGAGGTCGGTTGAGTCACCAGAAGTGAAAAAAAAAAATCCTGGGCAGCGGAACTGTCAAGTGAACCTAAAAAAATTTTTTCAGATAAAATCAGTCAACATCCCTCTCTTCTTCTTTCTTTCTTTTTCTTACAACTTCATCTTATAACCTAGTAACAATATGTGTGGTATCTTTGCTGCGTTTAAACAACCAGAAGTAGAAGCATTCAAAGCCAAGGCTTTACAATATTCCAAATTAATCAGACACAGAGGTCCAGATTGGTCAGGTAACAGAGTCTTAGACAGCACTATATTATGTCATGAAAGATTAGCTATTGTCGGTTTAGACTCCGGTGCTCAACCAATTACCTCCCCAGATGGTAACTTCACTTTAGCTGTCAATGGTGAAATTTATAATCATATTCATTTAAGACAAGAATTTTCTGATTATGGATTTAAATCTCATAGTGATTGTGAACCAATTATTCCATTATTCCAAAAATATGACATTGATGCACCAAAATACTTAGATGGTATGTTTGCTTGGGTCTTACATGACAAAGCCAACGATAGAATTGTTGCCGCTAGAGATCCAATTGGTATTACTACTTTATATATGGGTAAATCAATCAAAAACCCAGAAACAAGATATTTCGCATCTGAATTAAAATGTTTAATTGAAGAATGTGATAATATTGTTGCATTCCCACCTGGTCACATCTATGATTCCAACACTGATCAAATCACCAGATATTTCCAACCTACTTGGTGGGATGGATCTAAAATCCCTCAAGCCCCAGTTGATTATAAACAAGTAAGAGAAACCTTGGAATTAGCCGTTAGAAAGAGATTAATGGCTGAAGTCCCATATGGGGTTTTATTATCCGGTGGATTGGATTCTTCACTTATCGCTTCCATTGCTGCTAGAGAAACTAGAAAAGCTGCCGAAAAATCCTATAACCCTCATGGTATTGATGCCAATAAGGAATTATCCGGGGTTGATGATTCTGGTGCATTACATTCAACTTCTCTTTTCAACCAATTACATTCTTTTGCCGTTGGATTACCAGGTGCACCTGATTTAATTGCTGCTGAAAAGGTTGCCCATTTCATTGGTACTATTCATCATTCTCATACTTTTACTTTAGAAGAAGGGTTAGATGCTTTAGATGATGTTATTTATCATTTGGAAACGTATGATGTCACCACCATTAGAGCTTCTACTCCAATGTATTTATTATCCCGTAAGATTAAGGCCCAAGGTGTTAAGATGGTTCTTTCCGGTGAAGGATCAGATGAAATCTTTGGTGGATATTTATATTTCGCCAATGCACCAACTCCAAAGGATTTCCATGAAGAATGTGTCCAAAGAGTTAAGAACTTACATTATGCTGATTGTTTAAGAGCTAATAAATCAACTATGGCTTGGGGTTTGGAAGCTCGTGTTCCATTTTTGGATAAAAAATTTTTGGAAGTTTGTATGAACATCAGACCAGAAGATAAAGTTATTAAACCTGGCTTTATTGAAAAATACATCTTAAGAAAAGCTTTTGATACTAGTGATGATCCAAATGCTACACCTTATTTACCAGAAGAAATTCTTTGGAGACAAAAGGAACAATTTTCCGATGGGGTTGGATATTCTTGGATTGATGGTTTGAAAGATACTGCTGAAAAAATGGTTACTGATGAAGAATTGGCCAATCCAAAACCTGAATGGGGTGATGATATCCCAACTACAAAGGAAGCTTATTGGTATAGATGTAAGTTCGATAGAATGTTTAACAACTCCGAAGCTGCTGCTAAGACAGTCATGAGATGGATTCCAAAGGCTGAATGGGGTTGTCATGCTGATCCTTCTGGTAGATACGCTACTACCCATGACCACAAGGTTGCTGAAGTAAAGTAGACACACCTCCCCTCTACCTATGAATAACGTTATGTTTTATAGATATTTAAAAACGATATAAATATGTAATAGTGATAATTAAATACTTTTTCATTATAAAAAGACAACCACTCTTTTAAATATTTTGAAGATATTCATAAACTTCTCTCTCGTCCCTGGATTTCCAATTTGAATTTATCTTAACATTATCCAAACTCTGTTTCAAAGATCTTTCAAATCCATGCACATCCCTATTTCTAAAAAATCCTTCAATCTTTTCATATTCCTCAACACTAGAATAATTCCTCAATGTCAACTTGACAAACCTATCCAAAACTACCATATTCGTACTCATCAATCCATAAATCGTGTCATCATAATGTTCCAATACAAATTTCAAAAACATCCCCTTGGTGGCTGGATTTGTCGATAAGGGTTCTCCAAGGAAATGAGAATCCATAGTTGGGATAATTTCAGGATTAATCAACATCGCCAATAATTCTTGAGCAATTTCGGGATTTCTAACATGTCCTAATGCACGTAAAGCGACTTCACGGGAATCCAAAGAACTTGGATGGGTGACTTCATGAATAATAGCTTGGAATTGATCATTGGAGAAATTAGGAGAAGCAGCTATGGTCGTAAAGACATACGAACGCAATGATGGATGTAAAGTGGTTGGATCTTGGATCCATTTGGAAAAAAGTTCTTGGGCGTATTGTTGAACTGGGCGGATGGCCGGGAGGAAACCGGCTTGGGTTAAGATTTCGGCACGGAGTTTTATTCTTAAGAAATCGGAATTGTCGATCTTGTTGTTTTGAGAATCATGAATTAATTCGATTGATTTTTGCTCATAGATTGATTGAATGAATTTATTTATTTTGGGGATGAGTTCTGGAGTTGAGAATGCAATTGATAATTGTTGTAATCTTTTACCTAATTCTAACCAAACGACATAATCATCACCAAGTTTATCGGTAACAGTCTGAACTAGTCTTAAAAATGTAGTGGTGGAATTATTACCAGCAACTGCGATTGAGGCAGTATCGGCTAATAATCCAACTTTATCTCTTGGAGATAATTTATCGAAAAATGGTAAGATATTAGTTTCTAATACTTTTGAAGAATAATTAACACGATAAACACCGGAAGTATTTTTATTTAATTTAAAAAATTGATTAACCAATGGGAAATTATCAATAATTAACTTTTCACTTTCAAATGAATCCACATTTAATTCATCTTCTACATCATCACCAGATCCAAGCAAATTCAAAGGAATCCACCATTTAGTTTGATTTTCTTCTTCTGATAAATCTCCACTATTTAAAAATCTTGATTGATGCAAAACAAGACTATTTTGATGTATATCGACATTGACAATTGGGAATCCCACTTTTTTAATCCAAGAATTCATCAATGCATCAATTGGTTTCCCACATACTTCTCCAACACTACTCCATAAATCATGACTAGTAGCATTTGAATATTTATTTTTATTCAAATAATTGGCCACACCTTGTAAGAAAACATCAGTACCTAAATAATTTGAAATCATCAAGATTGTACTTGCACCTTTTAAATAACTAATTGCATCAAATACTTGATCAATATCCAATGCATCAACTACGGGAACTTCAATAGGATGAGAGTTTCTTAATCCATCTAAATTCAAGGCATGTTGTAATGAATCACTAACAAATCCACTAAAGATATCCCATTCCGGGAATAAATAATCTACAGCAGCGAATCCAACCCAAGTGGCAAACCCTTCATTAAGCCATAATTCATCCCACCATTTCATGGTAACTAAATTACCAAACCATTGATGAGCAAGTTCATGAGCAACAACATAGGCGACTTTTTGTTTATATGAAGGATCTGATTTTGTTTCAGAATATAATAAAGCGGTAGATCTATAAGTAATAAGACCCCAGTTTTCCATTGCATTATGGGAAAAGGAATGAACCGCAATAAGATCAAGTTTTGGTAAAGGATATTTTAAATTAAAAATACGAGAAAAATAATCAACAATTTTTGGAGTAATTTCAGAAGCAAGTTTAGCATCTTGTAAATAATTTCCACCTTTAGTAGTATAAATACGAACAGGTAATGGTTTATCATTTATATAATTTTCTTGAGTAAAAGATTCAACATATTCGAAATCACCACATGCCCAAGCTAATAAATAAGTTGACATAATTGGTGTTGGTTCAAATTCAACCTTTTGAAGACCATTATCTAATTGTTCAGTTTTAGCAACTGGAGTATTTCCCAAGGCAACCCATTCTGAATTGAGGGTAATATCAACTTTAAAAGTTGCTTTAAGGATTGGTTCATCTAAACAAGGAAAAGCTCTTCTAGCATCAGTAGCTTCAAATTGAGTTGATAACATGAATTTTTCTTGTTTATTATCATCATCAAAATAACCAGATTTATAAAAACCAGCCATATTAGTTTGAATAATTGCATCATAATTAATAGTAACATAAATTTTCTTACCTTTATCAATTGATTGATTAAATTGAATAATAAAATATTCTTTATTTTTATATTCAGTAATTGATTCAACTTCAATTCTACTATTTGAATCATCAATGATTGAAATTGAATCTTGAGAAATTGTTAAATCACGATAATTTAAATGTAATTGATTTGTTGATTCAATTACATCAAATTCTATAATAACTTTCCCCTTAAAAGTTTCATTTATAATATCAATATTAAAGATTGAAAGATCATAATGAATTGGTTTAAGAAATGTTGGCAATGCCTCGTAATATGGTTGTTGATTAGACATTGATTGGATTTACACTTACTTTTAAAGAAGAAGAAGAAGAAACAAGAAGAAGTAAAAAGAAGTAAAAATGAAATTTGAAAATTTTTGGTTGTAAAAAAAATATGTTTCCTTAAAAGTTGGTTGCAGTTCCTAGTTTGTTTAAAGGATAATTGAATTATTAGTAACACAAAATTATCATAATCTTATGGCCGTAGGGCCGTTTGATTAAGAGGAACTTCTCATTGATTTTATACACAAAAAAGACATTAAGCCAACAAAGTCAGAGAGAAAGAGAAAGAGAAAGAGAAAGAGAAAGAGAAAGAGAGAGAGCGAAAGTGAAAGTAAGTAGGATATGTCCTGTATGTATATCTTCTAATAATCATAATCTCTTAATTATAATTAATTAAGTTTAATATTAAACTCATTTTGTGTATTTAGTTTATAAGGGGAATAACAAACAATAGACAAATAGAGAGAGAGAGAATGGGTTGGAAGATAACAGACATTTAAAGTAATGTTATACTGTAATACTTGTTAATATTCTACTACATACTCTTCTTAGTCTTTCTATTTCAGTTTATAACCATTTATTATAGTGTATTACCCCATACAAAATTTATTTATAGAAAATATTATGCTTCTATTGAAATTTCTTTGGTACGAATAAATGGAGAGAGTGAGACGAGACCCCCCCTTTATTTTTCCCACCTTTCATTCATTATCTCCCTTCTAGAAAACACGCAATATTCTAACAATTGCTTACAGTCTTATATAACCACACATTTACTTATACACATAGATCCTCCTAACATAGCACAAGACAGCAAATGATCATTAATAATTCATTCTTCTTATTGTTATTATTCCTAATCTTTCCATCATTTAACTTTGCCTTCAATCCTCAAGATGATGATCCAGCAATCTTAACCCTTGAAAGAGGCGTAGTATGTGTTCCAATTGTTCAAAAATCAAAAAGTTCCAAACCAAATATTCATATCTATGTTGATCATATATTAACCACTGATCAAACATTAACTGATACTTTAAGATTCCCGGTATTTATCTTTAGAGCTTTAGATATTGATCAATTTGATAATATGCCTGATCAAAATAAATTCTATGAATTATACTCAAAAAATAAAAATCAATTATATAAAGATCTTCACATAGATTCAGATAAAGCTGAATTCGTTATTGGTGATAAAGTTGATAAATCTCGTTATTGGAATGGTTTCATTACTTTAGATCATGGTATTAAACAAGAATCTCAAAACGTAGATGTTCAATTTAATGCCCCTGAAACTGGGATTTATTGTGTTTATATTGCTCCTCCAATTATACCTGAATTAAAATCAATAACCGTTCCAGTTAATTTTGTTAATGGATATGGTAATTTAAGTTTTTTGAATTATGAACATTATAAAACTTTAAGATGGTTAATTTTAATAAGTATTATATTATTTGTTGCCATGTTTAAACATATTCTTAAATTTGTTGATGATCAAGATTTCAAAAATTTAAATCAAATTTCAATAATTTCAAAAGGGATAATCATATATGTTATCCCACCATTATTCGCGGTATCAGTATTTGAATATTTAATATTATTTATTAGGAATAGGTATATATCCTTCCATACTCAACTCGCTTCAACTTTTACAAGTTTATTCCTCATCAAATTACCGTTATTCATTACTGCTTCATTTTTTGTTTATACCAAATTCATCGTGTTATTGTTTGCAATGGGATATGGAGTCATATATTATCATAGTGGTAATTCAAGCAGATATAGGAAATTCCCAGAACGTAGATTCACAATTGCATTACTGTTATTAATCACAAACTTAATCCTCGTGGCCGCATTTGCATTATTTTATACCGAAACCTTAGATAAGCATCCGTATCCATTCATTATCCAGATGACGTCAGATATAATCTTTAACATTACCAAAAAAGAACCCTCATCCACCTCGCCTGCTTATTCCACCACCGTGGGAAAATCAGCATTCCTTGTTTTAGTACTGTTCTTAATTCAGATATTAAGTCTCGTCTGGATGGTCCTTTCAATGGTCTATTATTTCGTCACCAAACGAACCATTGCCCAATTCCCACCGGTACCCTCATCCGCGCCAAACTCAACCGATAAAGTCATCCGAGCATTCAGATTATCAATGTGGGTCATCTTTGGACTCCCAGTATTAGTTGGTGCTCTCTTTATATTTGGTTCCGTCTGGAAATTGAGTCAAAATTTAGATTTAGATGCTTTATCACCCGATTCTCCACCACCGGCAAATGGTCCCGAATTATTTAGTTGGATGTTTAAGATTTGGGAAGCTGCTGAATTTAAGGGGAATTTCTTCTTATTCCAGATTTGGGGTGATTATTTATCGGTGATTTTATTTATTGGATTGATGTTTATGATTTGGGTTAAGGAAAATAATGGATTAGTGGTGGATTCTGGAGCTGATGACCCAATTGAATATGCTGATGTATCGGAATTTGAAATTAATGATGATGATTAGTTGTTTGTAGTTGTTTATTTATATAGTTTAGTTTTTTAATAACATTTTATTTTGTATTTGTTCCATTGTATATTTAATTTGGTTTACTTTGTAGATCGAATAACCACCTGACCCCTTGGTACTTGTGTTTATGTAGCTTCTGTTTGTATACTTCTGTTTCGAAACTTGCCTTTGAAAACTTTGCAACCACAAATCAGGACAAGACACAAAAACTTCCAGACATACACACAAATCTTATGAGCCGCATTTGCCCTATTCGGAATTGTTCGATATTACCATATCTTCTATTGTATGGTCTATAACCCTCTCTCTACAAAGTCTGCTTGTGATTATACAAGTATTCAATAAAACTACTAAAAAGTACATATTAGACATATAAAACAAGCACCTCAAAAATCGTGATAATTACGACCGAGATGATTCCATTAGAAAGCCTACAGACACCACCTTCATCAGGGTCCGCTATTGCTGCTAAACTGTCACTACTTTCAGAAACAGCCGAGGTGTCAAAAATCGTAGACTGAATTACGGTCCCTTGGTCAGAATCTCCAGAGACATAGTCATCAGCTATGTTAGTAGTAAGTGTGAAAGTTCTAGCAGGTGTCTTGACAGATAATTCATCAACTCTAGATACTTCAACAACAGATTGTCGATTAGTCTGGTCCGACAACGTCACCGATGGTTCACTTGATACGCCAATAGGAGGCACTGGGGTTACTAACTCTGCAGTCGTCGATTCTGCAATACTGGTTTCTGACAGCCCCGAAGATTCAACCCCATCAGTAATGGAAGATTCCCAATGAAGATCCTTTGTGCTTTCCAATGAGTCTACACTTTCGGTTGATTGTTCCAGATCATTGTCTGCTTCTGACGATTCAGCACTTGGATATTCTATTGGAGCAGATTGAGGTATGATCCTGTCACACAAGCAAGGACATTCGTTCCCAACACCAGGCTCGAGATTTGAACTATATCCAATACTTAACTGTTCCTCGGTTCTGTTAAAAACGAATTTACTGCTATCATATCCAGCGCCAATATCAAATTCGAAAATGTTCCCAGATTCAAAAGTAATACTTAAAACTTTTGATTCGTAAGAAGAATCAAAAGATCCAACTTGCGTTATACGGATATATGAATTGGGACTTCCAAACCCAGCTAATTGGAGAGGATCTCCTATTATACTATCAACAATAATCTCAGAATATTCCCCTGAAAAGCAAAAGAAGCAATCACCTTCAACACTAGGACTGTCAAAAATACTATGATCAAGCACTAGACAGCCACCTTCACCCTTGTATGCCCTAGGTTCAAAGCTGTTTCCCGTTGAGCAAATGACTCCAGTATTATAAACCTCATCCCAACGAGACAATGTATTGAAAAAATACGCAGTATCATTATTATAGAAATATGTAGTTAAAAAAGCTAACTCTTTATCTTTCGTATTCTGTACCGTAAAGTAACCATAATTAATCAAATAACCAGTCAGGATCGGATTGTCATTTTGAGTTGACATAATGAAATGAATATTTCCACTATTGATTACCACTACAACGTAATAATAAATAAAATCAAGGGCGGCAGTGTACTCGACGTAAAAATCCTTATGGTTCCAAAGTTGCCTCAAACGAATAGAATCGGGATTGATGAGTGATAATAGTCCATTAATCTCAACACCAGCATATTCGAACTCTCCTCCGGATTGAAAGTATGTGCCTATTTTTATAGCTTCTGTCAGCTCTTCCAAGACAGGTGTCAAAGAAGTGTAGGATTCTCCTACTCTTGGGGCAGACTGTGGTAGTTCTTCAAAATCGCATGAGCAGGGGCATTCGTTTCCCATTCCAGGTTCTAGATTGGAATTATACCCAATCCTTATCTCGTTCTCGGTATTATTGAATGTGAAATTGCTTTCATCATATCCAGGACCAATATCTAACAGGAAAATCTGACCAGAGTCAAACGTAATATTTAAACTGCCCGACTCATAAGAATGTTGATATTCCCCATAACTTATTATATTGATATAACTATGAGGCATTCCGAATCCGGCCACTCTGAAGTAATTACCATACCGATTTACAATCCTGAACGCGGAATAGTCTCCAGAGAAACAGATGATGTTTTCAGCATAAAACCATTCAGTCTCAAAAATGCTATTCTCGAGCACGGCACAACCACCATTCAGAAAGAACCAGGTTTCCAAATTCGAGTTTCTTAAACACAAGGTTCCAGGGCCAACAGCGTTGAAGACAACGACATCGACATTCACAAAATGGGCTAGATTATAATTATTAAAAAATTCAAAGTCAATTGATAATTTACCTTCATTCGTATTTTGAACTGAGTAATAACCAAAATTGTCTATCCATTCATTTTGAATGGAAAATTCTTTCTCAAGTGATAAAATAACATGGAAATTTCCCCAATTGGAGATCAGTGCGGAGATATTATAACTATCCCCTGTAACGGTCGAGGTTTCTAAGTAGAAGTCATTTGAATTCCAGATAGTTGTTACATTAAAGGACTCGATGTCAACGAGGGACATGAGTCCTACATTTTCGACACTTGGATATGCCAAGGTTCCACCTACTTGGTAATGAGTGTCAAATTCAATTGCTAAAGATTGGTATATTCCAAATACTATAATGTATATTAAAATAGTCATCTTGTGGTTGAGATTGAGAGAAAGGGCATGTTGAAGTATCAAACAAATTATACTTTTGATTATATTTTAGAGGATGCAAATATGGGCAAAATTCGACAAGACATTCCATCTGCCAAGCCTTAGTATTCAATTTAGTTATTGTATATCCATTGATTGTGAAGTTGTGTCGGACGGGGTTACGTGCCTCTGTTGAGGACACGTATTTAGCAAAGTCTTGTTCTTAACATTTTTAGTATTTTTTTCATTTACTGAAGCGGAGAACTTTTATAACTTTATTTTCCCGATATTAATTTTATGAACTTTATTTGTCAACTAAGCCAGTTACTCTATATCTAAATTATGATCTCTTTAATTATGCTATAATAAGCAGCTGACGTTTCCTTTACGTGTTATATTGTATGTCTCTGTGATTCTTTTTGAACGTGTGTTGATATAGTAGCTTCGCTTAGAGTAGTAAGCGAGGAAGCAAATGAAAAATAAACTTGCTAAAAATAGCGCGGCATGAATTTAATTTATCTAAATCTTAAAAAATATTGGTTTGCATATTATTTTAGAAACATACATAAAAAATATTTCAACTCGAACGTTTATGCATTATCCTAGGTGAAGTTTTACGAGACAGATGACTGAATATGATAGTAAGATATGAGTTCTTGGAGACAGATATAGGGATATCACTATAGGGGAGATTCCAGAAGACCAGCATATAAAAGAAAGCAATTTACTTCCAAATATTATTCTAAACCGGGCAACCGAATATTGGCCACCATCGACAATTAGGGGTTTTCTCTATCCTAGCCCCAATCCAGGATTCAAGAATAAACTACACTTGCAACTTAGGCCGTAGCCATGGCGACAGAGAACTGCGATGACTACAGGATGTACCTTGTAAAACATACCAGTAATAAGGTTTTTGTGTCTTCAAACTAGCCACTTCCCAAATATTCTCTCTGAGAGCCTAATAATAGTAATTTACTAAATATTCTATTTGAAAAACAAACCTCATTTATTTATAACTCAATATAGAACAACCAAAAGAAAAATCATATACAATAATCCATCAAAACTGGACCCGTTATCGAGCCTATTCCCCCCAGCAACACTAGGGGCGGGCAGGGTTGTTAAAGAAGTAGACGTTGAAAACCGTGGTGATTCAATAGCACTCGTTTCCGCATCAGTAGTATCATCTCCAGATGCATTACCTGTTGAGTTAGTGCTAGATTCTAAAACAGATGGTGGTTGAACGGATTGGGAAGCATTAGTAGCATCATCACTGGTTGAATTACCTGTTGAATCATTCCTAGATTCCAAAACAGTTGATATTTGAATGGTTTGGGAAGGAGGGCTCTCAGATACTTTACTTGCTTGGGCGCTTTGAGACAGTGTATCCAAGTCCTCTGTAATTGATTCTCCAAAGCTTGTCAATAATTGCACTGTAGAATCATTAATAAAAGATTCCAGGGTGGATTCGGAACTTTCCCATGACACTGGAATTTCCGACTTCTGTTCCAAAACCTCGGTGTCCGAGGTTTCACTTTCTGTGATGAAGTCTTCTCTTGGAGCAGATAGTGGTGGAATTCTATCACATACGCAAGGACATATGTTTCCAACTCCGGGTTCTAG